AGAGGAAAGCAATCACATTAGATCCTGCCCTGTCAGCCTCTCAGATCCAAGGGATAGTTGAGCAAGAGGAGGTTGAAGCACAAATAAGGGAGCAGATGCCAAGGGCTCCAAAGCGTGCTAGTCGGTGTAGCAAGTGTGGTTCCTTTGCTCACACCTTCAAACACTGTACAGTAGATTGAATAGTATTGTTATATAACACATTTAAGTCTCAAAGCAATCTATTAAGTATTGGTTGAGATAATCAGTGTTAAAGGTGGTAGACACGTAATTCGTGGACCACGCCGTGGGGTGGACCGCGCTCTGGTGTTTGACGTTAACGTCCCATCATCACCTAAGCAATCATCATCAAGGAGTACCTAGGTACCTACCTACCTAGGTAGGTATGTCTCTATGGATGGTTGGTGGCTTCCAATTAGGGCTCGCTCGCTGTCATCACTCATATTTGACCGACGGACAAGTTCGTTATTTTCTCCACGATTACGAGCCCTCAACCAGCAGCTCGCGACCGCCAAGCAACCACGTTACGCATGCACACGACGTGTTGTTCATGGACACAGTACACCAGTACAACAAGGCTATCCGCTTGTCGTCAATCGCTATATCTTGGGAAGGCAATAGCCCTGCGGAATGTTTACACACCTGGGCATGCTTCGTTGATGCTGCATCGCAGTAGCTCTGCGTATGCAAAGATCATCGCCAAGCACTTGGCATCTCCAGCACGAATGTGCCGTTCGAGACGACACAGCAAAACTTTTCTATCTGTCCGCGTCTGGAGAACGCTTGGAAACAGTGCCCGCGGACCATGGAGAAAAGCTTCATTCGAGCATAGCATCGCCATGACCTTCCCATCGAAAGTAACCCCTGACATAGATCGTGATGTTAGTACACATCATCAAGGCTGGGCGCGTTGAGCTTATCGTCAACTTGGCTTCTGGCGCTTGGCCAACGTCACATCATCCTGTCAAGCTGGGGAATGGCTCCTCTACCGAAAGTGACGGAAGATAGACATCACAGAGATGAGACCTTCCTCCGGTACAGACTGTGCATATTCGAATGGGAATGTATGATCAAGGGGAATGGATATGATATCATTTCGTGAATATGCATAAGCTGCGACGCTCAACACAGCCAAGCAAAGAAAGCCACTCAGATTGGCACAACGATCTTGGTAGCACTGACTCCAGCCTTGAGCTTCTCCAACGCAGCGTTTATCCCTGCCAAACCACCTGCCTCAATCTGCAATCTCGGACTCGGAACAACCGCGCCGGACCTCAAGCCTGGAGCTACCCATTCGTGAAATATCTTGTAGAGGTGCTTGTTGCGGGCTGCTGAGTCCATATCTGGCTGGTTGAACACGATCATTGTGTCATCCAGCGTTGGATGGTTTTCCGGAAGCAATGGCGAATGTGTGACTTTAGCGGCGGCATCGCCCTTAACATGCTTAAGGACATCCAAGATCGGCTGCAGCGCACCGTCTACCACAGCGTGAGCCGTGTGGAGCCTGACTCCATCTGATTTGACCTTGTTGACAATTTGAGTCACAACTCCGGGCGACTTGTAATCGAACACGGCATCCGCCCCAAGCTGTTTGATATAGTCATGGTGTTGAGCGCTGGCGGTGGCGTAAATGGTGAAACCCATTGCCTTGGCTGATTGAACGGATACACTGCCAACGCTGCTCGAAGCGCCCCAGATCAGCACGGCTTGATTGTCCGACGGGTTGTAACGAGTTTCGAGAGGTATGTCAACAGCGACCCAAGCGGTCAAGGCAGTATACGCGGCGAGGGGCAACATTGCTGCACTCTCGAAGGACAAATCGTCTGGAATTGCGATGACACCCTCCCATGGCGCCAGAGTAAGCTTTTGGAAAGCGCCATGATCTGGAGAACCGTTCTGGAAGAAGGCAGAGGCGAAGGCAAGCACGCGGCTTCCGACGGCGAGTGACGTGTGAACCTCAGAGCCAACCGCGGCGACGATGCCAGCCACGTCGGAGCCAATGACAGCTGGATATGTTGGCACCATCATTCCGAAGTCGCGCTGGTAGTAGTCGACAGGGTTCAAGGCCACAACTTTGACCTCGATGAGCATTTCCAATGGACCTGGAGTGGGAGTTGGGCGAGGTTCGGCGACAAACGGGCCTCCTTTTCCCGCTAGGATCGCAGCAGGATGTGATGAAGCCATGGTGATTCTGATGAGTGCTCGAGGTGCTGGGAGGGTTGTTGTGTGCCGTACAGTCGAGCTTCAGCAAATGCAGTATTTCACTGAGTAAGTGCAAGAGTGTCCGGAGTGTGAAACTTGTAATTTCTTGTAATGTGCAGCGAGAAGATGAGGAATGGATCTATGACTATCGCGTTCTTACAAGGGTATTTATTCCGACCAATGCTCGGTCGCAAAGCTTATGTCCGTTCCGACATCTCACAAAGGTCGTCTTTTACATCGTGAAGTAGGTACCACAATGCACGTGAATCTACGAATGTCCTCTGATCGATGTCGTAAGCCGGATTTAAGAGCCGAATAAACTACGTGAAACAGCCTGGCTTGCAGGTGCGCTACAACCTTCCTCTTTGTTAACTACCTAGTACCTATCTATATACCTACCTACCCAGATACCTAGGTAGGCCAGATACCCACCTGCATCTTGCACCGTATCATGTTGAGACCGTGTCGACCCACCACCTCCGACACGCCTACACGTTTGTTCGGGGCTACAGACCAAAGCCACCTGCACCCACCATGGTTCACATCCGACCTGGGCACACTTCATTCTTGCCCAGATGCTACATATGATGTATCAATTCGACGGAAAGGGAGGAGCGGCTTTTCGAGCAGGAAATTTCATAAGTACCTAGGTAGGTAAGAAGTGAGCATCTCCCAAGGTATCTACGGTGGGTAGGTAATGGTGACAACGTTTACGGCGGCGTCAAGCGTGGCCCGTGGGATGCAAGAGAGAGGAGCGTTTGTGGCTTTTGACATTGGACTCTATCATGAAAGAAACATTTGAGGAAAATAGCATGGAAGCACGTCTGTGACACTGCATCCCTTGGACTGTAACGTCTTCAGGAATGTACTCAAGAGCGAAGTGTCATGTCTGTGTCATCAACAAGTGTAGGTTGTAGTAGGATGATGCGATGGGAGAAAGAATGCATTGAGTTGCCTACTTAGGTAGGTAGATATTGGTTCGGCATGTTTTCATGGCCGCTTTTTTAACTTTTCGGGCAACGAGGACACCAAAAGCAAGGGCCACAAACAAAAGATATATCAGTAGCAGGAGTACGTGACCGACCAAAACCCTCTCTTCAAGTACTGTTCGCCACGAAAGTCAATCGGCCACCAGGATTTTTGACATAAATAAGTCATATACAAGTTTCGTCAACAATCAGCAGAGATGTCCTCCAACAACTCCGGCACCGGCAGCTTGAGCACACAGGGCTCCGGATCTGGCTCATCGTCCGCGGACAGCAGCGGTTTCAATGTGACCTCGAGCGGAACCAACTCTCAGGTGAGGCGCCCATGACCAGGATAAAATAGAAGAAGAAAAGATCGAGCAAATATGGGCATGGCATATTGCTGATAACTCATACCCCTCAGGGCAACCACTACTGTTCCCGCGATTGTGTCCCCTCGGCCAGCAACTCTAATTCCTACCACTATTCCAATAGCAATGGAAGCTACTACTATAGCAACCCGAATGGCTCGACTTACTACAACTCCGGCACCGGATACAGCCAGTATAACTCGGGCAAGAAGTGATCATTCCTTCCTGGGATACACTCTTCGGGCATGATGCTGGATGGAATCTAGATTGAGAGGGTATGTTGAGCTCGAGACCATTCTTGTGCTCAAGTCTGTGCGGTTTCGATCACCCAAATTCTTAACGTGCATTTGGGTACTATTAAAGAACCATCAATCGATTCTACATTATATCGAATGCCATGTCCCTCCGATCCATCGTGATGGGTGTTATCGCTGAGGTATGGTTGAACCTTTCCACGGCCGAGACTTTGAGCCTGATGTTAGTGATTGTGACTGCCAACTTTTTGCTGCTCACCTTTACCTTGGGAACCCTTTTGATCGTGCCTACCTAGGTACCTGCTGGATAGATCTCAGTTCATAATCGAGTTGGAACCTCGGAATGCTCTCTCCCGTGCCAACTTTGGATTCAAACTTCCAATTTGAATTCTTCTATGCAGGTGCTCAGAAGATCCTCAGGGCTACAGTAATAGTACCTAGTCAAGATTGATTCGTCAAACATTGACGCACGATCCAAGTATCGTGGTTGTGCTGTGAGCAAACATGTCAAGCGATCAAGGGTATGCTGACGACTACGTCGACAACAATTATGGCAATGAGACCTATTATCGTGACTGTTGCGATGAGCAGAACGATCAGAGCCGTTTCCGCAGCTATAACGATGACAGCTGGACGAGCGAGCGCAGAAATCGCCGGATGCGTCCTGAAACCCACGGCCAGTCGTCGCGGAATGGGCCCAACGGCTGCAACAACGACAAGACCTGTGACTTGTTCTCTCGATGCCGCCTTGACGATGACGGGTCGCAGACTGAAAGCAACACCGGTGAGCATTCCTCGTATTCTGAGTATCGCGGATACAGCAGTGCAAACACATCATACTGTCCCATGTCAACTTCTTCAGGCAAGGATCCAAGTTGTATGAGCAGCGGGAGTGGTGATACCACCACCGAATCTCAGGTTCATGAAACAGGCAAGGATAACTTTGATCCAACGCTCACATCCCAAAGCTAAGCAATCCCAACCACAGATCGCGACAATCGTCTGAATACCGACTCGCAAGGCGAGAAGCGTCGAGTGGGTTGGAACAAATGGCCATACGAAACAGTTGGCCGTGGCAGCGACACTCAGGTTAGTCCACCATCTCATTGTGCGAGCAACAGATAATGAACCATATGATTGAGCTAACTGTATGGACTGTGGGAGGATCTCCAGGGCGGGAAATGGGCCGTTCGGGACTATCAACCGCATGGCAATAACCCATTGAGCATGTATCGAACCCATCGCAATGGCACATACGAGTATCACAACCCCGACGACTCTCGTTACATACGATATCCCGATGGCCGCAGTACCTTCAAATCCGCGGACGGTCGTGTTTACGAGAAACACAACAATCCCAAGTGAAGCGTCGAAGAAAACGCTCAATGCCAGCGGCTCAGAACTTTGTGAAGATGAAAGAGATGTCTGGCGAGGGAGCAACGATGACACGGACAGAACAATCAAATGGGCACAGAGAATATTTTAGGGGCAGTTTCATACCGAGCCATCCTCCAGACCGCGACCCCAAGTCTGGTGTGCACGAGCGCACGCGCAATTTTGTCGGTCCAAGCTTGCATGCGTGATATACTGTACTCGATTGCAGCGCAGCGCAGCGTGAGTGTGTGAGATGATTCGCAAGAACCCAGCCAATCCGAGATCGGCGCCTACATCCGCACATTTTGCAACGACCTCGAATGCAGCATCGCTGACGATGGAATGGCAGATGGGACAACGAGAGCATCCGACCTCAGATCATAATCCGGAAAACACATTTACAGTACATACTGATGATGGACAGCGCTGGGCGGCCAGGGGTCCGCAGTTCGGGCGAATAGGTTTGGGTCTCGGCGGCGGTTAAGGAATATTGTGGGCGCTTACATGCAGCCAATCGCCCGCTACTCCTGCACACAAGTACGACATGATCTTTTAGCTTCATCATCCAGAATATGCACCGTCGCATACAGTTTACTATTGTCCGAGACATTCACGTCATTGTCAGAAGCCTCGCGTGGGCTCAGCATCGACTACTTTATTAGTTCCCATGTGGAGGGAATGATGGCAAGATTGTCTCGGTCGTCGCCTTGGCCGGCACGTGTCTTCAATAGGCTGGCGATTTATTCTTAGTATGATTAGACTTCTCCGCTGCGATGGTAGACATCTCATCACAATTTTGACTCGGTAGTGGACCGCATGACCCGAGGTTCGGAAGCCTCAAGGAAAGATGTGCGTGAATATTTATGCGTCCTACCCGTGGATGACGACGACGACAACGTCTACACAGAGAATAGAATCTGATGGTGAAGGAAGAAAAGGGGAGCGTTTGGCCGCATATGGGCGGCCGCGTGCATGAGACAGATCATCCGTGATACTGGACAAGGGACTGGGGTGCATAGTACTGTATTCTGTGCGACGGAGGAAAAACTTCGCCAAAAGAGCCGTAATGAATGTACCCTGTGTAGCCCTCAATTGGATGCAGCTGGAGTTCAGTAAATAGTGCGTACCTAGGAATGTGTACGGACAGTCGGGATTGGTAGAATTCCATGCTGGTTGGGCTGCTGGCACACTGGCGCATTCATGTTTCCTGGCTTCTTCCCTCTCGTCAGGAGATGAATTTCATCACACAGCGCGTCCAACTGCGCCATGATGATCTACTTTTATTCGTAGTGGTTGGTGGTGGTGAAGGTGATGGTGGTCGCACGAATACGCAGTGCTTCTGTACGTTCTCCTTATAACAACCTGACGACCGCTGTAGCTCTCGGACATTCTTCTTTTCGATTTCGCAATCTTGATCTTCTTCTCGCTTTCCTGTGTTCATCTTCTCGTCGTGTGTTCTCAGCATCTCGGGTCGGCCGTTACGATCTATCGCTGGGCCGGAAACCAGCCTTGCACCAAGCGTGCGCCCCACCTTTCTCTGCGGCGCGTGGAACCTGAGGGGCACAACCACTTCACGCACTGCGACGACAAGGTTGCGCAGAACTTACAGACGAGCAGGACTTGGTCTTATACATCTCTCGCCTCCTTGCGCGCCATATCGATTGCACGATTGCCGCTCGCGGCTCAATAATTAGACCTAATCGATCGTTGCGACCCTTCGCTTGCGCTTCATATTCCCACAGCGCTCGTCTACAGTCAGTCAGTTCGGTACTTTGGGGGCCCAAAGGCAGACACGACCCCCGTCGAAGCACTCTTCTTTTCCCAATCCTCGGTCGGCATTAGCAAAATCTACTTCACAGCCATGGCGCATCCCGACCAAGAGCTCTTCTTGAACTCCACCTCCTCAAAGAAGCCTACCGAAACACCGCCGCCCCTACGCATCAACAAGCAGCACAGTGGCGGAGCACCGGCGGGCTCGGAGGAGCCACCACAACAATGGGCGCAATATCGAGTCCCACCTCCAAGCAGCGCTGCTTATGGCGCGCCACTTTCTCCACCACCAGCTGGTCCTCTTCCACTACCATACCCTGATGAGAGAACGAGAAGGCAACATATGGCAGGTTCAGGAGGTGATATACGTGTTCCAGGTGGGCCAGCGATGCCGCAAGAGTCGTCAGAGGATGCCTACTTTGCTGGGCCGCCGAGGTTACGGAAATCGAGTATATCGTCCAACGCCTCCAGCGCAGCATCAGGCGCTGGCAGCTCCGCCAGCAATGGCCGAAGACCAAGATATGATCCCAACGACCCTCAGCGCCCTTCTGCTCCAGGCTATGGCACACTCCCAGTCTCGCCCACGACCGGCAGACTTGCTGATCGAAGAGGTGCTGCCCTGAAGAACATCATCCCTCCTGATTCGCCGGGAGGACCGGAGCCGCCACACAAGAGCGATGACGACGAAGGCTTGTTTGCTGTAATGCCGACAAGGGAGAGAAAGCAGAGTGTGGCAGCGCCTTCAGACGACTCCTTTCAGCAATTCTATCCGCCTCCACTTGGAGCGCTACCTCCTATCGCTCCACCACAGGCAAAGCTGCACATTCCCGATCCAGAAGGATTGAATCGACTTAGCAGTACCGCCTCTACACACACCACACGAGCTTCACGAGGCTCACCACCTCCACCGGAGACGCCGATTGTCGGCGAGCAGCTTTCTTCACTTCCGCAGCTGCCAACGCTGGGTGGCATCGAAGCACGATATGCCGCTTCTGGAATCTCCGGGACAGGTACTCTTAATGAAATGCAGGCGCCCAGCGCGGCCGCAGCTGCGCGACGCGCTCAATACATTGCTCCGCAGCCTCGTCGTGGTGAACTGAGCGTGCAACCACCGCGGCTGCAGACGCTGCAGGCCCCATCGCAGCCTATTGCCGAAGGCAGAGGCTGGAGTCCGACAGAAGCTCCGGGGTCGGCCCCACATGGGCCTCCCATTGCTTTCCAAGGCAACGAGGAAGTCGACTCGGCCGCTCCTGCCGCGCCTGCACAGCAACAGCCCAGTTATCCTCGGCCGCCACAGCCGTCGCAAAGCCCAAATCTCGAAGCTGATATGGCACGAGTCAACCTCCACGATGAGCCACCACCGGCGTATTCTCCTCCTACTGCAGGCTCGACGCATTCACAGTACCCAAACGAGAAGGGCAGGTTTGCCAATTCGTCGAGCCCTGCGCAATCTGCTGCCTCGGTAGGATCGCAAGGTCGGCTCCCAAGCGAAGCGGGTCTTCGCCAACATCCAGCCTTTGCAAACGACCCTCATCAGCCTACATCGACACAGACTCCCCAGCCGGGGCCTGTTAAGCAGGGTGGAGTCAGTGGAGCCACGGTCGGCTTAGCACCTCTCAACACTGGCGGGTTCAGCAGCCAGACACCTCAGCCAGTTACGGCCGGGCCGAGTGTCAGTATTGCGAGCCCGCCACCGCTTCCGGAGGGTTGGATTGCCCATCTTGATAGCAATTCGGGACTTTACTATTACATTCATCTGGCGACCCAGTCGACCCAATGGGAATTCCCCAAGGGACCGACTCCCCTCGATCTGCCTCCCACTAGCCCGATTGGAAACTTCGTGAATCCGCTTGCAAGTCCAGTCGGATCGACATTCAAGATGCCGCTGAACTCGCCTGGATTCCCTATGCACCAGATGGCAAGCTATGACAAGATGAGCATGATGTCGATGAACTCAATCGCCAGCCCCACTACGACGGGTGGCTTCTCCGGGCCTCCTCCCACTGCCGGCATTGATCTGTACAAGATAAATCCCTCGAATGCCGTCTATTTTGGACCCTACTTACGCTATACAAATATGGATCTTGAACGTGGTCTCTGGTTGGGAAGCATTATGCTCATCACAGAAGTCAATACACAACCGCCTACAATCCACATCCATCAATCGCTGGATTTGAGTCCGAATCCTCGGCAGCTCAAGGCCCACCCAATCCACTCACATCAACGCTGGATCTTCTATCGCTATGATATTGATCTAATTATGGAGGAACAAGGCTCAGCTAAGTGGACCTACGCTATCACATCGCACCTCGGTTGCACACGGTATGAGTTCCTCGTTGCTGGCCGACACGAGACCAGCTGGAGATTCGTTGCCCACTCTGGCAATGATTTTGCCCCCAATGTCAACGCCAATGAACGCAATAGGCAGGGTGGAGTGGCGCACATGTGGAAGGATGTTCTTGTGAAGCACCAGGAATGTGGAGGCTTTCATACTCAGGTCGGCCTTGGTGGCCAAATCTGCGCAGACCGACTTTGGAAGGATGTGCCAGCATTGAAGCAGTGGACGGAAATTAGTGGCAAAGAGAACCGACGAACTGTGCCATGGACAGCCAAGATGGACGAGGATGTGACACACGCCTACTTCCACTACTACACCTCGCATTTTGACCAGCCAGCTGTCAAGGAGGCATTTGCTCAGATTCCTCATGTAAGCTGCTTGGACGACCACGACATCTTTGACGGCTACGGCTCGTATCCTCAGCCAATGCAAGAGAGCAATGTCTTTAAGGGCATTGGGCGGATTGGAATCGACATGTTCCTGCTGTTCCAGCACCACACAACGCATGAGATCCTGCGGAATGTATCCACCGACATAGACCTTTTCACCATCACGGGCCGCGGATGGCATTTCTTGAAGTATTTTGGCCCGGCGGTGGTGCTATGTGGACCAGATACCCGAAGCGAACGTTCGCAGGCGCAGGTGATGGCTGGACCCACGTACCAAGGCCTATTCCCTAAGATTGCGATGCTTCCACCATCGGTGCAACATTGCATATGGCTGATGCCAGTCCCAATCGTTTATCCACGTCTCGAATCGGTTGAACAGGTGGCGCACACCGTGGCTACCGGCAAGAAGATGGTCACAGGCGGATTCAACATGCTTGGTAAAGTCGCTGGAGGTGTAGCGGGTGTTGTTGGTGCCAAGGGAGTGGTCAACCAGGGATTTGACGGAGTCAAAAAGGCCATCGGAAAGTCCGGCCTCATGCAGGGCGTTCTGAGTCCATTTGGTGAGATTGACATGTTGGACGAGCTTCGAGATCAATGGACGCATGAGTCAAAGGTAAGTCAAAAGCACACATCTCACTAATTCTTTGGAAAAAGGTCATTTGCTGACGAGATCGTTTCCAGGATCTCGAGCGGACCTACATCATTCGCACCCTGCAGGGCATCTCTCACACCAAATCGCTCCGCATGACCTTCCTCAGTGGCAGTGTCAATGCATGCGGCGCTGGTCTCGTACACGACCCATCAAAACCTTCGGATCACAAGACCATGTACCAGCTCATCACATCAGCCATCGTGAACGCTCCAAGCCCGAACTATGTGATGAAACTGCTGCACAACAACAAACAGCTATATGTGCCAATGAATGGGCATCGCAGCACCAACAATGCCCAGTCTGACACAAAGGAGGACATGATGGAGATCTTCGCTGCCGATGTCACCGGCCAACCGCGTGAGCTGCGTCGTCTCATGAACCGTCGCAACTACCTCGCTTGCGTCATCTACGACCCAGAGGCCGTCCAGGGCGCATTTGGGGTTCCTCAGACCCCTGGTGCTCCGCCTACAGGCAAGTTGAGTTTGGCAGCGGATTTCATGGTGCAGAGTGAAGGCGGTTTTGGACAGCCACTGAAGTATGGGCCGGTCATCATTCCCAGCTTGGAATACGGTCGATAAATGACTTGAGGAGGACGGTCGGTGAGCGAAGTGTGCTCCAAGCTCATTGTGCTTTCCCTTCTATATTCCTCCATTTTATCACGGTCTGTCATTCAAACGGGCGATTCTTGCATAGCGAAGCGGGTTATTGATGCAGGCTCGATTGCCACGGCAGTCAACATTTCCTTTCACTTTTAGATATCTCGGAAACCTTTCCTGAAGATTTGAACAGATTTCACCGTCCCAGTATTGGTCCCTCGTTGTCATTGATTGCCTCCCATCATCTCACAAGACGATTGTTCGATCGTGAGTATCTCAAAAGACGATCGAAGCATTATGCATGGATGAGCTGGGAGGGAGAGCAAGCGATGAGCACTAACTTCTGGCAACATGAGGTTTGCACTTCAACCCATGTGGAGATCAGGCGAGGTCGAACGCCGTCATGTGATGTTAACTTTTCGTGGCACATTCGATAGTGATGGTTCGCTATCGCATCCAAAGGTTTCTTGTTGCAACACTGCTACGTCTATAAGATTGACCATTTCAATCGAGTAATTCATCATACCAGTCACCGACGATGGTACGCATGCTCAACTATCATTGCAACCAGGCCGTCTCCAACTCTTTCTTGGCCTTAGCACTAACTTATTGATTGATTGTCTCCTGATCAGGCTCCGAAAGTCACTTGCAACCCGACCAAACTCGCCTCAGTCGTAGGTTACCTCCAACGTTCCCGAGTCGCACACAGCATCAAGGACCTCGAGAAACATCTACCATCCGTTGCCTCGATCAATGGCATGCAAGTGAAAGGTAAAGTCGACAAACCCACATCTTTTGGAAGCTTTCCGTCATCTGCATATCACCAAAAACGTAATTTCACTCTGACCGACAATGTGGCAGATTACCTCCAAGTCCTCTCCGATGACAACCGCATCCACGTTGAAAAGATTGGCTCCGGAAATTGGTACTGGTCTTTCGCATTACAGGAGCTCAAAGCCCGACAGGCTGGCCGCGATGCCGCCCAGGCCACCCACTCTAAGCAACTCGCCGCGGTCGAGGACCTACGCGCCCGACATGCTGAAGCTATCGCGCAACGCAAGGACGAAGAAGCAGCGATGGCGACCGCAGCTGGAGAGCATGAGCACAACCAAGATCCCGACGGCTCAGACCAGACGGACAGTCGCGAGACCCTCCTCGCTCGACAAAGTGTTTTGATTGCGGAGACGGCAGCTCTACGAACGTATCTCGCGGCGTACAGTGACGACGACCCGTCTCTTCTGCAGGATAAGAAAGCGCAGACCCATAACCTCGCGAATCAGGCACGGGCGTACACAGATGACATCTACTCTCTCGAAAGCTGGTTTCGTCGAATGGGCGCCGATGAACATCTTGCAGCGTTAAGAGCCACCTTTTATGGCTCGGAGCTTGACGCGGAAAGCGGACAATTGAGGGACCTGGATTGACAGGATTGTTGCGCAGTCTTGCTGCTGCTTCTTTGCAGAGCTGAGAGGATGATGCACAGATCATGGTGGCGGGGCAAATTTGTTTGATAGCTTCGGATACCCTCGAGTCATGCTATGACGGGCTACATTGCTGGAATGAAAGTAGAAATGTCAAGTTATCATATGCGTGACAATAACATACAATGCCCTGCTGGACGAAGATGACCAGTGCCATCTGGCTCAACTTCATTCAAGAGATCGCCATTCATAACGTGATGACCTTGATCTTCTCTTCATCATTCGTGACCCCCATTCTACAATGTCGGGTCTTGTTCGTCGCATGAGGTGAGCCTGAGCTGTCGGCTATATCCATCGTCATCCTCACATCCTTGGTATCTGCTTTGAAAATGGACTATCGCGAAATGAAACATCGCAGTTCGCCGCGGCGAGGGCGCCGATGTACACCTCACAGGCGTGACTTCCTTTCGTGATTAACGAGATCATGAGCTCCGCCATCTAGTCAATCGACCATGATCTTGGCCTCAAGCTCAGAGAAGTGCTCGAAGAAACTGTCGAAGAGATTCACGCCAAACTCAGCGTCATAGGCTCCACCAGTCTCACGAATCGAGTGCATGGCAAGCTGAGGATTCCCGACATCGATTGTACGCGCTCCAAGAGCCGCCGAAAGCATCGGTCCGATCGTGCTGCCGCAGCGAGAGTCGTTACGCACAACGAAAAGCTGTAGAGGAACGCCGCTTTCACGCGCTTTGCCGTCACTGTCAAGCAGCGAAGGAGGTTGGTATGCAGCGGCCTTAGCGCGACGAGCGCACTCTTGTAGCAGCACGATGCCAGGGGCGTTCGTTGCGTAACGGACGTTGGCGTTGATCTTGATGACAGTTCCCTCGTTCATGTGCGGGCGATGTTCAGCCTCATAATTGCCACCATAGTTGGGATTGACCGAGTGCGCCATGTCCGCGCTGATGAGGAAGCTCGTTGCGAGCGTCTGCTCGTAGGCAGTGCTCAGGTCGGCTGAGGCGTCCGCATGACTGACCTTGTCGTAGCTCTTCTCGCTGTCGTCGGACGAGAAGGCCAAGCACGAAAGTCGGCGAATGACCGCTGGGAGCATGTTACTGGCGGCACCCTGGGCGGAGGTGGAACCGATCTCTTCATGATCGAAGCACGCGATGAGGCGTATCGTCGACTCGTCTTTCAATGCCGAGGGCGATGCGACTGACTGAATCAATCCCTCCACGGCACAGTATGTCATGCCAAGGTTATCGAGACGCGCAGAGTAGATGAATTCGTTGTTGATGCCGCCAATGCAAGCCGGTTGAACATCGTACAGGCTCAGCTCAAAATCGAGGATGTCATCGGGTGTGCATCCGGCCTCTTTTGCTACCAGCTCGACGAAGTATGGGTGATGGCGTTGTGTTGCAGGCCTTATCGGTGCGAATGTACTGTCCTTGTTTCCTTCTTCTTGCTTAGCTTGTGCAGCTGTCTTGCCGGTGCGGTTCAGCTCGGCCGATACTAGGCCCGCGATGGGAAATAGCTGTGTCTCCTTGTTGAATGTGAAAGGCTCGCTACCACCGAAGTGCACAGCTAGGTTGGGCACCCTGCACACCGGGCGATTTATCCTGATCAACCGCGCCTCCATCGTGCCGTCTTTGGCTTTGACCATGACTCGTCCAGCGACCCCCAAGTCTCGGTCGAACCAAGTATGCCATAATCCTCCACCGTATGTCTCGACCCCAATTTGGATGAACCCATCTGCTGAACGCTTAGAGATGGGCTTCACACGCAAGCAGCAAGAGTCGGTGTGAGCGCCGACCATCGCGATGGGGTTGCCGGCCTTCCATGCTGATCCGATCGCAAATGCGACAATGGTGCTCCCATTTCGCGACAGGTAGTATTTGCCGCCGGGCTGTAGATTCGACCACGAGTCGCGTTCCTGTGGTATGGCGTGAGAGACTTATTGGTATTTCACGTTTGGAGCTAGAGCGATTTACCTTGATGGCCTTGAAGCCGGCCTTTTCAAGACGAAGCTTCGAGGATTGCACCGCGTGGAAAGCTGTTATACGTGTTAGCTTTCCTCGTTGTGCATTGGTGGAGGCGACGAGCTGACGAACGAGTAGGAGAGTCATTCAAAAATGTCACGAAGTCCTCAGCACGTCTGATTGCCGCCGAATGGGCCATGCTGACGCAGGATCGGATGTACGGCTTGGTCAAGTGTACGACTGCTTTGTGGTGGTGGACCAAACTGCAATGCCTATTTGAGAGCTGTGCTGAGAACAGACGGAACTGTAAACTATTGAACAAGAGTGTGTTTGGTAGACGGGGACACAAAGAAATAGTCATCAAAGTGTAGGAAGTCACCGTCAACAAGAGACGGGCCAAAGGAAGAGAAGAGATGGTGACTGTGGTTTCGGTATCGAGTCTCGATATCCCCACGAGCACGAGACCCTTATCCAGAATGTGTTGTCACGTTGATAATCATCCCCTCCAGCTTGCAGCCCTGGAGTCCAGAGCACGCATGTGCCATTGTCCTGGACTCCAACTGTCCAACGATGTCGACTGGTGGCGGTCCGATCCGAAAGAATTTGGAACCAATTGAGGTGGTCTCCTAGGCGATGCAGCCCTCACAGACATTATCACCATATCAAGGTTGGCAGAAGAAGCTCGGGATAAGCTTGATGTGTTACATGTCACGCTCGACAACCTGGGCACCTGCAGGCATCGAATCTCTCAATGCACAACCATCTACTGGGCAATTTCCTCACGATCTATCAACGAACAGAATGTTGATTCGTGGATAAAATCCTTGCGCCGAGATACATTCAAAGGGTCTTCTTGGATGTTGATGTCTGCTTGACAAAATGGGCATCTTCAAGAATATTCTCTGGTACTTCCAGGCAGCGCCTTTGAAAAACACTGGATCTTTGGCCCGTGATCTTCTCGCATCGGAACGCACTTTTCTGGCTTGGACTCGCACAGGCTTGGGTTTCATCGCTCTTGGCGTCGCATTGGAGAAAGTCGAAGTCCTCGCTGCTATCGCGCCCTCGCTACTTCAAATTCAAGACAGTAGAACCACTCTCGCCGCAGGGGTTCTCGTCGGGAGCGGAACCCTGTGCATCGGGCATGGCACACAGCGGTATTTTAGCACTCTGAAGCAGCTTCAGGAGGGTTTCTTTCGGCCCAATGTCCCTGGCATTACAATGGCTGCCGGCGCAAGCGTCGCCATTGCCATGGCAGGCGCCTTCATCGTTCTAGAGAAGGAGGGTAAAAAGCATAGAGTCAAGAGCACTGGCGATGCGCGGTAGACTGGCCTCATTTAAATGGCGAATGCCTCACTATCTAGGTATCTTCGTATATTGATCGCGGTGTCTGCTGGCTCCTGCGAGACCTGAGATCTGCGCATCGCAGGAGCAAGCCTACCCAACCATCTCACTTGCGGTGCTGCTACAAGTAGAAGGCTATAAGTCCGTTGACAGGACCATAACCATAATATCAGCTGACAGATCGAAATGTATGTATACGAGAAAGAATCTCTCATGTCTCGAGCGGAGTGCTTGACTCATTACAGCATCAGACGAATTTGTTGCTTTGGTGACCGATAAAAAAAATAGCGGCCTGTGCAGCGACCTTCACTTCTTTCGTACATCACCGTGACCACGTACAGTCTCACGGGGGCGTTGAAGCTTGATTCAGGGGGTTACTGATCCGAACATAAATTAAACGAATGTGTTTCGATTCTAAGCATTCCCATGCCGTAGTTGGCGACTACAACTGTTTGAATTACTTGCTCGATAGAACATGGCCCAACCCGGGAATGTTTCGAGGTGCTTTTGCCATAGCAGCCCTGGAGCCGTGAAAGCACGCGGCTGGACCCGCCCGAGGCACAGATTTCGCCGTTCGGTAGACAGATCGACCAATCAGGGGCCGGCAAATGTAACATGCACGCCAAGGGAAATGTAACCTGCACGGGAGCTTCCTTCTCGGGCGAGACGAATGTCGACTTTCCTTTCGCTTCATCTCGAAGACCGGCAATACCACCCCGCCACAATCTTGCTCTACGACACGCCGTCGACTGTCTCAAGTGCTGAGCCAGCGCTGTCGTCCTCTTCAACATGTTGAGTCGGTCAGCTCTTCGCGCTTCGCGCGCTTTCAACGCCGTCAAAGGCCCAGCCAACCAGACTGCGAAGGTATGGTCATCCATCGATCTCAGCCACCGGAAAAGGTTGCCACGGCATTTCAAAGCCACTGGGTATCAACTCGAGCGGTGGAGAGACAATTGGCATCAAAAACAGGACACTGATGATATTCGATCTGTAGCGCAATGCCTCCTCGCAGTCGGATCCAGCATCATGGAAAAACACAGCTTTGCTCTCCTCATCCGCAGTCCTCGCCGTGGGCTCAGTAGCCTGGTACTACCACCAATTCGGACGCGTCGCGCACGCTGCAGCTCCCGCTGAAGAAGGGTAAGTAAGATTGGTGGAATGTTCAATTGGAAATGTTGGGCGTTGTACAAAGATCACAGGAGATGAGAACATATCACTAATGGCAGGGATACAGTCTTCACGCCACGGCCTACCCTTGGGAGCACGAGAAGTACACCAAGACTTTCGATCACGGTGCCCTGCGACGTGGTTTCCAGGTCTACCGTGAGGTCTGCGCGTCTTGCCACTCTCTCAGCCGTGTCCCTTACCGAACACTGGTCGGTAACATGATGACCGTCGACGAGGCCAAGGCTCTTGCCGAGGAGAACGAGTACGACACCGAGCCCAATGATGAGGGTGAGATTGAGAAGCGACCCGGAAAGCTTTCGGACTATGTCCCATCGCCATACAAAAACGACGAGGCTGCTCGTGCTGCCAACAATGGTGCTCTCCCCCCGGATCTCAGTCTGATCGTCAAGGCCCGACACGGCGGCTGCAACTACATCTTCTCCCTTCTCACTGGCTACCCCGACGAGCCCCCGGCGGGCGCCGTTGTCCAGTCTGGCTTGAACTTCAACCCTTACTTCCCTGGTACTGGTATTGCCATGGCTCGTGTTCTTTACGATGGTCTCGTTGAGTATGACGACGGTACACCTGCGACCACTTCCCAGATGGCCAAGGATGTTGTTGAGTTCCTCAACTGGGCGGCTGAGCCCGAGATGGACGACCGTAAGCGAATGGGATGGAAGGTCATGGCCGTCGGCACTGCGTTGTTTGCGGTGTCTGTCTGGGTTAAGAGGTACGAAATTGATCAGAAACAGCGACAACCATCCCGACCGCATGACCGAAAGCTGACATATATTTTGCAGATACAAGTGGTCTACGATCAAGACCCGCAAGATCTCTTACACCCCACCCACTGGCCCGATTCCAAAGCAGCCCGGTGGAGTTTTCCGACGATAGACAGATTCCAATGATACACCAGAGGCGAAAACAGGAAAGTGATCACTGTCATGTGTACAGCTGTTATTTCTTAGCGTGCTTCCCATTGTGTAACAAGAGCCTGTTTCAACACCAAAATCTTTTTCATATTTTCCACAGATTCTATCATTGTGCTCAGTCAATCGTCTGCTGCATTGTCTTTCTGCGTCAAATTAGTTGTGTTTAATCACGCAGGGAGCAATGAAGCTGAAGGCTATGGAAATGAGTGCTGTTCGGCCGCGTTAACCGAAGCAAGATTAGCCTCGTCAACATTGGTAGGATCAGCGGTGCAAAGGTAAAAATTAGTTGCAAGTACTTACCAATAATGCGTCAACAAGACAGTCCTGAAATGTTGTAGCAGTTCTGGAAGTTTGATTCACAGGGCAGTGTCACACGGCAGTGTCGCACGCCCACATAGTGCAGCTATGTGCTCATCGAGGTACGAATACTGCACATACATACGTCAGCACGGCTTTCTCAGCACGGCTTGCCATGACTTCGAGGAGCATAGTTGAAATACAGCACTACGAACACAATTGAGCACAGTGTCACAGATTCCCCCTCTCCTAACTCAATATAACCCCTTCACTTGACCCGAACTCTCTTGGAAAGCTACTTGCTCCGAGGATTGAACATGGCAAATTCTACAAAGAGAACCGAGCATAAGTATGTTCCAGGCCATCAGCAGCACCATATCAAATTACACACCATGCGGACTGCAGAGAACAGCTCTGCATATCTCTTGTCCACACTAAAAACCATGGTAAAGAGTCAACCCCGCTTGAAATTACTGGACTGTGGAGCAGGACCTGGATCGATCTCGGTCTCGCTCGCAAGGTATCTTCCCGAGGGCGAAGTGATCGCTACAGACCTCTCCGAAGACATTGTCAAACGAGCGGCAGCCTACGCTCAGGAACAGGGCGCGACCAATGTGAAGTGCGAAGTAGCATCGATCTATGATCTGCCATATCCTGATAAAAGTTTTGATATCGTCCATGTACAGCAGGTAAGAGAGGAGCTGTCGTGTATCTAGTACCGAAGATCTGAGCTCACTCGTTCTACTGGTCCTCACTCATTTGGACGAACCGCTTAAGGCAGTACAATCTCTGATTCGCGTCTGTCGTGTGGGAGGGGTTGTTGCAATTCGTGAGGTTGACATGCGAATGTTCAACTACCATCCTGAGACGCCAGGCTTGATCGCAGCTCACCGGCTCATGATGGCGAGCATGGAAGCAGGCGGCGGCTCGATCGATATGGGGGCGCGATTGGTAAGCATTGCAATGCAAGCTGGCGTCCAGCGTGAACATATCCAAGCCAGCATGGGTACATTTTGCTACAGTACTGCCGAGGAGCGCTTTGCATGTGGTTCCCAATTCCGTGACCGGCTAAAGGAAGGCAGTATGCGGAAGACAGTCCTTGAAGCCGAATTGGCTACTGTGCAGGAACTTGACGGTATGATGAGAGCTTGGGATGATTGGATTGCAGCTGAAGATGGCATTCTGGGCATGATGAATGGAGAAATTCTTGTCACTAAGCACTAAAATTATCTTGTGTTGGCAGCGAGCTCCCGATGCCGATAGTACCCATTGAGACAATATACCTTGGCAATCTGGAAACTGATCATGCATCAAAGTACCCGGACGCCAGGATGCCTCAAATAAGCTCTCTCGCGGATGTTTCGTCAACTATGTTAGCCACGCCGCTATGTGGCGGTATCTCGTTTTGGATGATGCATGATGTTACCTCGTGAGCTGTTACACAGGTCATACGTCATCAGACGCGAAGACCGCGCAGAATTTCAGCGCGACGCCTGCAACGTGGTCTCGCGTGAGCTCTTGTGACTGCCGTCGATCAGCTTCTCCGTTTTCATCATCAACCAACTGTCTGATCGACCCGTCGAACAATTCCCTTCTTTTCGAGATGGACTTCCTTCGTCGTCTCGCGGCCGGCCTCGATGACCGCAACATTCCTTGGAAGACACTCATCATCACCTTTGCGCTTGGTGAATACGCCCTCGAATCATACCTTTCGTACCGCCAGTACCAAGTCCTCCAGCGCAAGACCGTTCCACAGCAACTCAAGAATGAGATAGATCAGGAAACTTTCGATAAGAGTCAGAAATACGGCAGAGCAAAGGCCAAGTTCGGATTCGTGAGTGGCCTGTGGTCGCAGGTCAAAAATCTATTCGTCATTCGCTACGATGTCTATCCTCGCCTGTGGGCCATTGCTGGTCTAGCGATGACCAAGTACGCCCCTGCACGCTTCCAAGGTGAAATTACGCAGAGTCTGGTATTTGCATTTGGCTACTCCTTCATCGAAACAATCATGGGCCTGCCATTCAGCTACTACTACAACTTCGTCCTCGAGCAACACTACGGCTTCAACAAGCAGACTGTCGGTCTATGGGTTAGCGATCTTCTCAAGTCGCAAGCCCTCAGCTTGGCTTTTGGTATTCCGATTGGCGCCGCATTCCTTAAGATCATCCAAAATACTGGAGATCAGTTCTTTCTCTATATCTGGATGTTCACCCTAGCTGTGCAACTCGGCGCCATTACTATTTACCCCAATCTGATTGTGCCGATCTTCAACAAGCTCACTCCACTCGAACCCGGCGAATTGAAGGAGAAGGTTGAGGCTCTTGCGCAGCGTCTGCAATTCCCGCTCGCTGAATTACAGGTCATCGACGGCAGTAAGCGTTCCGCCCACAGCAATGCGTACTTCACTGGTCTGCCTTTCTTGCCCAAAAAGATTGTCATCTACGATACCCTGATTGAGAAGTCTGAAACCAAGGAGGTAGAAGCCATCCTCGCACACGAACTTGGTCACTGGAAAATGGGTCATACTTCCAAGTTGCTCGGAATCTCATCCTTCCACCTATTCTATGTCTTCGCCCTTTTCAGCGTCTTCATTAACAACAACTCACTGTACGAAGCGTTCGGATTCATGAAGCAAAGACCCATCATCATTGGTTTCATACTGTTTAATGAAGTCCTCTCGCCAACGGATTCGCTTGTAAAGCTCCTCATGAACATCCTCACTCGCAAGTTCGAGTTTGAAGCCGGTGAGTCCGATTTTCCACCGAATACTGATATAGTAGCGAGAAGCTGGACACTGACACTAAGCTTCATAGATGCCTTCTCCCTCAAATTGGGCTACGCAGCAGAGCTCGCGCAATCGCTCATCAAGCTCCAGATCCAGAATTTGTCCTCCATGGATGCTGACTGGATGTACTCCTCGTACCATTACTCACATCCAATCCTGACCGAGCGCTTGAAGGCCGTTGGCTGGACGAGCGAGAAGAAGGTATCGGTCGCAAAGCCTTCCTCTAAAGAGGACTCGGACGCGCCGAAGAAAGACCTCTAGAATCGAGGCATACAAGATGTACTGTAGCAGGCACATATGAGAGTAGAATGTGTTCCCGATGTTGCCAATCCCAGACTTGATATGCGATGCTCCTGTTCTGATCGGTGTGGTTTTGGCTCGCAAGAGCATGCTGGACCTTGCGATGCAGGTGTTCTCAAGATGTCGTCTCCCCTGTGTTCCAGCTTTGACGAATTATTTTCCGTCGTGTCTAACCATCTCTAACGAGTGGAATGGCCCAGTCGTTCAATCATCACCATCTTCCTTATTGACGACACCCTTGCTCTGCTTCTTCTTGCCGCGCTTTTCCAATTTCTGCAATTTCTTCTCCTTTTTCAACGCGTCCTTGTCGGCTTCTTTTCCCACAATCGTGACATCAGCCATTCGCTCGTCTTGTGCGATGGCAATTGGCGCACTGATGTCCTCCGGACTTGCCTGTTGGTTGTCTCCTCGAGACTTCTTCGCTGCCCTGTCTCCTGAATCACCTGCTGCGCGTCGCGCCTCTTCACGATGCCGTTTCTCTTCTTTCTTCTTCAGCTTCTTCGCCGCATTTCTCGCCGCCCTACTCGCATCTGACCTTTGGCCTTGCGGAACCTTCACATTGCCATTGTGGTCATGCTGCACGACGTGTGGTACCTTGCCGTTCGGGTCCGACATTGGTGCTCCCTCGCGGTCACCGACTTCGCCAATCCATTCCTCCTGCTCCTGCTCCCATTGCTCCTTCGGTTGTAAATCGCCAAAATCTTCAGCTGAAGAGCTAGGCGGTACGCCCGGATGTGAGCTGTTCTCAGCCCAAGCTAGGACCTCGCCGGTGCCGCGCTTGCGCTTGAGATTGCCCGCTGCGTCCTTTTTTCGGATTGTTTCGTCGAGTCGCCTATCATCGCTCTGTGGTACTGAGCCAGTGACGATATCATCGCCAAATCGTGCTTTGAGCTCTTCGAGGCTTTCTACTGGCAGATGCTCGCCTCGTAATCCAGCCTCGACTCTTTTGAGATAGTGCATGACCAATCCGCCCGACCGACCACTTTTGGGACCATATTGCACGCCGTCCGGTTCCAGAAGAGAGTCTGGGTGGCAGTATGCATGCTTGAGAGACCTTGCGACGTACTTTGCGACAAGCGGCTGCGCTTCGGAAGGTGATAAATATTTTGTCTTGTCTGAATGTGATACCAGTGGTGGGAATGTGAGCGGCCCTCGACCCCTTCGTGGTGGCATGATTGCAGCTGCGTATAGGAGATATTAGCCAAGGGTGTTGGCAACTATGAAGAACTCCAGCCGCATCTGAATTCTCGATCGTCGGAATCGAGAAATATTTCCTAGGTTGCTACGTCAAAATTTCGGCCTCAGTCAGCAGTGTCACGGACCGAGCCTTGACGCTTGACTTAATGCAACTCATACCGCACGACATCTCCGTCCCCCGACGACATCAGAGAACATCAAACGACCATTTTCATCAAAGTGATACTCCTGCTTCGAAGACATTGTTTCGAAATCATGCTCGGCGTCCGTTGCGTCTGCACGACTCTTAGGGCGATGGGTCAGTCGCTGTTACGCGATGCACCTCGCACCCAATCAAGGTACGGTCTTATTTGGTAATCAACCAGAATAGCGTTGCTGATATGCGCAGCAGAGCATTTTCTGCGTTTTCACGACTACCCACTCGACCACAAATAGCAGGCGCCCGTACAAGCCTGGAAAGCACACTTTCCTTCCCAACGATCGAATCATCAACATTGCCTGCACCAGGCGCTTCGTTAACACTGGTACGAGGTGCGAAGCGTGACACCTTCAATCCATCACATCGGAAACGCAAAAGGAAACTTGGATTTCTTGCACGGATGAGGGATCGACATGGCAGGAAGATCTTGGAGCGGCGAAGGCTTAAGGGTAGAAATACCTTGAGCCACTAAATCACTACGCTTTCACGGACACAGGGAAGGTGTGAAGGACAGTCATCGACAGGTTCCTACAGAGCGCAGCTGAAAAGCAGGATGAAGGGCAAAAAGCACGCTTCGAGACAGGTGATGCTTTGAGCCGCGTTTGGCAGGTCGCGTGGTGTCATATATTCATGATCCACGACGCGTCCTACGATGGCTGCAGGGATCAATGAAAATGGCGAAGGGAAATGAGCGCTGGCTGTGCAATATATTGCGTTCGAGCGTCAACAAGGCGAGGCAACCGACACCTGACCTTTGGACAACAGCTTACAGACACATTGCGACGAAATACTTTCGTTACGACTGAGCACATATTTAGTGCATTGACGCCGATCGGCGCCACATGCTACCCTCATCACCCAAAAATAGGCTAGGGATGGAACGGAACTGTTTGCTCACTGCGATGAAAATTCAGGCATGTACAACAAATCACAGGACTGGCGTAAGCGGGAGGTTGGCAAGGTTGTAAAATATTCGATAGTTCGAAAATGTGCATTCTAAGAATTGGTAAAGAACTTCATCATGAAGGCATCAATGGCTTCCAACTACTCATGCCTGTATCGCTTTCATGGTGATCATCATCCATCAGGCCGGTCGGCGGCCGCTTCGGCAGCGAGGGTGGCTCCGGCTCCGACGTCGTGTTGGAGTTAACACCACGCGTGGTCGCCTGCGACCTCCGTGGTTCTGGAGGAGCCGGCACGTTCCTCGGTGACGGGGGAGCTGCAGATTGTTGACTTTCAGATCGAAGGAGTGTCGGTTTATTTGGTTTAGGTGGAGCCGGCTTTCGAAGTGTCTGCTTCAGCTGCACTCGCGTTGGATCGTCCGAGTATGGCTCGAAAGAGCCACGAGATTGAGTCTGAGTTCGTGACGGCTTCGGCGGCGGAGACTGCTCGTCACCCAAGCGTGCGGATGGCGGTACTGCTTTGCGCGTTGGGATTCCACGTGATGTGTCCAACGATGCCCTGTCGTCCTGCTCTGAGCCGAGGATGTCAACCAATGTAGACTTTGTGATATTTGCTGGTGAGTCGACCTTGATCCAGTCGGGTTCACCGGTCACCGTACGAAAAGGGTTCGCTGGTCTTGTGGGATTCAGTCCGTGGCCAGAGGGGGGTTGCACTGTGGATCTCGCAGGCATCCCGTTTTCAAGCCACCATTTCCGCTTGTCTGAGCTCGCAGGCGGTAAGCCCGGTTCAATCGCCTCGTAGCCCAAGAGCGACTCATCATCACTGTCGACCTCATCGCCTGTTGGATGTGAGCCAACAGCTGCTCGGCGCTTTGCGTAAAGTTGACTTCGTATCTGGTCTTTCTTTGCCTGTGCGATGACAGAGACGGTACACTCGAATAGGCCCCAGACCGGTCGATGATCGGAGAACCTCAACGGGGCAGTGTCATAGTGGAGTTGCTTGAGATTATTGGCACGAGTCAAGATGCGATCGCACCAGGCCGGGATACGGTTTTTCTCTGACGTATCATACTCATCTGTACCAACATTGTATTTGTATGTTGGCAAGAATGTAGGCACCTGTTCCGAATAGTGAGGAAAGCACTTTCCGTGTACCATTTGAAGGTTGAGCTGATCATTTTCGTAAAGTGTGCCCAGGTCACGCTTCTTGATCAGCTGTCTTGTCCTCTCGTTGTCCATCCCAATGCGGTAATTGAAGTCTCCAAACCAAATGATGGTGTTGTGATCTTCTATAGATCGATTTCTCTGAAAGCGAAGGCCGCTGGAAATGGTACGATAGTCTTGATTTCGTTCATCGTAGTTGCCAAATCCAGCAGCCAAGTGAGCCGTAACGAGGCAGATGGAGGTGTCAGCGTAGTCCATTCTGATCGCGACGGCACCTTTATTCCCTGCCATACCACTCATACCTGTCTTTTTGACCGCACCTTCGACATTTTTGATATATGGCAATGCACTGGCCCGCACGAACACAGAAAGGGATGCGCCTACCAATTGACCACCTCTTAACATTACATAGTCCTCACCGGCGTATTTCTGAGCATTCGCATTGAGGGTCTGTTTGACAACCTTCTCCCATTGTTGCCGACGCGATGGGTCTGTCGACATGATCTGTTGCACGTCCAACACTACGATTTCTTGGAACGCGACTGCCACGATCTCGGGGACGCGCCGAGTTTTCTCGACATCGGGACACAACCAGCTAGACAGATCTTCGTAACCACCGGTCTTGCCGTTGAGGTTGAAGGTGCCCGTCCAGATATTGATATTCTCCATACTGGTGTAGTCAGCGGAGCGCTTGCTGAGTTCCGCGCCGACCCAGTCATTGATCGGGTCAAAGAGATGCACAGGTGTTTGGCCCATTTGACGTCCAAGAAGCATATCCATCGTCGTCTGCCTTCCCTTGTCTTCGAAGTTGTTGATGTACAGTCGTTGAGTCGATTTCCGCAAGTCTGCCAATGCACCAGCGATAGACATTTTCCCAGAGCGAGTAAAAGAGGACTTTAAAGCGCCAGTGCCGGCATAGATCTTGGACAAAGCATCGCCGCAGTCTGCCCAAAGCATGCCATGGCGGGCCCAAAAATCAGAAGCAGGACGACTCTCGCCTTGTTGATTCAGGAAGATCTCGAAGGCAATCTGCGAGATTATGGTCTGCACCAAGTTCGTACGATCCAAACAATCGAGACAATTCGTCCGGAATATGCCGGACTGCTTCAACACATCGTTCTGTCCGTACAAAGAATGCTGTACGCCATCTGTATGAACTGTCTCCTTAGTTGATTCGGTAAGCAGGAAATCAAATGCCAGTGCAGCCCTCTCGATATATCGTCTGATACCGCTCGCAGCTTCATATCCACCTGCTCGTGTTTCTGCGTGGAAGTCATAATTGAGATGGTCTAGATGCTTGTGCCCGTAATCGCTGGTATCCGCAGACGACTGTTGATGGTTGAGCGAGCTATGCCCAATGTGGTGCATGTATTGACGAGTCAGCTGTACTTCATTTGGTTTCTCCTCGCTCAGCAAGTTGACGACAAAGATGTCGCCATAGACTTCGCTCAGAGTCTCAAAGTGCTTGTCGAAAGCAGGTTGCGTGGCCTCCACGGATCGCGTGATAGTGATCTTCTGTTGACCAGGAAGTCCAGACGTCTGTTCCCAGAAAATGGGAATGCTCCCTCGACACTGCACGTACGAGAAGCATAAATTATCGGTACAAAAGATAGTTTCAGTCTCGACGAAGTTTGCCACATTTCCGTCGTCGTCAATACCTCTTGCGTTGAAACGTGTGCCGGCTCTTCGACATGATAATCGAGAGATCAGCGTCATATTCGAGGGCATTCCGGCCGATCGCATCCTTGCAGGCGAAGAAGCAGCTGGTATTGTGACTGTGGCTGCAAACCCTCGTATTGCAGAGGTCAAGATCCGCGATTCGTCTAACACATTTCGCTCCTTTGGAGAAAGCCTAGACCGGAAGTCGACCAAGGGCTGAATCATGTATGAGTTCCATAAGAAGCCAGCGTCAAGACTATCTATAGCGACGGTGGCGCTGCTGCCAGACGGCCGGTCTTGTAGACGCTTAGTCAAATCAAAGTCCGTGCTATAGTAGAAGCTACCTCCACTCAAAAGTTTCTTCAGGGCAAGGCAAGGATGCTCTTGTATGTGTTCCCGATGTCCATTTTGATCATATCCGTCAGCATCGAGGTGGTCGGTTGGGAAGGGATTGACTTGATCGTGGAGAAGATGGTCGTAATCCGACCTGTTGAGACAATGAAACTCGACCGACTGAATTCGTTGGATCGTCTCTCCAGACCGTACAGTGGCCACCCTGGAAGAACCGTTCACAACACACAGGAAGACATCATTTTCGATGGTGACCAAGCCTAGGGTGCCTTGAGCGGAGCGGCCACTAGGAGACACGGAAGATAAAGCTCGATAGCCATGCATATCTTGACCCTCCCAGGGTGAGAACTCAACAACACATTTCGGCGCTGCTCCCTCATCAATTGAAAGCGTCGATCTTTGCGCTGTCTGCGTCGAATTGCTGTGCCTGAAGATCAGGACATGGCTCTCAGTCGCCAGTGCAATCGCTCTTTGAGGAGAATCCCGCAGGAACACTCTGATCGGTGCCATCTTGGGATCTCACGAGTAGAAAGCGGTGAGCAAAGCATCAGTTGACCTGGGAATTTTTTCTAGAGCGCGAGGGTGTAGGTTCCTTTCATTGCAATATTCTCACTATTCGTCGAACTCCCAAAACTTGGATCTTAATATCATCACCACCTCCGCGCTGTCATCGCCTATGTATTCTATGTGAGCTTTAGGGTTGGGATGACATACATCAAACAGGTTACAACGTCACGTGCGTGCGTGCCACGGCGAAACCTTTGGACCACAGAGAACAAGCCCGGTTTGGAAGGCATTCATTCAGATTTTTCCAATTAAAATAATTACATTTCCTTCCATGAACATGGTCACTTCCACAACAGTGTTCGAAGCTCGTTCATCTCCAATGGTCTCCACCACGACAGTATGCAACATCTGCCGTCAGATCGTGAATCATCGTCGAATGTTCAAGAGTTTCATCGACTGTTCTTGATGGACACCTGAAGCTGACGGTAGCTCTCGTCGCTCATTCTGGGGTCACCAGCAACGCTTCTGCGATGCTCTCGACTGACTCGACTTTGTGGTGCATCTACGTATCGATAGGTCTCGTACTCGGGTCTTGGAGGATACTCTCGTGTGATTTCACGTTCTCTCTCATGCACTGAGTACTCACTCCGAGGACGTACACTCGGCGGTGCGGGCACAGATGGAGCTCGTGGGTGCGAGGAGACTCGCGTATGCAAGGATTGATGAGTCGCGCGAGAGCTCGCTCCTTCACTCCTTCGGGTGGTCTGGGAAAGGACCTCATCGCTGCTTGAGACACTTACGCGGTCTGATTCTGCTTCAACTTCGACTTGGACGTAGCGTTGTGATGCTCGTGTGGCTGCGACGGAGGGTGGCGCTCTTACTGAAGGCGCACGTACTTCTGTACGGGATGGTGAGGGTGGTCGTCGCTGTTCGATGATCGTTGTGCGAGACATGGTCTCTGAAATACGTGGCGGTGGAGGCAGCGATGGATAGTCTCTGATTACTCTGCGAACCTCCTTGACTCTGCGTGCTGGCGGGTCCACCTCTAGATCCTTGACGGTGACAAAGCACATTGTGAGCAGATCTTGCGCAGTTGAAACCCAAAGCGGGTCAAATGTGTAGGCGTTGGTATAGAACGAGGAAGACGCAGTGGATAAATGATCAGTACTGTCAGGTAGAACGAACGCTGAATCGTTGTATCTTGTGTTGGCGCTGGGCCGACAATTTCGCGATCTCTGGGCGAGGAACAGGCCAGTGTAAATAACGTCTGCTGATCGATATGATCACCAGGCTTGACAATCGCTGGCGCGCAGACGTGGACGAGCGGGTCCCGCTTGTCACTATTTTATCACAAGCCCAAGGTGTGAGAGAGTGTGTAGATAGGAAGGTTCCCGAACAGCAATCCACTGGGCAGGTTTAAACTAATACCTAGGTACCTACCTAATATTTACATGTAGTAGGTTGGCCAAGGTGGACAGTGACGAGAGACGAGCGCCCAGTAAACCTGCACGATGATGCCCGTCTTTCGTGGTAACCCGACCCTAGTCTTCAGCCATGACTTGAGATGGAAATGCTGGCGTTTGCAGTCAATTACCTCACACATACTCGTGCGAGGATTATTCGTGGATGCGTCTTTCGAATTCCAGAGATATGCGCTGAATCGAGTATCGGATCTTGGTGCCGATCGTGCTTATTCACGGGATCAACATGCCCAGGTGGACACATCCAGACTTCCTACACTTTCAAAGTGTGGTCGATGACGTCGCGCGACAACCTGGTGAGAGTGCACAAAAGTGATTACCCACCAGAGATACCTGGACAATGCATGGAGGGCGATTTAACAACAAAATTCTCCTTTATCAACAAGCATTGAAAACTTCGAAGGTCAGCGATACGCCCTAACAGTGCCCAATACTAGGGTGATAATGTCATCTATGAGAGTGTATGGGCAGATGCGTCGGAGAATGCTGAACAAGCACATTGAAGCCTCAGACACAGGTGATGGTAAGATTGTACGGGGCATCCTAATATTTTATTGAGAACGGCGCGACAACAGTCTACTAGCAACCTACCTACCCAGGTAGGGGGGTACCTGGGTAGGGTCTCATCACAGCAACTCGAGCATCAGGAGTTCCCCCACTCGACTTGATAATTCGTACAGCCTGAGGCGTGGAAATATTTCCTGGGCTGCTCAGCCATGACGACCATCACGTGCGTGGCCCGGCCTTGAATTCGTCCCTCACCACCGGGAGAGGGCTCAGAGTGCATGTGGGACGACTGTCATTGGGAAACGCGTGTTGTGCCAAATACACATATTGGAGCGACCGACGACAGGTGTCCGGAATGCCGCCACGCGCTCTTAACACTGTCGATCAATCCTCGTCTCATTACTCAATGGGATCATTGGAGTTGTACACCACATTTCGAATGGATTGCGCGTTATCATGGTGGACCGCGCGGGCACCTCACGTCACAGCCAGCGACACTCGCGGAATCTCGAGCACCTGAAGAGGGTTCAACTTACTGGAGGTGGTCCAAATCGCAATGGCGCCGTCCTCTCATCTCTGCGTACGGCACAGCTCGTCACAGCTACCAAATCAGCTTTGCCTGCGGAGCTAATTGCATTGGTTCTGGACTTCCTCAGTCCGCCGGATCTCGTAATATGCGCACAGGTATCACATTTGCTCCAGGAGATGGTGTATGACGACACAAGATGGATACATAAGCTTAAGGCGATGCGCGTATGGAACGAGGCTGAAGCTCGCCAAAGATTTGAGGAGGCTATGAAACGAAGGGCCGATGCATCAAGGTTGAAGAACGCAGATGAGCCTAAGAGGGCCGCTACCGGTCTCTCAGGAACACCATCCAATGGCTCCGCGAACAGTGACAAGAGAGGGATCGGTAGTGCAACTCTCTTTGATGCTGCCGCAGAAGAAGCAAGGTTGCGACAATCCCTCGATGGTTCTCAGCAGCGCCGTTCCGGACCTGCTGATGGATTTGATGACGTACCGATTTCATCGACAGCAGCTTTGGAGCAAAGATTGGATCCTGCGACTGCACTACATATCCTTGACCACGTACGCTCCATCCGCGGGCAAGCACGGCAGGAATTCGGTAAGATCTATGCCGTACTAGGTCCTTTGTATAACGATCTTAGCACGGCGACAAATCATTCCGATGCTCTCGTATTCCAGAGGTATCACGATCCCGAGCAGCAAGCTCAAATTCTCTCAAGCCTCAAACGGTTCGCTCAGTGCGACCCGACGCTTGCTGCGTCAGAACGCGAACAAAAGCTTGAAGAGCTTATGCACATCTTCGAAAATGCCGTGCTACAAGAGTTCGAACGAGGGTATGCGGCGGGAGATATTGAAGGTCGCATGCATAGATATGCTCACGTGCTGGTCAGCCTTAACGGAGGTGGCGCAGGCGTTGAGAGTTTCATATCCCTCCATCCCATAATTGCCCGTACGATGTCGCTGGGCAATCCTCTTGATTGTCTTGAGGATGTCGCGCCTGGCCATGTTGATCTTAATCCTGCCCAGTCTTATTTTGAGAAGCTTGCAGCATTATTGGTGAAACAAGCATCCATCATCGACGCCGTTTTCCCACCTTCTACCGATGTATTCACACAATTTCTTTCCCGACTTTGCCGGGATGTCATCTCCGAATACCTCTCCACCCTATTTGACGTAGCCCACGACCGAGGTCTAGAGAGCTACGTGAAGTCTGTGGCAGGGACTTTCAGTCAGGCATTACGCTTGGTCGCGTCACTAACTGCCACGCACGCTTCGCCTCCCGACTTTGCATCGCGATCCAAGGAAGTCATTGTACAATGCTTTGCGAGGCATCTAGACCTGTACCTTCGAGAAGAGCTTGAGGTATTTCAGACAAAGTCCGAAGCTGACGTGAGTCATTGGGAGAAACAACTTTCCGATCAGGAGGCCTCGACAGAGTCATTTTTCATGTCAAATATCAATCGACAAGCGGCCAAGCGTGACTTCTTGTCTTCGTTCAAGAAGGTTGTCATGATGCCGGTTAACGCGTTGCCAATCTCATCACCCTTTGCCAGTGCTAGGCCGGTAAGTGTGATTGCACGTTCGTCCGCGAACATGGATACAGTCGACACTTCGTACCTTGGTGCAAGGCCGCGGACACCTCCAGTCATTGGTTCAGGTACAACGCCTCCACGATCGGAAACACCGCAGCAGGAAAGACCCACTACTGAGCTTGCAGCCAAAGCAGCGATCATGAACTCCCGCCTCGAAGGCATCAAGTCACTATTCAGCATTGACGTTGCCCTGAGCTTGACACACCTCGCCAAGGCATCGATCGAACGCGCCGCTGTCATGGTGCAACTTGGTAGCACACAAGGCGATGCCGCGAAGGCACAATGTGAGGCCATCTTTGTCAAATTGTTGGATATCCTGGGTACCCGACACGTCAAACATGGCTTCGACAGAGCAGTCGGACATCTTGGAGAGTACAATCCACGCGAGGTCCGTCGGTTTCGAGAGCAGAGCCATGCTGGCGAGCTCTCTGCTACCGCCCATGGCGGTGTAGAGCCCCTGGTAACGTTCCTTGAACTGGTCAATCTCGGCGATCTAATCCAGCAGATGGTTGATGTGTTCTTCGCCCAAGAGCTCATCGCCACAAAGCTTACGGATCGAGATGATTTCCTTAATCCAGCAGTCAAGGAGAAGAAGAAGTTTGAACAGATGCTGGACGAGAGAGTTGCTGCTGGACTGAACAAGGGAATAGATGTTCTCATGGACGAAGTGGAATACATCTGCGCGACTGTTCAATTGCCTACCGACTTCAATCCACAAAGCACTAAGGATGGCAGCAAAAATACATCGATGGCCTCCTCTAGCGGCATTGTTGAGATTGGGCCCACGCCGGCGGCCAAGCAAGTCGTTGACGTGGTGAGTGGACATACCGCGATGCTCGTGGGAAGCACTGATAAGAATATGCTGGATGTGTTTACACAAGAGGTTGGTCTGCGTCTATTTGGAGTTTTATGCAAACATTTCAAGCGACAACGCATCAGTGGTGACGGCGCGATCAAGCTCATCTGCGATATCAATCACTACAGCTCATTCATAGCGACCCTGAGGCAGAAACCGCTCCAGCCTTACTACCAAGCGTTACGTGAAATGTCACAAATATATTTGGTACGTATCGATCCTCCATCCGCATACTTCGGCAGTAATGCCAAGGGTAAGCGTGGAAGTCTTCTATCGACAAAAAGCACTCCAACAGCAGTGCAAGCAAAAGAGTTGGCGACGATCATTGCAGACTCACAGCGCTACCACGGCATATTTCCGACCGAAGAGGTGTACGAGTTTGCGCAGCGCCGAGCCGATTGGTATCTTGTGAAGGGTGATGTTGAGCGAGCAATGTACGGTGTCGGATGCTCAATCATGTAAAGCTTCCGGGGTTATGTCGAGCATTATGGCGTTGGCTTCGGTGGCAGGTAGAGGGCAGGCGTTGTTTTCAAATCAAAAGTTCTGTCTAAACTTGTGTCGGTTTCATAGTGCCCATGTTATGAGTGCATTTCGGCAGCTACCGCGTGGGTACAAATTAGACGTTTCGAATATTGCACTTCCCAGGCTCACAGGAGATGCCTCCAAGCCCTGGATGTTTCTTCCAACCTTGGAAGGTCTCCAGAAATCTGCCCTCCAGGGCTTGTTGGGGTCCTTCCACAGGGCCAAACGCTGGCGGTTTGAGTCTAGACCCTGACGACTGCCGGGCGCAACCAGGTCGCCCGTTGTGTGGCGACACGACTTGTGTAGTCAAGACTTGAACAACACTATTCGATAACCATTCAGCGAGACTACAATATCTTTCCCTTGTCTACTCAGGGAAGTCGTTGATGCATGCCCAAGACTACGAATCCACTGCGCCGCCAAGGCAGCGCAACAAATCCATTTGCCTCAGCACGGCGCACCAAACCCATCGTCCGTGCTGCTGCCAAGGGCGAGTCTGCGCCACGTCTCGACGATGTCGGCTTAATTTCATGTCTTGCAAAAGGCAATATACCACAAGACGTGGCAGGCCTCATCTGTCATGTACGAAATCACACCTTTGAGGATGTGCCAGATCGTGCCGCCGGCATGAGCAGCACGCGCATCGCCGAACTGCTCCAATTTCGTCGCGCTTTGCCACCCATCGTAAGCGTCGCACATCTCCATGCTCTCAGTTCCTCCACAACGCGCACAGAGCGCGAGCTAGCCTTGCTCACAGCCAGAGGTGTCATTCGTAAGATTGTGATACCGGGACGTGGCAAAGGGGGTGCTGCTGTTGGCGAAGGCGTGGCTTTGGTGGAGGATTGGAAGCAAAGGTTACGCGAAGAAAGTAGCATCGAAGATGAGACAAAGAATAAGTATTTTTTCTTGATGGATGCAAATCCGACTTCTTCCACTGTGCCCATAGCCACTCTGTCACCAAAGGAAGTGCGCAGCCTGGTGGTTGCCGGTTTTCTCACCAATCCCGCTGCGCTCACCTCAAGTCTGGGAGCTCTCTTTACGCAGCCGACGGGATCATCGCTACACAAAGTCGCAAGCGCTGGGCATTCCGCTGCTACCGGAACCTTGGCGGCAGTAGGTGGATTTGGCGCGGTACACGACAACGGCGGAGGTGGAAGCACATTGGCCACGAGCGATCGTCGCCGGCTTCCTCCCTCAACTCAACAGGAGATGACGCTTGCCCTTCCATCGACCGGCGCATACTTGAATCTATTGGTGACCGCTCGCGCGCACCTCCTCCATCTCCTGCGACAACTTTCGCCTCGACACAAGGAGGCTTTGCGCAGTCATCTCAAGGAGAAGTGGGATGGTAACACGCCTGCAGATGCGGTGAGCGTTGCGAAGCGTGCACGAGGCGAGTTCTTCGGCGTTCTATCTGGTAAAACAAAGCACTGGAGAGAGTTTCATGGGCTGGAATTCGACTGGGTGTTGGCGGAATGTGTTGGAAGTGGGCTAGTCGAGCTTTTCAATACAAGTAGTGTTGGGGTGGGCGTTCGCACCCGTTGAGAACCTTTAGTCACTTCGTCCAGGCTGCAGTGATCTCGTTGAATCCAAGGCGCCGAAGGAGTGAATATGGTAGAGTATCGACGACTGTAGGATGGGCCGTCACTCTCGTAATGGAGTCTCGAGGCCGAGCTATGGTTCCACTGTGCTGGCCGATCTACGGACAGCACCGACATCGGACATCGATACACGCCCGGCATTGCGTACGACTATTCGAAACAACATAGCTTCCTCAGTGGAGTCCACTCTTGTACCGGGTTGTGTCTTTGTTTTCTCGGGCTGATGAGTGCCGCTAGGGTTGTCTTACCCAAACCCTATGGCTTTGTGCAACATCGCTCAAAACATTGCCTAGGGTGGTAGATGATCGGATTTACAAGAAAAAGCAGATTTCATACATTAAGGAGACTGAACTGGATGTTATTGGACTAGTCTTGGAAACACGTGTGAGCTCATTGCTGAAATTGTACATCCATATGCAACAGGGATATGTTTGATGGTCAGGCCGGGGTTGCCAGCCAAGGCGCTGGTAAACTGTGAATCGGAAATGCCAGGAATGCATTCGACGGATGTGATGATGACCAAAAGGATATGTCATTTCATAGGTAGCCAAGAGTAACACGAGATCGGTCAATCAGTCTGCCGCCCTTGCAGAATCGGTCTCGGAGACCTTGCAATTGAATTTACAGTACAACAAGTCTGATCGTCGCGGCCGTTGAGATGCGGAGCCAAAGCCGAAACACCAAACGGGGAAAATGCAAAACGGGGCGATGGCGCAATTGTTCTGCAGGGATGCAGGCCATGTGCGCGCTTGACCACAAACTCTAATCATGACTTCAGCGCCAGGTCGCCAACATCACGTTCATCCGAATTTTCATTGCGAGATGGTTTCACTGGCCATCACAGACATGCTATGTTCAGCACATCATTTATTGATGGCCCAATCATAGAACATCATGGAAATGCTGCGAACAACTCTGCTCCTACCTCGGTCGCACTATCGAACGTGCGACGGACAGTGCGTGATCTCTCTCCAAGATAGCAAGATTCATCCGGTGTCCATGAAGCGCAGCGGCTTACGAGACGGGGCAAATCTTCCCAAGTCACTACGCGAAATGTCTCAAGATCTAGAAGAATGCGACGCGACTCAAAATCAATGAGCGCTTCCTGCTGCTGCCACCGCCGACCGCTGCCAGATCGTCTCGTGGCTCCTCGTCGCACAACACAATCAATCATACGAGTACGCGTGTACGCAGCTTCTTCCCAAGCACAAATATCACTGTTCTCATTGTATTGCAGTCTTTGGCGATAACCGCATGCAACGAGGTGATCCAGTACTGTACTTCACTGTTATTTAGCCGAGTTGAGCCTGGCCCGAGCGCGGCAAATTTATCCGTGCAGAATAGCTTACTTTAACAGTTGAGAACGATGAAGCTGGAATCGAATGGAAGTCTTGGGACAAGCGAGTTCTGCATATCGATCAAGCACTGGGCCACAAGACGTTCAGAGACATGAGCTTGATCTTGTCATTGGCAGCACAGCGGATCGATCCTTGCGTCCAATTCGCTACTCATACAAAAGCTACGAGACTGAGAGGCGCTTACTCTCGTCTTATCTCTTACGTGTGCCGTCAAAACCTGACATCAGAATACCAGGGAACCGCGCAATAATTGACCTCTACAACTGCACATATCCACACCGATACCCGACCTCTGCCCGCCGCCTTCACTACCGATAGCACCTGGTTACAATACCATGAACAAGCCTATAGAATCTGACATCCTCAAAAACTCCCTCGACTCCACGCCCGTAGCCATATGCGAAAGCTTGTGCGCGCATCATTCACCGCCGTGCCTACTGTTTGAACGCATATGCCCGAACTATCATCATCATGCTCTCGCATCCGTCCCATCGATTCCCGGTGGTCAATGCAGATTATATTCGGAATATAATTCTCTACGGCCCATTTATTCTTGGTGGTCAATGCATATTATATTCGGAATATAATTTGTTCGACCCACAGCCCCAGCCTCATCTTTCTCGCGCATCGTCATAAACCCGCGCAATGTTTGGTATATTGTTTGATAACGCAGAGCAGGCTAACCGCTTCCTCACAGTACCATACTCTCGCGGTGAGGAATCAAGATAATCAATCTCTCATGGTCATGAGGAGGAGGACTAGCTCACTGCTTGTCACGGTTACGGTGCTTCTCGACTCGACTCCAGCTTCCTTTCGTGAACATTCGCTACGATGTGAGGCTCACCACAGCACTACTCCCAACGTACCAGGAAATAACTGAACATTGATCTCAACACAATTATATTCGAATATTTTCTTCACAAAGCATATATAAGTCTCCCTCCGCACAAGATCGGTTTCTCTTCTCGCATCCCCAAAACAAAATCACATTCCACGCTTTGATATCTCATATCACAAAGCAATTCCTTTTTCACACACAATTAAAAACCACAAACAGTATGTCTTCACACCTCACCTTCACACCTCACCTTCACACCTCACCTTCGCATCGCACATCTCACCTTCGCACATCTCACCTTCGCACATCTCACCTTCGCACATCTCACCTTCGCACATCTCACCTTCGCACATCTCACCTTCGCATTCCGAATTCACAATTCACATCTCACACAATGAGGGCAGATACAACATGTGCGACTGCGGTCTGTGGCGCACTGTTCGCACCTCCCGCGTGGCCGTCAAGGTCCGCGGTTGGTTGTCCCCGCGAAAGCGGAAGGACACTTCGGGGGATTCCCCCGAAGGCGATATCGGCCGGCGATACGCCAGGCAATTCGCCCGCGATCGCCCGTGGAGCGAGATCGACGCCGATCCACGGGATTGGGTGGTGTCTGACTCCGTCAGACTGAACAAAGACCTCAAAGAGGTCTTTTTTTACGCGACGCCGCGAGACGGCCGCGTTTTCAAGAGAGATGTCGACGACCGTCGCATCTGGGTGCATGGCACTCCGAGACCACTTTTCTAAGTTTGTCTTCCTCACATCTCACATCTCACAAAGGCTGACAATTCTCACAGGCTCGGACGCACCACACTCGCTTGATCCCACTACCACAAAAAAAGAAAACCACAAAAAAAATTCAAAACCACAAAACAATCACCAAAAAATCGATCACCTCGCCGACCACCCTGCCGGCCACTGCGCACTTCAGGGGCCTGCCCGTTTTGTCTTTCCTGGCGGATGCCTTGTACTCGCGGTAACGTTTGAGTCGGTGTCTGCCGGATCACTTCTCGGGTGCATGCGCCCAGTGTCGCGGTGGCATGGCTGGTGGTCTGGCCTCTTCCACAAGCCGCTGCCGGTGCCCGCTCAGCCTCGAAATCAGAGGTTCTTGCTTCTCTCAAGACTTTTTACCCTCACACCTGGCGGCGGCTCGAGGAGACAACCTCGTTAAAAAATCACTCTCACTCAGTGCTCGCACCTCAACGTTGGTGTGGGAGTCTAGTACGGACGCGCTCATCATGGTGAGGCGGACTGGAAGCCAAGACGAGCACACTCATTCGCTCTAGTATATAGACACATTCATTCAATACATTCATTACACTCTTCGTTCCAGCCTTGTCTTGTCCTCGTCCTTGCTCATGTAATTCGTGATCTTGAGGTCCTTGATGGTGTTGTTTCTTGTCATTGCCCTTGTGTCCCGCCGTTATGTTTTTGCCCTTGCCCTTGCCCTTATTCTTCATCGAAATCCTCTTGTTCTTGCCCTTATCCGCACATGATGCTCGTCTTTCTAAAGCACGACGTCGAAATGTATCGGATTATTCATCAGAGTGAACATATATCACGTTACCCATCGCAGCGAGCCTACATTAGGCTACCCATCGGAGTGAACATGCTTCAGATTACTCATCGGGATGAAGATATCGCAGGTTAGTCATCTTAGTGAAGATGTATTGTTTGCATGTGCGAATGTCGCTGTTGTCCGTGTCGCGTGAGGTTGTGGCCAACAGCGTTTCTGCCTGTCTCCCCCGGATTTTCCAACGCTCGCTGGCCGCGGACCGGGCGCATGTGCTACTGATGAGGGGGGAACTTTGCCCCGACCGGTGCGCTGCTCAAGTCACGTCATTGTGCAGAATTTGGGCAGTTTCCATCAAATTTCTCCCCGGACGGACGACTTTCAGGAAGCGTGCGGCTTGCATGACGAACGAAGCTGGAAAGTCGGGCGTTCCAGTGGGTTTCCCATCAAATTCCGCTGCATGCACGCACGCCTCCAGTCTTGCTCCACCGTCCGCACATGCATGCAGGTGTCCAGTACGTGCGCGCTTTTCACTTCGCTTGTTATATCATTCTTCCGTGTCTCAACGTCTTTGCTGTGAAGTCGGTCTGTTATCTCGCTCGGCTCTTCGGAGCACCTCTACAGTTTATATCTCGCTTCTCCTCACGTCGGCCATCCCTTCCTTTCGCTTCATTTGCTTTTATTGATTTGCTCACCCCGGCGCACATCATTGTCCGATCCTCACTAGCTTCTACATAGCCTGTGTCTAGCGCGATGTCTATCGTGGGCAGGATGACGCTCAACTCAGAGCCCGCCGATCCGACGCAACGCGCCCAGCACGGTCTCGAGCCAAAGAGTTTTGCTGAAGCTGTCGAGGAGGCATTGGAACGCGACGACGATAACTATCCCCTCGACGAATCTATCATCAAAGAGTCACCACCACAGCTCCACCACACACGCAGCACCAGTGAAGCGCGTCCATTGGGCGAAGTCATTGACGAGATTGAGCGAAGCCCAGCACCGGGAAGTCCTGTACTACGCCACCCTCGCGGTCGCCTGGAGAATAAGAAGAGCCACGACAGTCACATCGATACTGCGGATAAATCGAGCGCAATGTCTAATGGCTCATTCGACGGTCACCAACATGATCAGCACAATGGCGTCCCCGACGGTGCTGCGAACGGCCACAAGGGTGCGAATGTTGTCGGAGCCTCCTACGCGACACAAGACGCGGTCGCAGACAAAGAAAAGAGCAAGGGCCGGAGCCGGAGGGACACATCTGAACCGCGGACACCAACTCGCAAGGCGACAAATGCCCCATCTGACCAAACGCTGAAGGTCAAAAAGACTTCGAGATCACGGCCGGAGTCTGTGGCGGACGGTTCTCTCGACGGAGCATCTGAATCAGGCACACTCATTTACGAAAGTCTGCGCAACAAGAGCGGTGAGAACTTGGCATCGGTAAAGCCGCCGACCGCAGCATATAAGCTCAGTCTTTCATCAAGACAGGACAAGATCGAGCCATCGGAGCAAGAGGACTCAGAAGGAAGACCTCAGCTCTCGCGCCAGCTGTCGCTCGTGTCGGGTCGCAAAGCAGGCGCAGGCTGGGCATCAAGCGCAATTCGTTGGGCACCGCTCAATGTCCCGGTCCAACGACGATTACAAACACTAGTTGTCCTGCTGCACACCATCTCAATCGTTGGCATGCTCGGAATTTTCTTCTTCATCTGTGCCATACCACTGTCGTGGCCCCTTGTCGTTCCGTATCTCATTTACCTAACATTCTCCCGAGCTGCTGTAGATGGCAAGCTCGCGCATCGATCTGAATGGCTGCGCTCGAGCAAGCTGTGGTCCCTCTTCGGTGCATACTTTCCTGCTCGTCTACACCGGAGCCAAGAGCTTGAGCCTACCAGGAAATACATTTTTGGCTATCATCCCCATGGAATCATCTCACATGGCGCCTTCGCTGCCTTTGCGACCGAGGCTCTAGGCTTCGGTCAACTATTCCCGGGTATCACAAACACTCTCCTCACCCTGGACGCCAACTTCAGCATCCCTCTGTATCGAGACTGGGCACTTCGCTTGGGCCTTGCCTCAGTCAGCCGCGAAAGCTGCGAGAATCTATTGTCCAAGGGTGGTATCAATGGGGCAGGAATGGGACGCGCGATCACGATAGTCATCGGCGGAGCCCGCGAGAGCCTAGATGCTTCACCAAAATCGATGAAACTCGTGCTCAAGCGACGCAAAGGCTTTGTCAAGCTCGCGATTCGTACGGGCGCTGATTTGGTGCCCGTGCTATCCTTCGGCGAGAACGATCTATACGACCAGCTCGACGGCAAGAGTCATCCCTTCGTTCACAGACTTCAGCTCGTAGTGAAGAAGTTCATGGGCTTCACGGTAAGATACAATGCCTCTCCCTGTTCCTTCATACGCTGACATGCTATCACAGGTTCCACTATTCCACGCCCGTGGCGTGTTCAACTACGATGTCGGCATCATGCCCTACCGCCGACCGGTAAACATTGTCGTCGGAAAGCCGATCCGCGTGCGGCAAGCGGCACAGCCAGATCCGGCCTACGTTGACGAGCTCCATGCGAAATACGTCGATGAGCTTGTTGGCATTTGGGAGGCGTGGAAGGATGATTTCGCGCCGAATCGGGAGTCAGAACTTGAACTTGCCGAGTAATCTCCCCTCTCTGCTTCTCTTTTTCTCTGTTTTTGGGTTCGTCCTCCCGGGAAGTTGATCTGGATTTGCGGAGGAGCAGGAGTTAGGTTGGGCTCTGAGGTTCTCCAAGCTGCGTCTGAATGTCTGCAAATTCCAACGCTTGGAGCACATAATGGGAAGGACTTCACGACACGAATGTGTCCAAGACTCTCACCCATGCTCGGGCGGGCAGTATATCGGTATTCTAGGATGAGGAAAAGTTACATTCTTATTCATAAGCTATGATGGCTGATGTCCAGCGTTAGATAGCCGACCCGATTTCACTCTCCATATCGCTTGACGTATTCAGATCACTCAAGGGCGCCAAGTGATCTTGTTTTCTCCTCTGGTTGTCATCAATTCACCACCCGTTCCTCCCTCGCCAGACGCTGCTCCTCTCCATGCCGGTGCCGGTGCTCCTCACGCTGCTGAAACTCCCTCTCCTGCTGCTGAGACTCTCTCTCTTGCTGCTGAAACCCTCTCTCTTGCTGCTGGCGCTCCTTCTCCCGTTGTCGTTGAGCCTCTTCACGATGTCGTTTGAGCCGAGCCTGTGCAGCCGCTTCCTCCATTCTTTTCAGCTCCACCCGTTCATAGCGTGCGTGAGCCCGCCACTCCTCCGCCTGGACGGGGTCCGATGCCAGCGAGGCATTTTTCTCGCAGGATCGGATCCATTCTTGTTTGTTGCGGATGGCGGTGGCGGCGTCGTTGGAGGACAGTTCCATTCTTGTGGAAGAGGGTCTCGACAACGGCGCGATTGTGAACTTTGCTGTCGTGGTGTGGTATCCTGGGCTGGTTGGGACTTGGACAGTAATGGTTATACAAGTCTTGGAAATGTACCTTGATTGACATTTACCTTTGACTTGCAAAGAGTACGGAAACGCTGTTGTATTTGGTCTTCGATGGACGACTGTACAGTCACGCAGATCGCTCATAAGCCTTGCCTCAGCGATCTCGAACTTTGTGGACGAACCTCAATGAACCGTCAAGCATGAAGTTGGAGAATGCAGGACCTTACGAAGGCACATACGTCTAGTAATATGACCATTTATCCTGATATGTATCACACGTATGACGTTCGGTTGTTGATCTGAACAACGACCCGAGGTGGTACAAATTGGCCCAAAACCGGTGTGCTGTACGTAAGACAAAGACAATGCAACAGGTTCGAGGGTCGCAAATTGTACACGAGAGGGGTCATGGAACTTTGAAAGAGGCTTCGTTATCGTCGTACGTATCTATCTGTAATTCAAGTAATATATTGGTAGGGTGAGGTTCTTGAACCTGAGTAGGCGTCTCGTGTGGACACGATCCTGATAGACACACCGAAGCTGCTGCAATTGCATCACGATATACCTCCTGTCGGTGGATCCCGGCAAAGGATACATAGGCTGTCATGCGAGTAGGGTGGAGTGCATGCACAGTGCGACGGTAGCAAAAACCGTTTGGTGTGATTGGACTGATGCTGTGACCGGAGCGCACATGTTCATAAGAAGGCGGCATGTCATTGCTGGACCACGCGAATCTCGCGCATGCACTTTGACATTGTTGTAGTGCTGGCTAGAGAGGATGGTCATTGTTGTCATCTCGGCCCGCGCTGTCCTGCATTGCATTGACCACTGCCTTGCGGCGGGAAGCAACTTGCACCATGACTCGGAGCGCGCACCGAGCTCGGTTGTTTCCGGCAGCGTCGAAAGGCGCGAGATTTTTCAGGTTCGTAGTGCCGCCTGCGAATAGATGTCGCTCAGGAGATCGTCCTAGTGGTGCCACGTGTGCAGAGAGTCTTCCGCACCGAGGGGACACAATGTAGTGCAAGTCTAGCCCGACGCGCTGCACACGCTCGTGCGCTATCGTGCACATCCGATGAATCTTCGACTTCGCACGGCTGGAGTGCCGAATCCGACGTTATGAGTCAAGAACGGTCGGCAGATACACTGGTACATGGATCAATTGAATCGCACGAGGCATTCCGATGATTGATCCAACACTCGTCTTCCTGACAATTGATCGAAACGCGTATCACGCCGATGACTGATACAACACTCGTCAGCTTTTCTAGATAGAGTTGGGTGTCAGAGTATGAGCTCGTTTTCATTGAGCTGTAAAAATGTCCCGTCCGATTTGACCAATTGCTATATCAATCAGCGAGGAACATCTTGCGGCATGTAATACTTGACCCTCTCTCGAGCCAAGTGGACTCCACGTCGTGAGCAACAGGCGACCATGCTATGCGTAAGCCAGGAGCCTTGACGACTATCGCTTTCTTGAACTAGCATTTGTCAAGATGTCAAGAAATCTCACGACGCCTTCAGAAAACGTCGCCCCTGTCACGTGGAGGCGGTCGAGTTCGGGCGCCGCGAGCGCTCGCGAATGAGGACACACGATCCGCATGTTCAAAGAGCGCCAAGCTCCATGCCGAATCGCCGACGGAAGCCATTCGTGCGACTGGACGCAGAGCACGTGAGGGATGAGAGAGGGTCGAGTCTACCCGATCGAGGCGCACAAACTCATCGGGATCGAGGTCATGGCTACTCTTAAACTCGCTGCCACCACCTCCGTAGCAGCTCGAGGCGAATCCGACGGAGGTTTTGAGGAGATTTTCGCCTGGCTGGGCATTGCGTACGTGTTTCACCAGCTTTCCAAGAACTGCGAACTCCAATTTGAGCTTGACGGAGTATATGATGCCCTTGAGTAGCGTTTGGAGGATGTACAGTGATGCGCCCTCCAGTCCGAGTATGACAAGATCCATGATGATGATGATTGCATTGATAGCAATCAGCTGCTTCATGGTCTTGCGCGTGCCTTCTTGGAGTGATACCTGGAGTAGTCGAATCGTCTCGAAGATGTAGATGGACGATAGGATGGTTTCTTGAACGAAGAAGCCCGCCATTTGGATTTTCTCCATGATGTTATAAGCGAGCCCAAATTTCGTGCTGGAGTCAATCCCGTTGGCGCCGAAAGTGAGGACAGTCGTCGGTATATGTAGAACGACAGCGTTGATGATGATCATCCATTTTGTGATACGCAGGATGCGCTGACCGCGCGCGCCCCTGCCTGCTACCAAGTGCAGCCGTGACCATAACACGACTGATTGACCTGTGACCATAGGCCACCAGCCCATAGTAAGGAGCACGATAGCTAGCCAGCGAGCATTGCTGTTGGCACCAACAGGAGGGAAGATAGCTAGATACTTGATGAGAAAGCCCATGGCGTAAGGCGTGATACCCAGACTTGCCAGCATCAACGACCAGAAGTAGAGCCCTCGATATCGGCGGAAGCTTAGCAGGATCATGACCACCAGTTCCACTGCATTGTATACTGCCAGGCCGGAGAAGAAGACGACACATATCCGAAAAGAATGGCTTTCGCTGTCGTAGCCTTTGGTGACGCCTGCGCCAGGCAAGAGCCACGAACTTTCGCTAGAAGCCATCTCGCTGCTGGCGATCAAACTCGTGGTGAAGGCGAGGACTAATCCAGGGCAGTGCTTTGTCTAAGCATTGCAGTCCTGCCGATAGTGGGGTCTTAGCTCGTCTTCGGCTTGTAGTTCAAAAGTCGAATGATGCCGATTGCGTTCAAGTGGATGAGAAGTGGTAGTGCGGTCCTTGATATTGTAGCGTTTCTAACGGTAGCAATGCAGTGAGGTTACGGTTGCTGTTTAGAAATCTTTCGGCGAGCGCGAGTATAAGGACGAGGACGACCGTTAGGACTAAGTCATGCCAAGTGCGTCCTTACGCCTCGATACGATCAAAATCGTCATTCACGGTTGACGAGTCTATCCGGGCTGGTGCTGCCTAGAACGTGGACCGAAAACTTCACGATCCGATCCTCGCCGGCATGCGATCCGATCATTTTGGATCGTCGTCCTGAGACACGGGCAGGTAAGGTACCATGCATGTGTGTCTCCGTTGCTGTGATCGTCATTGGCCCGAGGGCTCGCATAGCCATGGGACTGATGATTGCGCAGGCGGAGTTGCTAGATGGGGAAAGCAGGTGACGTGCGTTGTTTCAGTGCTCAAACTCTCGTCCCCAGGTCAACCATCAGCAAGTTCGCAACATTCATGCATGTGCGTTGAGGAACCAACTTCGCATCGTGCGCCTGTGTAGATACTCCTACGCAAAACCCATTTATGCTGACGATATCTGATCGATTTACTCCGGCCTGCCTATGTAGACACTCTTGTATCTCTCAAAGCGTGGCGTCCGTTGCTACAATCACTGTGGGTCAACGTAAGTGCGGAGGCCTATCAGCTGCGGGACCTGTGCAAAGCAGTAGCCTGCGGTCTTACGATGATGTGATTCAATACCTGATGACTAGCCTCCTCCTAGCCACCATGAGACAGATCGTCCTGGCAACAAATCATCCAAGGACTTCGTCCACGTGATCAACTGTGTCGAGATGACTTTTGCTGATGAAGGTATTTCGTCGGCTTCGTGGTCACCATTTCCCATGGTATGCTTAAGAGAGATACAGTAGAAAACGCATCTAGATATTTCAGGCTCCAAATCAAACCTTCCAGGGTCATCAAAAAGGTCAAAAACGTTTCCCCATGCCTACCAAACTCCAATTCAACCAAATCCGATACCGCCGTCATTCATTCGACTCGGCTCAAAGCAAACTTGCCGAAATGCGAAAAGGATCAATATTTTGCGAAACACAGCACAGCTCAACACTGGGCTCTTACACGCCAGGGCCGTACGTGCGTGCAGTCTTAGGCGCCTGCTCAGCGAGGCCATCCCAGGCATATAGCTCCTCTCCATGCTTGCGGGAGACATCCCAACGTGTCTTGCGCTCCTCAGGCGTCGCCTTGACCAGCGTGGCGCCCTCAGGGAACTCGGTGAGGATGATTCGCCGCTTCTCCTCGCTCCGTACACGCACCGAGCATGGGAACGGCTTCGACATAGTGATGACCCACGGAGCGGTTTCATACCATGGCACGGGGTTATCGCGGCCAGCGAGACCTTCTGAGCGCTTGATTTCGAAGGCCCACATCATCGAACCGATTAGGGACGTGAGCTCCATCTGAGTGAGATCGACACCTGGGCAGCCCCGATTACCATAGCCGAATGCCTTGTCGCCGCGAAGGTTGGGGAATTCGGTCAGTGGCTCCTGATAGGTGGGATATTCCGGTTCCAGCCATCTTTCAGGGATGAATTCATTGCCGCGCGGATATAGGCTGGGTTCGCGAGAGATCAGACTGTAAGTGCTGTCAGTACTCATGATGTATAACGATATGTTGCTTCCTTTGATGGAAGATTTGACTCACTAGTGATTGGCGTGCAAGATGGCGCCTTTGGGAATAAAGTAGCCTTCGTAAACATCGTCCTCCATCGCAACATGAGGGACACCGAGCGGGGTGGCCTGACGCCAGCGGATGATCTCCTTGACGGTCGCTCGTAGGCGTGGCAGACGCGGAAAGTCAGCAGCTGTCGGGACACGGTCACCACAAACCTCATCGATTTCCTCCTGCACCTTTAATTGCCATGAAGGATAGTGGCACATAGCAAGGAAGAAAGCGTGGAGAGGACCTCCGACTGTTGCGATGGCGACAAAGGAGCTAGAGCCGATAGCATGAGCGGCCTCGTAATAGCTCAAATGCTCGGCACCTTTCTCCTTCTCCAGCCATATGCGGCTCCAGCACTCGGGCGCGTTGCCGGCATCGTGTTTCTCTTTAACGTCTTGGAGAGCCTCGCAAAAAGCATCTGTCATCTCCTGCTTGCGAACTTTTTCTGCTTGCTTGAAAGGCGAGATGGCCTCAGGCAAGTTGGCGAGAAAGGTGAGCTTGTTGACAATAGGTCCCGCGGGCGAAACTGCCTTAAGAATGACCGGAATGATTGTAAGGAGCTTGCTGCCGTGCTCTGGGTCGCCCCAAGCCACACCGGCGATGGTACGGGCACAGTGCACCAGCATGTGCTCGGACCAGCGCTCAGGAGACTCCAGAAGACGACGCACAGTCCGCTTGTTCTCGTCCGCCGGCCAGCCGTAAAACGTGCGCGGGTTCGCATGTCTCATGATGAGATGCATGAAGTTCTTGTAGCGTCTGAATTGTTCACCGTAACCCATTAGCGGGAGAATCTCAGATCCCTCCCGGACGCCGACAGCACCGGGGAGAGCGTTGCGATCGCAATAATTTCGTTGGCGCGTGACGAAGAGGTCGTGAGCGATCTTGTCCGTCTCGATCCAAATATGAAGGGTGCCCATGACTTTCCACTCATAGATAGGCCCCATGGTCTTGTGAAGGTTGCCAAAGTGCCAAGCGGCCTCAATTCCAGGACCTGGGACATCCCAGAAATGACCAGCATAGGGCAACCCTATACGAAACGTGTCAGTTGCCGCGATTGATGTCAAAGCATAACAGTAGGGACAAAGAAGACATACCCCATTGCCTTGGTAACCGTTTTACGCCTGGCGGGAGTTTCTGTTTCTTGCCTAGACCAAAAGCCTTGGCCAGCACGAAAAGGACAACCAAGGAGAATCCAAAAATGACTGTCGGTGAGAATGCTGTGAGTCGCAGAGGAGAAGGGGCGTCCAACTGGGCGGCATCAACCTTGTTGGAGGCATTGTCGAGGCCATAAACGGATGCCTCTTGAAGCTGGATGGACTGAGCCATGGTCGTGGTGTTCTGATGTGCAGTCGCTTTTGGCCAGCGACAAAGTCTTGTTCAGAAGCAGACGGGAAAGAAATGCAAAAGGCGAGAAAATAAAATGCGAGAATAAAAGGCCATATGACGACTGCGAGCGAAACGTGGTCGCACGAGGCCTGGTGCACCTCCTGCTATTGATTACCAGGCAGTGTTTGGGCGCCACCAGTTAGAGATCAAGATGGAACTTCTTCGGTACGGAGCCAACGCATATCCGGAGCGACGTGGAAACGGCTCAGAGCAAGAGTGTGGAGGATGGGGGCCGGGGGGTATCCGGATTTGGCAAACGCAGGGTCGGACACGTTACGATCGCCAACGGACATGGGAGGAGGAGGAGGTGGATGGCATCGCTCATGAGCACGAGCGTAAAGGGAGGTATGATGATGAGTGAGATGAATACACGAACGATGATACTTATTTTTGTCGCTCCTTTTTGCCTTCAATCGCTGCTCTCTTCCGCGTGTGAGCGAAGACGAAAAGCAGTATAATCAGCAAAACAGACTGAGGGAGGGTGAGCAGTGGTGGCAGCAGCGAGAATCAGCGAACCGTACGGACGGATTGTATCGATAGCCGTGTGTGATGGTACTGCATAGACTCACAGTCCCGGGATGTCGTTCTCACCCACCTTGTCGGACAGCCATGCTTCGGTCTGAAATGGAAGCTATTCTGAGCTTCCTCGTGCACATGATCCTTCTCATGTGAGACGCTTTTGCATCACCTCAGATACGCGATTCTTACCTGCGTTGCAACAAGTCAGTTGTTGCCCATCGCCCTACAAAAGAGACGAGGTGGATAAGAGGATGATGTTCGCTTCGGCGGATGCGGAGAGCCGTTTCTCACGCGATGGATGCCAGGGCTGGATTAAGCAGTTCCGATATGGCGCTGGCCTATGCAGCTAAAAGCTCTAGCTGTCTTGTGCTATGCTCCTCACTCTTCTTCAATATTACCCAGCTATGCACCATCCTTGGGCCTCAACATTGGAGACACCTTCTGATAGCGATCGCACGTGTTTTGATATATGTTTTATTGGAGTGTCTTGTGAGAGCCGTGATATCTTTGCTTTCCTGTTGATGGTCCTGCAAAACGATGGACAAACGTCGCGACAACGGAAATGGGGAGGGAAGGGGCTTCGCAGGCTTCAACGGCTGTGCAGGAAGCAGCACATTCCCACATTGACGACCGAGTAAACAACAGACAAAGAGATATTCGACCGAATCACAAGCGAGGCTGACTTGAACTCGTCAGCCCGGTCGATCGATAGACGACGAATCTACCAATGACATGCTCATCATGACCTTCCAGATGTCAGCACTGCTATCAGAAAAACGTCTTACGACTCCACGGCACACGCTCGTCAATCTCATCCATGCGGTATCTCGCTCCATACCTAATAATTATCTGAGCGTCCTTGGGCGGAGTTCGGCTCGGCGCTTGGTGCCGTGACAACAGTTCTCACCGAGTCAGCTCTATCTATATTGGTTCGCTGACCACACTCGTGACGCGGATGGCACATACCACCGCGCTTCCATTATTGTGATAGTACAGTATCTGACCATTCGAGCCGGGCCACGATCTCTCCGCTTCGACCGCTTTTTGCGCCTTCCATCGTGAATTTTGCAAGACGATCAAGCCTGACATTTAAAATTCACCACAATCACCTGTGATCATAGTCAAAATGCACATATGTCTCGGGAGACACAATCATGGTGCGACTGACGGGCAAATTTCCCGGTACTGTAGACCAAGTGCTGGCTGCTGCAGCTTCAAGGGTCATCGTGGCCCAAACGCCGTGGCTTACGGAGCTCCGACCCGCGGACCCGTTCAAGCTGCGAATGTGTGCAGACAACTATCATCACATTCACCATGACGGAGGCCATGATCCAAGAAAAAGGACAATATCATGCATTTGCTGCCCGGCAACACAAATGCCTACTCGTGCAACTTCGGCTTCATTCGGCCAGGCTGTGCGGGTGCGCTCCTTCGATCAACTTCCTTTCCAGCGCTTTGAAATATCCGCACAACTTTGAGGTCCCATCCGATGGAATGGGCCTCAGATCTCATGCAATCTATTGACGATCTTGACTTGAGGAGAAGAGCGGTGGCAGAAATCTGGTTCATGCTGCAGCCTATTGAATGCGGTCTGCAGGCTCCCCTGGAGTACTATGCGAGAGTATGCACATCTTTAGTCCGTGGACACGTAGGGCGATCCGTCACATGTCCGTCCTCAAGGTCGCTATCTACAGTAAGCAATCAAATGCCTCGAGGTATTTTCATCGGCGGTGCACAATTCGACACAGGCACTGCAGAAAGATCATCCAATATCATCAAGCCGCAGGCCCGCATAAAAACATTTCATGGGCATCACAAGCTGGTGTTTGGATGCTGTGCAAAGGGCGGTCAGTTCAACTTCGACTTCCATTGGCTCCCCGTGTGTCAAAGATAGAAAGCACATCGCAGTCTGATGCATTTTCTCCGGTTGCACCATTTTGATGATCCCGTGTCGCGTGTGATCATGTCCTCCCTCACATACGCAACATCACCGCTGTTACCTTGTGAACATGAACTCTACACGATCTTATCACCCAGGCTGATATGTTGTAACTGCATCTGTATCCTGGAAGCGAAAACGAGGGTTGACCAAAATCGAGCATTTAGGGTTCGATCCGATGTATCACGTGATCTCATGGACTCGGATCATGGCTCCCAAGTGCTGACAGATATGAGAAGTCTTCGCGATAGAGGTATCGTACATACGTGAATGAGAGAAACCGGAGGCAAAAGACGAGTGGCCACGCCTCCAGGGAGCTGTATCTTTTTCAAGGACAGAATTGACTTTGACTTATTGACCCCAATGGAGATTCATCGCCACTTGAAGAACTCTCGAGACGTTGAATATCATGGTATTTGAGATAGGGACAGGTCGTGTCAGCGTCTTGGGATCAGAAGTCCGTCTCAAGAACTCGTGTTCCAGTCTATCTGAAATGGATGATTTTCGACACAGACCCCTTTTCACATGAAAATGTGTTTGGCCCTATTGTTCGTCGAAAACAAATTTCAATCTTCCTAGCTTCCGCGTGACTTTTGTGACAATGCAAGAATGAGGCATATTCGCCAAATGTTGAGAATGATAGGTGGAGACGAGTCCGAGGGGCCAGTGGCGACGGTGGAGAATTTTTACGTGAACGGCAAACACATTTGTCAGGTAGATTTCTCGCCGGACACTTTTCTCAGCGAACGGGAGTTCATTTATATACTATCGGCAGTGAAACGAGCCATGTAAATTTCGCATCGCCTTCACACGATTGTGGCCACCAAGCAACAGGGGCTTCGCGTGGCTTCATTCTTCGTGAAGATCAAATGGCACTTTTGTTTGCTAGTGAAGCGTAGGCCTTTCCCCTTTCCATTCTCACGGTGGCAGATCTGCGCCGCGTAGAGATTCCGAGTTTGGGCGCCTTCGGTAGAAATTGGTGGCGAGTGACAGGCACAAGCGCCATCTCATCTCGTGAGTTGACGCGATCGAGCGACGGCTGCTATGCCGAACGTGCTGGATCTTTGTTTTTGCTCCACAACCACTGGAGCAGTCGGGAAAAGACCCTCCTATTGTCCGTCTCAGTAGCCTCGGCAAGGGTCGGGAGGACAAATTCACGTGTCGTCCTTCAGGATGTCTACAAATGCGAATAAATCCGGCGAGGAAAAGGCTCTCAGACAGAGGAATAATCCCTAGGAAGTCACGGTGACCTCGCAATGGTAGATTTCAAAGATGAGGTTTCTCCAATCATGATGACCCATCATGATGGCGGCGGCTCTGACGGAAACTGAAGCGGCAACACTCGGCATTATTGTCTCGGTGCACTAAGCACGTAGAACAACGGTGCAATTGAAGCACTGACCCGAGATTGAATATGCTGACGATGACAGGCATCATCGCCCTGGACTAGAATATCACGCTACGGGTGTTCCGAACCTTCCAACGTTCTCAGGAACGTGGCCCTAACAATATCAACACAACAGCAGGCACGACGTGGACACTTGATATATTGCAATGTAGATGCGGCTGTACTTTGCATGTTTCGACAGGTATCGAATAAAGATGCGCCGCCGTATTGATCATGACGGTTTTTGTTGTTTGTGCAGGTCTTGTTCTTGATATCTCAGTCATCAACGGGCCAACGTTGTAAATTGACGTCATTGCTAGTCCACTGGGCACGTACCTAGATATTCTTAAATCTTCATTCAGACGTTTGAAGGGCAGAGAGCTGATATGTTTTTCAATTTTCGGAGAAATCTCATCGCCGATGGGCCACCAAATTAGACCTCCAATACATTGCTGCTGACGATTTAAATGTGAAAACTTGTGGTTAACTGTAGAAATGATCATGATGCTGATTGGTACCGCAGGGAATAGCAAAGGCAACGTAAATATTTCTTCGCTAGTCCTGCGATACTGGGGCACTACGAAAACGCCACTGACGCCGGGTCAGATCGTTGCGTTTTGCGGCTACAGTGAACGCCGGGGCTTTCTGTCACAAGTTGTCAAAGTGCCGTCCTACTGCTGTAGTGATAAAGATCGTCGGAAGTGAGGGACAATTTTCTGATGACTGGCGGTGGGCCGGGTGCTCCACATATTCGAGCAGCGTGGTGATTGAACAAGATGTGCGTGTGTCCGGAACCGGTGTGGAAGATCTGCCCTATGAGAACCAGTCCTGTCTGAGATCACTCCAGCGCTTGTTGTGTGATGCACCTGCGTTTTCGACTGTTCCGCCGCCTGTGCTGGCGAGACATGCAGTATGAAGGACAGCCTCGAAATGGTCTTATTTGGTCTCGGTCTCATGATACCGATTGCGACGCAGACACAGCAGGTTTGTCTGCTAGAAGTGTGTTTCGGGAGAAGAAGGTCACCTGCCCTCTGGCGTCATAGGCGAAGCCTTCTGGAGAACGGGGCATTTGAAGGAGCGCGCTGACGATGCCAAAGATGACGACGATGTTGTTGGTACATTATCATCATAATGTGGAGGAGAAATCCTTTACAGACCTTTACAGGCCGTCCGTGCCGCTGACATGCAGAATGGACAGAGGGCCCATACACACCACAATACGAGGGAGGCCCTTCTCTCTTGGGACGCTGCTCTTGTGTGCATTGTCGCATTGATCGTCATCAATCTTAATTATAACAGGAGCAATGCGTACTGCATTTCGATGAGACGCAGTCGGTGGGGCGATGTTGCAGTGTGTGCTGAAATGTCTCCGCGAAAGAGGCCGCCCACTTCCCCCATGTCTTTGGCCACCACATGCCGCCGCTATGCATCGCCCATGCACCTGGCCCCCTCTAGAAGAAAATCCGGTCCACGCGAGCAATCTTCTCGTACGGTGTAGCGGGACGCCAATGATATTCGATCGAAGTTTGTGGGGAATCGTTAGACTTTTGCACCTTCTGGGGAGCATTCTCACTACCTAGGTACAGTACACTGTCCTGTCACGCCGGTGTGTATCCGAGAGCCGTGTTCCAGCGATGCAGACAGACAACGTGATGCCGATCATCAAGAAAAATGCGACGGTGTGAGAGCAGATTGCTAGACACTCGTCCCTGGGTGGCATGTGCTGACGATCCATTCCGCTTTCAATTCTCTCGTTTACAAGCACAAGCACCTGTGGGGTAGGCCACGGTAATGTAGGCGGCGTAACATTTCAGATGGAAATCGATCATAGCCCGGATATTTAGATATAGGCCAGTCAATGTGTACTGGGGTATCTTCAAGGACAGAACCCGTCTTCCAAAAATCCTAAACAGGGACAGAGACACCGAAGACATGGACGTAATCTCTTCCTGAACAGAAGTGTGGAAAGCGAGGGAGGGGATAGTTCCACGGTGATTTTACGGCGTCTGCTGGGCCGTACGGTCAAAGCTTGTTCGGGCTTCAGGACTGCGCGCTCTCCTCGGCAAAGGATTGGCAAACGTCATTCTACAGCACGAAACCAAAGCCAAGGATGCACGACTCACTGCTTCCCATCCTGAATGTCGCCCATTAATATAATCACGCCGGCCGCCGTCATGCTGGGCAACCCAAGCTCTCCTGTGGAAGTCTTCTGTCTTCCTAAGCCTTTTCGCCCAGCGCGCCTCTTTTCTTGATCGCGCGTGTTGCCGAGTATCTTGACCTCCCTCTATACATGTCACATACATAGACATTCCTGTTCTCAGCCTGTCAGCATTGTGTCACCCTTCCTTCCGCGTCTTGGACGAACACAGGAGAAAGAGAAGTCATGGCGGGCGCCAAAAAGGGCACCCATTTCGCCGAGGATCCGCCACAGGTCCTCAATCAAGCCGACCTCGATCGTGCCAACGGACGCCTTAACGAGAAAGACGGCGCTGACGGCGACAACTCCTCCAAGGAAGATGTCGCTGATGCCCAGAAAGACCGTAAGGCAAACGGTGTCGATCTGGAGAAGCTCGGCAGCAACGACAAATATGAGATCACCGAGGACGACTGCTACGATGAGCTGGGTTTCTCGTTCCCGACCTGGAAGAAATGGTACATCCTCACAGTCATCTTCATCGTCCAGGTATCGATGAACTTCAACACCTCGCTCTACTCCAATGCCATTACCGGCATTTCAGAGGAGTTCAATGTCAGCGCGCAGGCCGCCCGTTGTGGTGCCATGATCTTCCTCGTAACATACGCCTTTGGCTGTGAGCTCTGGGCGCCCTGGTCTGAAGAATTCGGTCGCTGGCCCATCTTGCAGCTATCCTTATTCTTGGTCAACATCTGGCAACTGCCCGTTGCCTTGTCCAAAAACTTCGCCACGATCATGGTCGGTCGCGCCTTGGGTGGTTTGAGTTCGGCTGGTGGATCGGTCACCCTCGGCATGATTGCCGATATGTGGGAATCGGACAACCAACAGTACGCTGTTGCGTACGTCGTTTTCTCGTCAGTTGGAGGTTCCATTCTGGGACCTATCGTAGGTGGTTTCACAGAGCAATATCTGGACTGGCGGTAAGTTGGACAACATTCGTCTTACCTTGTGTTACGACAGCTGAACCTTTGCTGATCATTCTGAACAGATGGTGTATCTGGATCCAGCTCATCTTTGGCGGTGCCGTTCAGGCGCTCCACTTCTTCACCGTGCCCGAAACCCGCACCACTCGCATGATGAACAAAATTGCCCAGAAGCGGAGAAAGCAAGACCCCACAGCCAATGTCTGGGGTCCTGATGAATTGGTTCCATTCCGCGACCGTTTCTCCGCTAAGGAGATCCTCAAGACCTGGATCCGACCTTTCCATATGTTCGTGACCGAGCCTATCGTGCTGGTCCTGTCCTTGCTTTCTGGGTTCTCCGACGCACTCATCTTCATGTTCATCCAATCCTTTGGCATTGTTTACGGCCAATGGGGGTTCTCGGTACCACAGGTTGGACTGGCCTTCATTTCGATCGGTGTCGGTTATGTCATCGCATGGATCAGCTTTTTCCCTGCTATCAGAAGGAATATCAAGCAGCGTGAAGCTAAGCCGGAAGACGAGCGAGTACAATTCGAAGGACGCCTGTGGTGGTTACTATGGACTGCACCATGTCTACCAATAGGCTTGATTGGATTCGCTTGGACGATTCAAGGCCCGCCAATTCCCTGGATCGCATCTATGATTTTTGCCGCGGTGGTCGGTATCGCCAACTACGCCATTTACGTAAGTTTCCACATTAGGCAATTGCATCATCGAGATTTGTTTACTGATCATTTTGCAGATGGCGACCATTGACTACATGATTTGCGCCTACGGCCCATACTCGGCCTCCGCTACCGGTGGAAATGGATGGGCGCGTGATTTCTTGGCCGGTGTTTTGACCGTCCCTGCCACTCCTTTCTTCCTCAACATTGGAGCTGACAGCGGTCGCAACCTCGAATATGCCACCACTATCCTCTTCTGCATTTCCTTCGTGCTGGTTATCGCCGTGTACGTCATCTACTGGAAGGGGCCGGCGCTGCGCAAGCGATCGCCATTCGCCCAGGCTCTAGCCGACGAGGGCGCCAAAGAAGGTCATCGTCCCAGCATCATGCGTGGCGAGTCGGTTTACAACAGCCGCCAGAACAGTAAGTTGTGCCCCTGAAGCAAGAATACCTTGCTCTTCCTCTGCGAAGACAAATGCTAACCTCTGTGACTTCCAACAGGCATCGCCGCCGCCGCCACAGGTGCCCAGCGACCCACTATGAACGGACGCACTTACAGCCAACAGCAACGCTTCTTCGGCGAGAATCGCTCCGGTCGCAACACACCCTCTGCGAGCAGGTCGAATAGTGTTGCCAACATGCACCGCAAGCCTCACCCGGCTGGTGTCGCTCACTGATGAATGAGAGGGAGATGCCGAGCTTTGAAAATTACATGTTGCAAGACATTGGCAGAAGTGCATTGTGTTGGTTGCGCAGGAATGAGCCGCCTCGAGGAAGGAACCCGCAATGTTGCGCTTGTTTTGATAGGATCATTCAGTTCGTTACGGCTGGACAGGCGCAGACTATGGATATTGGAACGTCGCTTTCTGACGTCCACGGATGCTTTTGAGTGGAGATCATGTCTTCGCGTCTGACGTTTTCGACGGCGGGAATACCATTGGGGAGATTGCATTTGGGACTCGGCCAGGACGAAACTATACAATGTGAACGAATGATATGACCAAAGATTGCTTCCGTGAAATTTTCGAGATTTCGGTGCTATCGAAATGTACTGCATTGATGCTGAGAATCAGACTGTCTACGGCCATTGCTCGCATCTCTGCGCATGGTCTGTTTGCAAAGGCCCAGTATAGTATATCCCCGTGAGACGTTGGGTCTCGCTCGCTCCGCACGCTGGTCTCGTAGCTATTCGACCACTGATCTGTCCTTCGTAGCGATATCCGACTCCCAGAACCAGAGCTCTCATCGCTACACACAGAAGCACGGTTGCTTGAACTGTCGGCTCGACCGAACATCCACTTGGTACTGTACATCAGTATACATAATCTGTTGGAAAGACGAGGATGGAGCAGAAGGACGAATGTGTGGAACGCGTGCGTTGGACCACCACCACGATCTTTCTAGGGCGGGCGGGCTTTGAGTCTTTCTGACGTTATCCTGTCCTGTTGGCGCGAGAAGGACATGACCGATGATCGAGGGAAAATTTCCAACGTCGCGCTCTTACTACTCGCGATGAATAAATGATACAGGGCACCTTAATTGATCTCGTTTCGGTCGGAATTGTCCATATCAGATCGCGGTCCTTTGTCCCTCGATGATTGTAACATTGCGATGTCCACAGGCATCCATGTCGCCTCAGCTTTATCCAACGTAAATGCTTATGGCCAGCCACGTTGGCGCAAGCCTGCAGGTCACTGGCCAGTTACGGACCGAAAGAGGGATCGGCATGCACCATGGCGCGCGCGGACACCGTACTGCGTAGGTCCTCCACAGTGCTTGTCACCCTGGCGTTGTTCCATTGCTTCCGAACGAACCTTCGTATTGCGGTGCGCTGTGCGAAATGACGAGGCTGATGGCCACATGGTGGACTAACGGTCGTCTCCTTGCGATTGTTGCGCCGACCTACATAGGATCCTTCGGGAAGATATAAGCTATGAAGGTCCCGGAGTCGACTTGGCGGCAGCATAGTCTGTCTGCTATCAATAACGACGACAACGACAACACCTCCGAAAGCCATCGGTTAAGCTTGATATCGTTGTATAAATTGAAGATGGTTTTGCTGGCAGCTGTCTCCACATTGGCCTTGGTCATTGCATTCTCCACGAGGACTACAGCTCGTGCAGTGTCAACAGCGCCATTGGCATTCTCTAATGGCTCCTTTCAGATCGCTGTGTTTGAGGACCTTCACTTTGGCGAAAATTACTGGGAGGATTGGGGGCCTAAACAGGACGTCAATACCGTGTTGGTGATCAATGAGGTGCTGGACCAGGAGAATCCTCAGCTCTCGGTGCTAAACGGAGACCTGATCACTGGAAACAACGCATTCCGCGAGAACAGTACAGCAGTGATCGACAAGCTGGTTGCACCCTTTGTAAAGCGCGGTCTATCCTGGGCGTCAACATATGGCAACCATGACAGCGACTTCAATCTCTCGAGGGCGGACATTCTCCGCGCTGAGCACAAATATCCTAATGCGCGGACGACCAACATGATGCCAAACGACCGGTATGGTGTGACAAATTACTACCTCCCAGTGTACCCATCAAACGCATCTCTGGACACTCCAAGTCTCATTCTATGGTTCTTCGACAGTCGAGGAGGATTCTATTACGACAGCATCGACCCTGCCACAGGAAAGCAGGTGGGTCAACCAGACTGGGTCGACGAGCACGTCGTCGACTGGTTCACCTCAACTAACGCCGCATTGACCAAACAACATGGCAAGGTGATCCCATCGATTGCATTCGTCCACATCCCGGTAAACGCTAGCCTGGCTTTACAGCAATATGCTGGCGTAGACTCCCACCGCCAGCCTGGCATCAACGACGACTACCTCCTGGGAGCCCAGGCGCAAGGCTGGTGCGAGGACAATGTCAGCAATGGAACTTGCGCTTACGGAAAGCAAGACATCCCCTTCATGAAGGCCATTACCTCGACGCCGCGGCTGTTGGCGTTGTTCTCAGGCCACGATCACGGCGATACTTGGTGCTACAAATGGAGGAAGGACGTCCTGCCGAACCTGGAGGTCCAGGGGAATGGCATCAGTAAGTTCATTCGCATCACCCGCAATCACTGTCGATTGTTGATCACTGATATCTCTTTCGCTCTAGATCTCTGTTTCGGCCAACATTCCGGCTACGGCGGCTATGGCTCCTGGACGCGCGGTTCTCGTCAAATTCGGATTCGCGAGAGTGACCTTCAGCATGATAGCATCTCGACTTGGATTCGATTGGAGAACAGTCAAGTAGTGGGAGCGGTGGAGTTGAACTCGACGTATGGACGGGACATTTACCCTGTGACGCCGAATACGCATAGCTAGGTCTCTCGTCATTTTCTTGGCGGCATATTTAGGGGGAGAAAATAGGTGTATGGATGGATAGAAGTCGTGACTTCGCTTCCAAGTGTGCGTGATACCTTGATATCGCGTAGGACCTGGGACCTGCGCCGGAGCCGTATCCGATCCGTGACTGTGGCATCGACCGGAATTACCGCATTCGGCAAGAGCCTAGTGGCCTCAGGTGCTCCCCCGCTGGGCCCGCTGGGAATAACAATTAAGTGTCCTCTTCTCTGAGATCACCACGGGCGTCATTAAGACTCATTACCTGGATTATCATGATTCCCAGCCTCCCGAAGAAAATCTTGGAGGCCTCAAGCGCTCTTTTTTTTTTTGGTGTACCACGTGCTACTGTCCCATGTGTGCTAACGATTATGTGGCCACGCGTTCACTCTTTTTTGCGGCCTGACGTATTCCCCACTTGAATAGTAGGTACTCAGGTGTGACCGTGAAATTTGGCGTAGAGACCGATGATAAGTTTGAGGGTAGAATGTACTGCTGTACAAACATGCTTACCTAGGTATGTTATCTGAGGAAATACACACAGCAGGACTGGAGTGAACCTTACCTATCATATCATCCTGTCATGAAGCTACTGGAAAAGGCCCCTGCATCATCGTAGAAAGTTACTCGCGGGCACAATGCGGCTGGCCGAGCTACGGCGGCACCTATATATCTGCTGCAATCGTATCCTCTCGGTTGATCTGCTGTACGCACATCTGTTTTCCTCGTCTCTGCATTCTCTTAACTTCTTGCCATTGCGTTGGAGGGCATACACGGTGGGCTCTCGTTTGACCGGGTGAATCGATCCTTTCCCCATTTTCGTTCATCGATTGACCATTATCCATGCGCCGGTGATAGCCGTTGAATTTCTGGTTCTATCCACCCGCCGATCCATCTTCACCAGATCTTCTCCACACTGCTTCACACCCAGACACATTTGTCTTCTCTCGGCGCCATGGAGGACGCATACGTCCGTTCGGTGCAGGACGTCCTGCAACAATTCAATGTTGTCCAGCAGTCCGGTCTATCGGACACTGCAGTACAGAAGTCGCGTGAGGAGCACGGCCGCAATGGTAAGTACACAAAGGTGGTGTTGGTGGAAGCGGCTCGTTTGAGCGGATTGCGCGCGCAAAGACTGACACTGTTATTATCGCAGCTATCCCCGAAGATCCACCAACGCCGATATGGGAACTCATCCTAGAACAGTTCAAAGACCAGCTTGTTATCATCCTCCTCGCCTCCGCCGGAATCTCATTCGTATTGGCTCTATTCGAGGAAGGCGAAGGTTGGACTGCATTCGTGGATCCCGCCGTCATCCTGACCATTCTGATCTTGAACGCTGTCGTTGGTGTGAGCCAAGAGAGCTCGGCGGAGAAGGCCATTGCGGCCTTGCAAGAGTACAGCGCGAACACGGCCAAGGTGGTGCGCAATGGCAAGGTACAACATCTCAAGGCAGAGGAATTGGTTCCTGGCGACATCATCGATGTGGCTGTGGGCGACCGCATCCCGGCTGACTGCCGGTTGTTGAGTATTGAGAGTAACAGCTTCCGTGTGGATCAATCCATTCTTACAGGAGAAAGCGAGAGTGTGGGCAAGGATACGCGCGCGATCAAGGATACTCAAGCTGTGAAGCAGGACCAGATCAACATGTTGTTCTCCGGTACTACCGTCGTGACTGGTCACGCACACGCCGTCGTTGTCCTCACTGGGCCTAACACTGCCATTGGCGATATTCACGAGAGCATTTCCGCGCAAATCTCCCAGCCCACTCCACTCAAGGAGAAACTCAACGAGTTTGGTGACACGCTCGCCAAGGTCATCTCCGTCATCTGTATTTTGGTTTGGCTGATCAACATTCGCCATTTCAACGACCCCTCTCACGGCACCTCTTGGACCAAGGGCGCCATTTACTACCTCAAGATCGCCGTATCGCTCGGAGTGGCGGCCATACCTGAGGGACTGGCAGTCGTGATCACCACTTGCTTGGCCTTGGGAACTCGAACAATGGCCAAGAAGAACGCCATCGTGCGCAGCCTGCCGTCTGTGGAAACGCTCGGCAGCTGCAGTGTTATCTGCTCCGACAAAACCGGTACTTTGACTACTAACCAGATGAGCGTCAATCTCTTGGTCCACTTGAACGAGGCAGGATCCGGAGTTGAAGAATTGGACGTGGAAGGCACCAGCTTCGAGCCACGGGGACAAATTACAAAACGTGGAAAGCCTGTGGCATCGCCAGCCGCCAGCTCTCGAACCGTTGCGAGCATGATCGAAATCGCTGCTCTGTGTAACGATGCCGAGATCACCTACGATGAGAAATCCCGATCATTTGGAATTGTGGGAGAAGCCACTGAAGGTGCTCTCCGTGTGCTCGCCGAAAAGGTCGGCACACCTGATGCTAATCTTAACGCCCGTTCGGCCAATGCGCCCCCTCAACAGAACCTCAACGCCGCCAGTGATCACTATGCTGCTCAGGCTAAGAAATTGCGCACATTCGAATTCTCACGCGATCGCAAGAGTATGTCGGTTCTCGTCGAAGGCGGCAAACTGCCTCGTCTTCTCGTCAAGGGTGCTCCGGAGTCGATCTTAGAACGGTGCACTTCAGCGATTGTGGGCAGCGAGGGCAAGCAAATTGCGATGAGCGGAAAGTTGTCTTCTTTGCTCAGCCAGCAAATCTCCGCATACGCGAACCGTGGACTTCGTGTCATCGCCTTGGCCAGCATCGACAATGTCACATCACCCCTCTCAACCTCTGCGAAAACGAACGGGGAGTACCAGCGTTTGGAGCAGGGCATGACCTTTGTCGGTCTCGTGGCCATGTTGGACCCGCCGCGACCAGAAGTGGCCGAGAGCATTCGGAAATGCCGAGCGGCCGGTATCCGCGTCGTGGTGATCACCGGTGATAACCAGACCACCGCGGAGACCATTTGCCGTCAAATTGGTGTCTTTGGCCCGAACGAGGACCTGGCTGGAAAGAGTTTCACCGGACGTCAATTCGATGATCTTTCCGAGAGCGAGAAACTAAAGGCAGCCAAGACCGCTTCGCTCTTCTCCCGCACCGAGCCCACGCACAAGTCCAAGCTCGTCGATCTACTACAATCTGCCGGAGAGGTGGTTGCGATGACGGGTGACGGCGTTAACGATGCTCCCGCACTCAAGAAGAGCGACATTGGTGTGGCCATGGGCTCAGGAACGGACGTTGCCAAGTTGGCCGCCGACATGGTCCTTGCCGACGACAACTTCGCCACCATTGAGTTGGCTGTCGAGGAAGGTCGTGGCATCTACAACAATACGCAACAATTCATCCGCTACCTGATTTCGTCCAATATCGGAGAGGTGGTTTCGATTTTCTTGACGGCGGCATTGGGCATGCCCGAGGCTTTGATCCCTGTCCAGCTCCTTTGGGTCAATTTGGTTACTGACGGTCTCCCGGCTACTGCGCTCAGCTTCAACCCCAAGGATCACGATGTCATGAAGCGACCGCCGCGTAAGCGTGATGAGCCGCTCGTCGGTGGCTGGTTATTCTTCCGCTACATGGTCATTGGTACATATGTCGGTCTGGCCACCGTGGGTGGATACGCGTGGTGGTTCATGTTCCACGAGGGTGGTCCACAGATCACCTTCTATCAATTGGTGAGTTTTTGGACGAACGAATGCGCTCCTGAGGAGCGTTCACATTTTCCCTCTTGTTTCCCCTTTGTGAGCCAAGGCTGACCACATTCCCGCACAGAGCCACTTCCACCGCTGCTCGACTGAGTACCCGGAAATCGGCTGCTCCATGTTCACCGACGCTTCCGCCCAAACCGCCTCGACCGTATCCCTCTCCATCCTCGTCGTCATCGAGATGCTCAACGCCATGAACGCCCTGTCATCATCCGAATCCCTGCTCACGCTACCACTCTGGCGCAACATGATGCTGGTCTACGCGATCACGCTCTCCATGGCCCTCCACTTCATGCTCGTCTACACGCCTCTTTTGCAGGGTGTCTTTGGAATCGTCCCGCTACAGTGGCCCGAATGGAAAATCGTGCTCGCGTGGAGCGCGCCGATCATCCTCATTGACGAGGTGCTCAAGTTCCTCGAGCGCAGCTTTTTCATGGCAACGACGGACAAGCCGAATCGCAGCAGCAGGACGAAGAGCGATTGAGTATGATGCAGAAATATGATGATTGCGACCACATTGAGGCCGAAGTTACTTGTAGAGTAGCTGTTTTCCGTCTAGACTCTCAATTTATGCATGCGAGAGCGAGAACAAGAAGCAAGCCCCACCCCCAAAAAGAATCAAATAGATATATGAAGAAAAGACAAATCAAAGAGTACGATCTCACTCAAACTTTCTCTCTCTATGATTAACTTCACTCAATTGCATTCTCTGACGCCGCCTGTTGTGCCTCCCGCTCCTTCTTCGACCCCAACCCCAGTAGCTCTTTCCCTTTCTCCACCGCGGCGTGGAAACTACCCGACCGCCTTGTTCCTTGTCTCTGCTCGGCCGAGAGATCCCGACTGGCGGTCCGGAGAGCGCTTGAAGGCCGCGCTGCTGCTCCTTCGGTCTCGGTGACTTTGGTGCCGCCGCCGACGGTCATCATGTTGCCTTCGCCGCCGCGGCCCCAGTGGTAGGTGCCCTTGACTTCGCGGTCGTGGGCTTTCGGGGTGTCGACGTCTTGGGCTAGGCGGGCGGAGGCGGGATCTGGGGGATGATGGGGTTTGTTAGTTGAGAGGATGCTTGCTGAGCTTTTTTCGAAACCATTCTTGTGTACTATTCGACAGATGGGATTGTTTGATCTTGTACTTCTTCTCCTGCTCCTCCTTCTCATGCTCTCCTTCACTATTTTGTAAACTTCTCTATCTTCCTGATTCTTTCCCCTTATCTACTTCCTTCTCTCATGTCCTTGACATCCTCCTCTGACTTTCTCTCCAGGGTTTCTCAAACTCACCATTCGGGTCATTCTGCGCCATATTGCCTGTCCCCCCGCGACCGGTCGTGTAGGTCGACGATTTGATCGTTGGCGTGACCAGCGAGGCAGCGTCGACGGCGGGGTTCTTCTGGGAGCCGATGTTACCAGCGCCGCCGCGACCGTGACTGCGCGAGGGTTGGGGAGCGGATGCGCCGGTGGTCGCAGGTGCGCTGGTCGCGCTGGGTGGTTGGGCCATGATGTTGTCCTTCTCGGGTCTCGTGAGAGATTTTTTTGTTTTGCGACTGCCTGTGAGCGACTCGGTAGTGTTGGGAGGTGGGAGCAAGAGTCAAGAAGTACGCTCGGACTACTGGAAAGATCGGTCTCTCGTTTTTTTTTATTACACTACTGTACTAGTTGTGCGACAGGATGTTGGTGGTGGTGGTGGAAGATGTCAGTCTGCGGCACGGACGCCATAGGTCAAGACCCAGGTGGTTCTTCTTCCATCATTGATTTGCCGATTGCGACGGCCCAGGTGTGCCCAGGTGACTAGAGTACTGGGTTGGCTACGGCGGGATTTTTCTTATCATTGCTACTCTAGCAAACCGGCAAGATCACGAATGAGCCTCTCCCGTTCATTTGGTGGCTTTTTCCTTCCCTCGCCTGGTGCTTGGGGACTATCCGCTTTTTTCGGCGACGACCGTCGACGGACTCAGCCATGGAGAGAATCCTGTCAGGCACGTGTCCCGAGGAAGCGACCACATGGCACTGAGATGGCACCTCGTCGTTTCTCTCACCGGATTCAACTCGTTACAGTCACTGTCAGTCATCGAATCCGCGTTCGTGTATCGCGCTCAGTGCAGAACACATCTGTGAAAAAGACTCTACTCCCACTCATCGCGAAGCGCGTCACAAGATGGAGAGTGTGGGCCAGCAGTGCTCCGTCATGCGCGATGATGCTATCCCGAGGGAAAAAAGAAGGGGCGGGACAAGCTGAGGGGCAGGTCAGCCAAGAGGCCGCCTGGGGCCGTGGCGCTTTTAGTCCTCTATCCCACCTTGCGACTCATCCATTCCAATCGGAAAAACAACCGTCCCTGTGGGAACCCCTCCATGTGCCCTTCTGGTCGTGTTTGTTTTCCTTCCACGTGATCGGCGAGCTTGACCGGGATGCGAACGACGGTTGTGTGTGAGCTCATTTTTAGGGCAGTCATCACTCCGCGGAGAACTTGGAAAGCAGCCAAAGAGCGCAGGGATGTCACGTGGATGCACAGAATCGAACGGACTGATCTGTTGTTGATTGAATTCCTCTGGAGGCTGTACTGAACATGTATTCCTAGGTACTGCTCACCTACCTAGGTAGGTACCAAGGTTTTATTGTATTACAGAACTTGATGATGGCGCCTGCTGCTTCGTGGATGCTGATGGCACCTGCTGTGTACACATCAGTCCTTCATTCCCGAGCTTCAAGGTTTCTTTGTGTTGCAGACACAGTGAATGATGGACGCACTGCCAAGTGAGCATATTTGTGCGTGCCCAGGTGGTGTGTGCTATCGGCCTCTACCCAAAGTCTCCCCTCGACGGTGCCTGCCCACGATGAAAGTCTACTGTACATACCCAGATACCGCACTTCAGCTCTCCCGGATGATCTCGCCGATGACTTTTCATCGACATGCTCGTGCTCTTGGTGTCATAGGGAGATCATGTAAGCCGTAGAACTACTGTATGCCCCAATACATTTGTTTAATTATCTTCACAGAATCGCTAGGACGATGGTGAAGGTGGCGATGGTTGCTGGGTGGTGGCGGCTGTGACAGCTGAATCCTTCGAGGCACAGTGTGGTCACCGTATTGTCCTGTACAGTGTAGACATGGATTACATGTGATTCATGAAACGGTCGAGATTCGCATGTTGAAAATAAGCGCCCAGCTGCTGCGCTCTGCTTGACTAATCTCACTGGATTGCCCGGAGCGGTATCGCTCCAAATTCGACGCCCAATTATCGACCGGGACCACGCTGGGGCCTCGCGCCATGTCGCCCATACAGCGTACGCAATCACTGGCAATTCTCCGTCGTCGTCGCTTGCTGGCCAACCAACGGGATAAGCTCGAGCGGCACTCTTTTCGAATCACACCCTAAACATAGCCTTAGGTTTGATGGTGCCAGAGAGCTGCTCACGATCTCGAGCGAGTCTCTTCGGTGCCGCACATCCCAGGCCGATGGGCGACGACCCACGCTGGCAGCTGGAGTATACTGCGCACTGTGCGGGCTGCTTGCCGCCCGACCATAGTCCGCACTCTGCAGGTGCACTCTCGGGCCACACGGTAGTGTGCGACATTTCCACAAGACGCGGTGCTGCTATTCCTGGGCGCTTCGCCCGGTCTCCATCATGACTCTCGAAGCCCAGGCCGGCATCGTCAAAAGCAGGCTGTGCCGCATCCTTCGTCCATCAGTTCTTACTTCATATGCATTGTACAGTGTTTTGCTGATCGCAGTTGTTCATCTTCCTTTTCGTTGTCATTTTCCTTGTCTCCTTTGTCATCCTTGCAAGCCACTCTCTTTTCTCAACAGTTGATCGTCATCGCCGCCGGTTCGGCCTGTCTATTGACTGCGAAATACACGCCTGAATATTGTTATATACATACCCAGCAAATAACCGACGACATCGCCTGCTGTCTGAACACCCACCAGGACGATCAGCCTCATCTCGATCACGATGGCCGCAGCTCAGGTCACTCTGCAACCCGCAGCATTCAAGCTCTCTGCTCCTATCCGTAGAAATCGAACCTCACGTCAAGCCGCGCGGGAGACCATGATCGAGGATGCCCCGCAGGTTTCTGTCCAGCATCGTGGCATGCCTCCGCCACCGCCGCTACCGATGCCAGAGACGTTTCTTCTCCCGGTATGCTTCGTCAAGTCGCCGATGAGCGACCATTGCCCGACACCACGAGCGTTTCCTTTGCCGCCTACCCACAACACTCGGCCCAGCCCGTCGGTCTGCACCTCCGACACCGACACCGACTCAGATCATGGATCCACCTGGTCGAAGCCCAGTGTGAAGGGTGATTCGGATGAACTTTACGAGATCTCCGAGAGCGAGCCGGAAGAGTTCCCTATCAAGTTGTCTAGGTCAGTCAAGAAGCGAATGGTTCGCCGAGACTCGAAGCAACGTTATCCGTCCATCGCCATCCCATCCCCCGGACAGTGGCCCACCATCGACAAGATAAAATCGACCACTTCGCTCTCATCACCCTTCCAGATGGCACTCTCGCCTTCTGTGCTTGCTCGACTTCAGGAACAGACCTACAATATTCCTCCCACATCGGCGACTCCTTCTCTCGACGGCAGTCTGACATCAGAAGAACTTGCGGGATCCAGCTGTCCATCGACCCCGGATCTTCCCGAGACGACCACCGAAGAGCAGACCTGGGAGGCACCCGTTCGACTTGACCCGTCTGCGATGAATTTGCTTCAGCACCTCGATACTGAGGAGCCAGCGGAACAAGTTGAGACGACCATTGAGATTCCTGCAGAGGCCACGCAAGAAATGCGAGAAATCGTTGAATCACCCTCGTTGTTTGGGTTGTTCCGGATTGATACCCAGAGGACAGCTCCACCAGAGGCCGATGACCCGCTTTCTGCCTTGTCGGTTCCTTCTCCGAGCGGATTCTTCGCATCGTTAAACTCTTCAATGGCCAGGTCCACCTGGACGAGCGAAGAACGGGCACCCGACACCTGTACTGCCACTGATTTCTATGGTCTACCATTCCGTCGCGACTCTGAGCCGCCTGTTCCACTCACCAGCACTGCCGCATCGTTCTACAACCTGCCATGGCAACAACGCCCGGAGAATCCCGTTGAGCATGTGATCACTATGCCTGTTCAAGACCCACAGGACCCGATCACTGCCCGTAAAATTCTATTTTCTCCTACCGAGACCATTGTCGAAGTGGACGAGATTGACGAGACATACGATGAAAAGCTCAAAGCCTCGGCCGATGAGCACGTCGATCGCACGAAACTTTGGCTTACCTCGCAAGATGCCTACATGCAAGCCATCTGCGAGGAGGACGAGAAACTCGAGGACTTTGAAGGTGTCCAGGATGCGGTTCCCGCGGCGCCGGAAGCCAGCTCGCCCGACGTCACAAGTCCGATGTCACTCCAGAGCAAGAAGTCAGTCCGCTTCGCTGCCGATGCTGTCCCACACTCCCTCAGTGGCACCCCGGAAGCCAAGAAGCGCGTCTCGCCGATCCATGACGGTACCTTCTGGCAGGGTTGGCGGTATCACAAGCGATCCGAGCGAGCACGCGACGTGTTCCAGCACCGACAAGCCCGCGTCGAAGCCGAACAGGTCCGTCGAGTCAGCCTTCACAAGCAGCACGTCGAGCAACTACAGGGTAAGTATGAGATTACCACCACCGAGCGTCCTGCACCTTCACGGCCAATCTCGGACTTGGTCCCTGCCGTCCCACAGGATGAGAAGTCCCAGATAATTGCTCAGGCCGACCGCGAACGACAGGCGTTGGAGCAAATGCAATCTTCATCGTGGCATCTCGCCGCCCAGCGCGAAGTCAATGGCGGAAAGCTCCTGACCAGCCCCGTCGTCCAGAGTTTCAAGGGTCGCAAAGACGTCAACATCCTGGATCTCGCCGGTCAGGCGCACTGCGGCTGGGCATGGTCGGTAGCAATCGAGCACCCTCAGGCAACCGTCTATACCACCGTCTCCACCGACGCCGAAGCCCACGTCGCCGAGATCTGCCTCGATGGCCCTCCCAACCACGTCGTCGCCGCCTCCCCAAAGCTCTACGAACTGCCCTTCGAGAGCAACTTCTTCGACGTCGTCTCAGCGCGCAACCTCTACGCCCATCTGAAGACCACCTGGCCTCAGGGCCACGCCGTCGACGAATGGGACCTCACCCTCCGGGAATGCATGCGCGTCCTCAAGCCCGGCGGATACCTCGAGTACGACCTCCTGGACGCCGAGCTCGCGCTTCCCGACGCCGCCGGCCAGGCCCTCGGCGTAGAATTCGCCTTCAATCTGAAGACCCGCGGCTACGACCCCAGCGCTGGCAAGAGCTTCATGCCCCGTTTGAAGCGCGCTGGTTTCCGCGATATCAAGCGTGCGTGGATGCTCTTCCCCGTCGCGGATGTCGCCGCCAAGTGGAACGATGCCGGCAAGGCCCGTGGCGAGGGTGGTGAACTCCGCACTATCGCGGCGGACGGTACTGTCACGATCTTCGAGGCCCCTACGACTGGCAGCACCAAGGACGTTCGTGCCGTCACGGGATTGGTCGGCGCTCGTCTCTGGGAACAGTGGATGATGAAGCTTTGTGTTGAGACTGGTCGCAGCGAGAAGCAGTGTCTGCAGGAGGTCGCCCATGCCCTGGAGGAGGGCGGCCGTGGCAGCGCTGCTTGGAGGTGTTTGGTCGGATGGGCGCGCAAGGACATTTGAATGGATAATCGATCTCTACGTTACGATGATTTGACTCGGAGATGTGTTTCTTTTCTTTATTTTCTTGGGTATATATATACATATAACTTCGATACAACTAATTTTGGCTTGAACGTTTTCTTTGCTCTTTCATATGTGGCTCAGTATCAATTCGTGCTCGTGTACACGGATGCTGGGACCACGAGAAGAAGACGAGTGTTCAACGTGCATTGCAGAGAGCTACTTTGAACGGCCAAATTGATGGGCCCCAGCCGGGAACGACCCTTGCCTCGGACTGAAGCTCAATGTGGAGTAGGCGCCGCTCAGCTTACATGCCACGAGGTCCTGAGTCGGAGAGACGACCATAGTGTGGCTCGTTGCGCTATGTGTGCCATCCATAATGTCAGAGCCATACAATCTTCAGTAGTCTGGGGTACATCGGCGCCTGCATCGTTCCATCGCCGAGGGAAGGCGAACGAATTTGGGCCTGGGCTGTCGTCTTTGTATGAGAATCTGGGGTCTTGACTCGTGCCCTACTTGACGCTGCTCTGCTCTGTATCCCGAATGCCGTTGAAACAGCTCGTGGCCCGCCGCCTGTCCTACTACGTTGCTGCGAACTGTAGTGGCGAGTCTGTTCCCGATCGGACTGTAGGGACTCTTCTCCATTCACCCGCCAGCACTCGGAACACTCTTCTTATTCCCATTGATCGCTGCCTTTATTGTGCAAGTGTTCTTACAATCGTTCCCGTCTGTTCCTCAGGATACAGCGCCATTCCAACGACTCCACCTCACTACCACTGTCTACAACGACCGGAGATATCACCATCATGTCGGTCCCATACAAGCTTCGCGCGACTGAGAAGCCCGCCAGCGAGAAGATCCCAATCATCGCTCGGCCATTTGTGAGCGAGCGGGCGAAGAAGACATTGGACATCGTATGTGCGACCTTGAATAATCCCGCCATCGAGAGAGCGGGTGCAATGCCTCTTCGGAGATTTCATTTCTAACATACATCGTCTATTCTTCAGGTCGAGAAATTCGTCGAGGAAGAATGTATTCCCGCAGACACCGTCTACCAGCAACAGATCGGCGAGACCAAGGCTGAGCGCTGGGTCGCTCACCCGCCGATCCTCGAGCACCTGAAGAAGCGCGCCCGAGAGCTTGGCCTGTGGAACATGTTCTTGCCCAAGAACCACTTCAAAGAGGGCGCCGGGTTCAGCAACTTGGAGTACGGTCTCATGGCCGAATACCTGGGAAAGAGTGGCATTGCGTCCGAGGCAGTCAACTGCTCAGCGCCTGACACCGGAAACATGGAAGTCTTCGCCAAATACGGCACCGAGTCGCAAAAGAAGCAATGGCTGGGTGGACTGCTCGAGGGTGAAATCCGCAGCGCTTTCCTCATGACCGAGCCCGATGTCGCTTCATCGGACGCCACCAACATCAGCTTGACGATGCGCAAGGAGGGCAACGAGTGGGTCCTCAACGGCAGCAAATGGTGGAGTTCCGGTGCGGGTGACATGCGATGCAAGATCTTCATCGTCATGGGCAAGAGCGATCCCCAGAACAAGAACGTCTACCGACAACAGAGTGTTATTTTGGTCCCGGCCGACACACCTGGTGTTACCGTCAACCGAATGGTCTCGGTCTTTGGTTACGACGATGCTCCTCACGGACACGGACACATCACATTCAATAACGTACGGGTACCTCTGGAGAACATCATTCTTGGCGAAGGCCGCGGTTTCGAGGTTATTCAGGGTCGATTGGGACCCGGTAAGTTCTTTCGCTCTCTTCTGAGGTTCATGTGTCATTTGGTTCTCGCTCTAATCAATTTTATCCTGCAGGCCGTATCCATCACGCTATGCGTAGTATCGGCGCCGCCGAGAAGGCTCTGGAGTACATGGTCGCCCGCATGAACGACCCCCGGAAGAAGCCCTTCGGCAAGCAGCTCGCCGAACACGGTGTGATGCTCAGCCGGGTGGCCGAATCCCGAATCGAGATCGACGCCGCCCGTCTGCAAGTGCTCAACGCTGCCATCATGATTGACAGCGCCGACGCCAAATTCGCCCTCAAGGAAATCGCCGAGGCCAAGGTCTTCGTCCCGCGCGTCGCCCTCGATGTCATCGACAAGGCCATCCAGGCCTACGGTGGTGCCGGTGTCAGCCAGGACACCCCTCTCGCCAACATGTACGCCCATGGCCGGACGATGCGCATCGTCGATGGCCCTGATGAGGTCCACATGCTCCAGCTAGGACGAAATGAGAACAAGCGTGGCAAGGCTTTGTTGGAGAAGATTCAAGGTTACAGGAAGAAGACCGATGAGTATCTGAGCATGTACGGTTTGGAGAAGAAGGATATTTTGCAGCTGGACCGGGAGTTGAGCAAGGCCAAGCTATGATCTGCTTGAACAAATAGCAATATGACTTTCTAAGTTTGTTTCTTGTTAAAAATGTACCGTCGGTTGAGATTTTAATAAGTCTGAGCATTAAAATATTGTACCAGTGCGAACCTGTGTTGTGGTAATGTACATGTCAGTGTTTTTGCAGGTGACGGTATGTTGTTTGCCTCCAATGGCTCGGGTGAAAGCACGACCAATGACGTGACCCTGAAACGAAATCCGTGAGCTCGATTGCCCTGCAGCGCCACCAAAGCCAATGATACCTAGGTAATCATTTCAATGCCTCTAGACATCTTGAAATGAGCCTCCACTGCACTGCGACCATGTCTTCGCGGACATTCTTAGTGCGGACCGCATCGCGCGCAACGACAACGACACGCTTCACGCCGATCAGAACTTTTGCGTCCGCCATCTCCGTCCCCAAAATCGACGCCATGCACCCCGGTAGCATTGAAATCTCAAAGGCGCAACAGGTCGCGACCAACGGCCTTGTCTCTGGTCAGTGCCCGCAATACTCACGCGCACTGTCTATCGGCGGACAGATGGGACCTTGACGTGACTGACCATGCATGGTTCACAGCGATCGGAAACACCCCGCTCATCAAGCTCAAGACGCTTTCGCAACAGACCGGCTGCGATATCCTCGGAAAGGCGGAATTCCAGAACCCAGGTGGATCCGTCAAGGATCGCGCTGCGCTATTCGTCGTCGAAGATGCTGAGCGCAAAGGTCTTATCAAACCGGGCGGGACGGTGGTCGAGGGAACAGCAGGCAACACCGGCATCGGCCTCGCGCACGTGTGCAGGAGCAAAGGATACAAACTCGTCATCTACATGCCCAACACTCAATCACAAGGCAAAATCGACCTCCTCCGTCTCCTCGGTGCAGAGGTCTACCCCGTTCCGGCTGTAGCGTTCGACAACCCCGAAAACTACAACCACCAAGCCAAACGTCACGCCGAACGCCTCGACAACGCCGTCTGGACGAACCAATTCGACAACACCGCCAACCGCCAAGCCCACATCGAAACCACCGGCCCAGAGATCTGGCATCAAACCGGCGGCAAGATCGATGCGTTTACCTGCGCCTCCGGCACCGCCGGCACCATCGCCGGCGTGACCCGCTACCTCAAGACTATCTCGGACGGCAAAGTCCAATGCTACCTCGCCGACCCGCCCGGCAGTGTCCTCTACACATACATCACATCCAAGGGCAAACTGATCGAGCGAAGCGGATCCAGTATCACCGAGGGTATCGGCCAAGGCCGAGTGACGGACAACCTCGCGCCGGACATCGACCTACTGGACGGCGCGCTGCACGTACCAGATGAGAAGAGCATTGAGATGGTCTACAGGTGTCTCGATGAGGAAGGATTGTATCTCGGCGCTTCGTCATGCTTGAACGTTGCGGCGGCGGCACAACTAGCGGAGAAACTGGGCCCGGGACACACGATTGTGACGATTTTGTGTGATGGCGCGTATAGGTATGCGGATCGGCTGTTTAGCAGGAAGTGGTTGGAGAGCAAGAAGCTTTTGGGAGCGGTGCCTGAGCATCTACATCGTTATATCGTGCTTGAGTAAATTGCAGGAAAGCTACTGGGGAGGCCGGGCGAGACTGAGGCATGGAACCAGCAGTCTCGTAGCAGGAATGATCTCCGACTATTGCAACATCTTAACCGAAATGTGAACAAAACTTTTGAGAGGAAAACGCTGCCTAAGAATCTACTTCTACATGCACTACAGTATCGTCATCGTCACCGCCGATACAAAATCTCATAAACCTCCTCCGCAATCGCGAGGCTGCTGGTCAACCCGGGACTCTCAATCCCCAAAAGGTTTACAAACGGCGCCTCATCCGGAAACCCTTCCTCCTTCCTGATCACAAAATCCTGAAAGCCCTTCCCACCACTCCCCACCGCCGACAATTTCCCCAACTTCGGCCGAATCCCCGCGTAATCCAAATTCACCGCGTCCCTTTGCAGCCCAGGCAGATAGGTCTCAATGTCCTTGAGAGCCGCCTCGAAGCGTTCCGCGACGTACGTCGGCGCGAGATCGGTCGGGCTGTCTACCCATTCGACATCTGGACCGAAGCGGATCCGTCCGGACATGTCGAGGGTGAGGTGTGTACCTAGACCACCGTGGCCGGGGACAGGGGCCGGGTAGACGAGGGTCTTGGGTTTGGGAAAGGAGGCCGAGTAGGAGTAGTAGGAGCCTTTGGCGTAATAGGGGGTGATGTGGCGGGAGGGAGGGAGGGCCATGTTGGAGATGGCACAGGCGTAGAGGCCGGCGCTGTTGATTAGTGTGGAGGCTGTGACGGCGATCTGGTTCTGGTCTGGGTTGTCGATGTTGCTTGCGGAGGAGGAAGCACCTCCTGATGATGGTGGCGCATCGCTGCCGGCCCAGATGGTCCATTCGGGATTCGACGACGACGTTGGCGCTTCAATCCGAGACACAGAGCTGGCCAGCGCGAGATCTCCTCCGAGGTTCTCGAAATCCCCCTGGAGGAATTGCATGTATGAGTGGGAGTCGACGATGCCCGTAGAGGAACTTTCGAGCACTCCCGCCTCCGCCCGGACGTCTGGTTCGCGATCCTTGGCCTCCTGTTTGGACACCCATCGGATGGGGATATCCATGGACTTTGCGAAATCATAAACTTTCTGTAATTCGGCCATCTGGGTTTCATCTTGGGCGACGATCCATTTGCCGCAATTCATGTGGGAAATCCCTTGTTTCTGGCAGAGGTCGTACATCATCTGCTTGCCGAGCAGGCAGAGCTTTGTCTTTAGGCTGTCGGGCCCATAGTAGAGGCCGGCATGGATGACCTGTTTTCCGGGGCGGTGTTGTCAGTCGTATGCTCTTCCTCTCGTCCCTACACGTGTTGCCAGGCCTACCTCAGAGTTGCGACTACTCGTCTCGCTGCCGACCATGCCATGCTTTTCGATCAGCACCACTCTCGCGCCATCAACCTGTTGCAACCTCCGTGCTATGGCCAGTCCCACAGCACCTGCCCCGATGACGGCATGGGTGAAGTCGGCACCGTGAGACGTCGAAGCTGAGAAGCATCGTCGCTGTGATCGTAGCACATGCACGCTACGACGTGCGGGCAACATTCCAACGACTTGGTTATGAACGAAGGTTTGTTATAGTCGTTACCTGGGTAGTGTCGTACCTGAACAACGACGCGATTCCTCAATCGCGCCTCGAGCTAAAACATGGCCAGCAAAGGCGATGTGTTCATGTCGACGAGCTGGTTGTGATCTGCCCAGTACATAACATTACACATTGGCCGTCGAACTCCAGCTGATAAGGATTGCATGATGACGTTTGTCGAAATCCCATCCATTACGATTGCTCGTTCGACGTCCATGTACCACGCAGAACCCAGATAGTCCCAATACACATACAGTTCACACCACGATTCATAAATGAAAATGTTACAGTGCACGTTCATAGGTATTCGCGACGTCCTCGGCGCTCGGTGGAGAGCATTTTACAAACGGTGTTCCACTATGCTATTAGCAGGAACATCGGCGAAGGGATCCAAAGCTCGCACGCATCACGAATGGTGGAGCTAAGATACAAAGCAATCGCGGTATATCACTACAACGTGAAGAGACTCTACGTGGCGACGACAGTTCGTCGTTCGCAACCAGGTCAGACACATTGTACAGCCACAGAGTCAGTCGTTTCTGGGCTTCGGACGGGGCCTCGGTCGTTGAGGCACAAGGTGGGTCTCTTGTGACGATCGCTCCGCACGCTCGCTTATCAGAATACAGACATTGCACATCTTGCGGATCTGCAAATGATAGCTCGACAATTAGTTGCGACAGGCATGTTTCAAGCGGAGGAGGAGATGGGCGCTGCACACCGGCCCGACGTCTACCAGCGATATGATCAGGCATTTCCATTCCTCTTGCCTACCTCCCTACATTGCTTGCCCAATGCTGGGAAGGCACTGTAATAACATCAAGGTGATGAGTCCGTTGCTGTGATATCACGCCGCTTGGTCGGACTCGAGGACAAGCTGCATGCCGTACTTTTGGATCCGAAGATCACATGCTGTCTGTCCCCATCCGGCCCGTGAATGTATGTCATGTCATGCATGACCGAGACTGCCTTGGTTGATGCTACCTAGGTATCATGCATGACCCGATAACGCTGAGGCTACGGCCATACGTTTCTCCGTCCGGGGAATAGGGTTGGCTCGGCATGTCGCCGTCGGTCGTCACCAAGCGGCTCAGGAACAAAACATTGAGGTGAACGGTACTGTACACTATCCTCGATGAATGCATAAGCCGCAAAAGAATAGAGCACAGGCAATAGATATCAAATTCCAATGCACGCGGTCGTCGTGATTCCAATTTTCTGCGGCCATAGAAGAAGGCGCCTCGAATGCATTCGCATTTTCCTGATCGAGTCCATCATGTCCTCGGTCTCTCAGCGTCTTGCATCATCCCCGGCTTCATGGGAGAACAATCCACCGTAGCTCCAAATCAATCGCAACCAGCGCATCGCAATGACGGCGCAGGTGGAACCCAACCATGATGGCGCCGCTCCGGCAGCGGTGTCAACTTCATTACAGCAATGATCGGAGATGGAGAGGAAGATCCTTCTTTCCAAGCTCTGTTGACCGCCGAGCGATGAGTCTCCGGTAGATATAAAGCTCATGCTCCATTCATTTGAAAACCGCCCGTCTCTCAGCTTTCTTTCAATAACTTGCGCTTTCTCGCAACTTGTACTTCCCTCTCAATACTTTGCGCGTAGGACCACTGCTAAGCTCGTGTCATCTTCTATCTTCTGAAGAAGTCCTCTGAACGTGAGTCTGCTGGTGCCCCTTGTTCATGAGTGGCCGACACTGCCGAGAGCAACCTCGCCTTGTTGCACGCGAACAATGAAGTCTTCGATTACTGACATCAATCCATAGAAATCGACTCCTTATCTTTCACTATGGCTCCTCACGCTGACGAGACGACGAGCCAGTCAAATGGTCACCTGGCCGCAACAGCTCCCTCGTTCACCCCCAGCGGAGCAGAGTTCACAGTAGATGCACAAAATGTCACATACGAGGACGCCGAGATCACCAGCAAGTATCGCTACCGGACGACAAAGGTCAAGCGTGTTGATGGCAAGTTCGTCGCCAAACCACATGAGACCGTCTACGACTTCAAGACTCAACGGAAAGTCGGCAAGGTCGGCATGATGTTGGTCGGACTCGGCGGAAACAACGGAACGACCATCACCGCAGGTATCCTGGCCAACCGTCGTAAGCTCACCTGGCAAACGAAGCAGGGTACGCAAGAAGCGAACTACTATGGCTCCGTGGTCATGGCCTCTACCGTGAAGCTCGGCAACGATGAGGCAACCGGGGAGGACGTCAACATCCCCCTTCACAGCATGCTCCCGATGGTCCACCCGAATGATCTCGTCATCGGAGGATGGGACATCAGCGGCATGGACCTCGCGGCTGCCATGGATCGTGCACAAGTCCTCGAGCCCACTCTCAAATCGCTCGTCGGCAAGGAGATGGCGAACATGAAGCCCTTGCCTAGCATCTACTACCCTGACTTCATCGCGGCCAACCAGGAGGACCGTGCAGACAACCTGATTCCTGGCGACAAGGCCAGCAACGCTCACGTGGAACAGCTCCGCAAAGACATCCGCGACTTCAAATCTGCCAACGATTTGGACCGGGTTATTGTTCTGTGGACAGCCAACACCGAGCGCTACGCAGAACTGGTCCCAGGCGTCAACGACACCGCTGCGAACCTGTTGAAGGCCATCGAAAATGGACACGAGGAAGTCTCTCCTTCCACCGTCTTCGCCGTCGCCTGTATCCTCGAAGGCGCGCCTTTCATCAACGGCTCGCCGCAGAACACCTTTGTCCCAGGCTGCATCGAGCTCGCCACCCAACACAATGCCTTCCTCGGCGGCGACGACTTCAAATCCGGCCAAACGAAGATGAAGTCCGCCCTCGTCGACTTCCTGATCAACGCCGGAATCAAATTGACCAGCATCGCGAGCTACAACCACCTCGGCAACAACGACGGCAAGAACCTCTCCTCGCAGCGCCAATTCCGCTCCAAGGAAATCTCCAAATCCAACGTCGTCGACGACATGGTCGCCGCCAACTCCGTCCTCTACAAGCCCGGCGAGCACCCGGACCACTGCGTCGTGATCAAATACATGCCAGCCGTCGGCGACAACAAACGCGCCCTGGACGAATACTACGCCGAGATCTTCCTCGGCGGCCACCAGACCATCTCGCTGTTCAACGTCTGCGAGGACTCCATGCTGGCCAGCCCGCTCATCATCGACCTCGTCTTGATCACCGAGCTGATGACCCGCATCCAGTGGCGCAACGATGGCGACGCCGAATGGAGGAACTTCCACTCCGTCCTGAGTATCCTGAGCTACATGCTCAAGGCGCCGCTGACCCCGCCGGGAACACCAGTGGTCAATGCTCTCGCGAAGCAGAGAAGCGCGCTGGTCAACATCATGCGTGCATGTGTTGGATTGGAGCCGGAGAATGATATGACTTTGGAGCATAAGCTTTTCTAGGATGGAAACTGTCGACACGTTTACTTAGCGGTGAAATTTACTTGGAGTTTTGCGACGGAGTTATTATCTAGAGGGGTTATGAATGGGATCCGGGCGAGACCTCCAGACTTCCATTTTGGGGATACAACATCAACGATCGATTTTAAGGACCGCCACTGGATAGCACAGCTAATGAGAATGATATCGAGAAATGATTGTAACGGAGAAAGTAAAAGTGTTTCGTTCCAACGCTGAGTCCTCTATATTCTATCAAACTTCGTGTTAGCACAGCTGGAATGCTGCATTGTCACCTCATCGCCGAATCGCAAGACACCATCACACATCCGTTTTGCTCAGATTCGCCTTTATCTTCCTCATGCTCAACCAGCGAGCACCACCCTTGACAGGCGGAACTGTGTATGGCGGCTGAGAAAATGAATTGGATTACCAGAGGTTTGCTCTTTCGGTCATCATGCAAAACGCGATGTGAAGTGTGCTCGCAATGGGGTCGACCCGCGGCAACTTGGCGTGACTCGAAGGGAATGCTCACCGGATGATGCTCAAGATATGGAGTTTAGTGTAGGACAAATATGTCCATCAATCCACCACAGGCCTTGGAGCGCCGCTGCAAGCGTCGTCACATCCAAACGCGGCCCACATAAGGGTAATACAGGCGGCACGCAGAGACAAATCATCCACAACGCAGGAAGGAAAAATCGCACGCGAGGAAAGAAGGAAAAACAAAGAAGTAATGTTCCGACTTGTAGGTCGTCATCGCATCATGGGCGCCATCCGCATCCCGAAGGAAAACGGATTACCCTCGTGATAACGGTTTTAAAAGCGGAAATGTTCTCATCTCGGCCGCATTGTCGGAATCGCGAGAGCCATGAGGAAGAAGGCGGACGGGCGATGATTTGAGTAAGTTGGCGGTCGTGTTTGTTAATCAGAGAAGGAATTTCGTTCAGAGAAAGAATTCAGATGTGATGCCCCATCTCGCACGGGCGTGTTGCGGAGCGGAGCGAGCCGGGGCTAGCTGCCTCACAGCGCAAATCGCCGGCCTCGATCATCTCTTGGCCGTTCTGTTTCTGCCCACGAATGTCCATGTTCACGAGATGGACGACACGGATATAACTGGGAAATATAGCCAGGTCTAATATCAATATGCTTCACACATCAATGAATAGCCTCTACTCACTCTTTTCCGTGTGTCTGTGGAATTATGTGGCGGAGTATATATGTTAAAGCAAGCCTAGCAATGGTGTAGTACTCATCGTGGCTGTGAAGTTGCCTCGCCTCTTCAGGCAACAGAATTCGAAACGGGAACTTCAATATATGAACAGCACGTTGGTCGTCGGCGCAAAACTCCAAGTCAGCTACATTTGTTGGACGAACACAATCTTCAATTCAATCGAATACAATTACTTGCCGCCATCATCAATCTGACTCTCTTGGGTTGAGACGTGTCTTCCGCACAATCAGCAAACATCAGCCATCGCAACTCGTACGTCTACGATCTTATCGATAGACTCCGCATCAGAACCCCACCCGACAAGGCGAACGCACGCGCGGCCAAACGCGACAATTCATGTGTCGTCACCGACGAGCGATACAATCGTCAATTGTCACTGCACCTACACCCATCCTTCAATCAGATCGCCAGGACAAGATGGTGCGACTACAGCGACCAGGACCGGCATCACCAGCATCGCCATCCTCCTCGACCAACACTGCATCTTGGATCCAAGCTAATCACGATGCTCGACTTGACGAGATCAACAGCGAAGTACTGCACAACGCTGATGTAGCGCCGCCCAGCTACGAAGAGCTCGAACGAAGCGGTACGATCTCTATTACCTCAGAGACCCCAAGACCGGCAGGCGCATCTTCAACATCAGCGGCCGCGGCCGCGGCGCCATATTCAAGCACCAGCAAATTGGCCAGGGATCTCGAGTACTACAAAAACAATCAACGTCAACAGCAACAATCAAATTCCACCAAAGCGGAGTATTCTGGTGTTCCCAACAAGGAGGAGCGCGAAGCAGTCCGCGCGCATTTCGACGATCTTTCCGACGTGGACAGTGACGATTCCAGTTGGGATGCAGAGACCATCGCCGGCATCGACACTCCAGGGACGACAGTCAATGGCGATTATCCCGCACAACGCTCGATTCCGCACACGCCCGTAGAACTGCATCGCGACGCATTGCCGGACCTATCGCTCCTGGAACGGATTCGACAGCGGCATGGCCTCCCCCCACGGGAGAAATGGACCCGTGGCGACTGGCGGCTTGCACACGCCGAATACAAAGCAGAACGACGAGCCGCCCGCGCGAACTGGCGTGCTGAACGGCATGCTTTACGTGCTGCTTTACACGAGCAGAGGAAATCGGTTCGGGAGGAACGAGGACAGCATCGTGCGGAACGGCGAGAGGAGCGGAGTGAGCGAAAAGCTGCGAGGAGAGGCGGATGCTGCTCGCGATAGGACGCGCTCGAGAATTGGCTTCTTATTTTACGCTTCTCTTGTGTGTAAAGTTCTGGCGCTGCCTAAAGCTCAATGTTCAGTTTTGAGGATCCGGTACTCGGAACTCCCAATGTTTCCATGCGGCGATGGCCTAAAAACGCGCCGAGTTTCAGTAGTCAGTGTAATGATAGCTCCAGCTTGCTATGAAATCAGCAAAGCTTTGAAGTTTTCTCGTTTATGTTTACGCGAACTAACTAACTCGAGTGTTTTAACAACACTTTGATATTATGACATTGAGGTTGGAAAGAACCTTGGAAGGAACGTAACCGCGAATAACGTTATTACGCGCATGCACTTGTTTCTCCGGAGCATGCCACGCCGGAGGCCTTTGTGCACGCCCGCATATGGATGGTGCAAGTGCACAAAATCGTATGCACTGACCCCTTGTGCGCCCTGAAACCGACGGTTGTATACGAACTCTCACAGCCCTGCGAGCCATGCGGGCCACGCGAGTTGACTGTTGTGCCGACATGCCTGCGCATCCGCCTACGCCGCACCTCCACCACCCCCATAAGCATCTTGAAACCCTGTTTAGATGTGTATCTTCTCATGCTATGGCTCCTCATCTTCGTAAACAATAGACCCGATGTCCTCGTGTGATTCACTTGCCTTCGAGCGACGACTCTGAAACTCCATACATTGGCTGCATACACGATTTTCAAGCATGCGCAGTGCGACGCGATAGGCCTCAACATACCCTCCAAACACGGTCATTCTGAGACACATAGACTTATACCCACACCCATGGAGACAACATCGATACCCTTGAGGGTCACCCCTCGGAAGCGCCAGTCTACGGACGAAGAGAAGGGGCTCGGCAGAAAAAGTGAAGCGCGCGCTCTTCTAGAACAGGACGAGGCCACAGACGACGCACAGGATGAGGAGGAAGATCTGGATCTGGACGAGGAGGGACTCCCTTATGAACTCTATAAAAATGACACACATCTGCCGCTTCGAGCTCAAGGGGGCTTGAACATACGTCTGTGGGCCTGCATCGCAGTCAATGCGCTATCCACGATAGCAATCGTATGTAGACCGATCGGCCTCAATCGCGCGCACTTCTTCCTATATGTCGTCTATCAGCTCACACGTGTGTTCTTCCGTAGGTCTTTGTGAACAAAGCCATCTTCTCTGCGCCGCCGCCATCCCTCCGAAGCGCCCAGGTCTCATTCGCGACCTTCCACTTCTTCATCACGACCGTAGTCCTCTACACCCTCTCGCAACCCGTCATCGGCGTCTTCGAAGCTAAGCGCGTCGACATACTCAAGGTCCTACCGCTCAGCTTGGCCATGGTTGCAAACGTGGTCCTTCAAAACGCAGCCCTGGCGAATTCCAGCATTCAGTTCAACCAAGTCGCTCGGGTGCTCCTGACGCCCGCGTGTGCAGCGCTCAATTTCATCATGTACCGGCAGACTTTGCCATGGAAGGCGGGTCTGACCTTGATCCCCATTTGCGTGGGCGTGGCGGTTGTGTCCTACTTCGACACGAAATCGGGAGATGCTCTTAACAAACCCAAGGAGACGGCGCCTATCGGGGTGGTATTCGCGCTCGCGGGAGTTTGCGCCAGCGCCATGTATACGGTCTGGGTCAAGCCATTCCACGTGAAGCTCGAGTGCGATAGTTACCAGTTGCTGCTCAATCAGTCGGCCGTCAGTGTTGGCGCCATGTTGTACATCATACCCTTCAGCGACAACAAAGCCGTGTGGCTGCAATTACCGTCTTCGACGTGGGCGTTGGTTGGGTTGGTGAGTGCGCTCCAAGATTGTTCTACTACCACTTTACCGTCTGTATCACGAGCTGACACTTTGCATTTCACAGAGTGGTTTACTGGCGGCTTGTATCAACATTTCGCAATTCGTAATCATCAAGGAGGCCGGCGCTGTGAGCAGCACAGTCGTTGGGCATCTCAAGACCTGCTCTATCATTCTACTAGGATGGATCACGAGCTCACATTCATTCAAAGACATGAGCGTCATTGGATTCATCCTGGCGGTCAGCGGGATCATCATGTAAGTGATATGGCTCGCACTTTTAACCGGCATTCCGCCTCGTACTAACGTTTCAATCTCAGGTACTCGTATATCACCCACAAACAGGCGAAGTAAAGATTGATAGTTTGAATTTTGGTGGAATCTGATCAAATTTGATAAGCCCCTGAGGCTCGGTCTAAATTCTGCATGATCTATATCCTCTGTAAGTGTCAAGTGTCTTATGCGAGTGAACGCTTGCGTTCTGTCGCTGCCGAGTGACTCTTGGCTGCGCTTGTTCGTTACCAATACTGTCGATACACATCCGTGGCGCTGCAAACTTCCGATATGCTTTCGCTTTTGACTTGAAATCGATACAAGACCAAGCCAAGATCCTGGGAATTGCCATTGAGATTGGGCTGCGGCGAGAATGAAAAGTATCAGGACCAGCTGGAGAAGCATCCGTTCTGAACATCAGTCCTCGTTCGGCCCACTAGGCTCGTCCTCAGAGCCGTACGGGTTTGCTAGGCGCATGAAATGTTGGTTGCGGCGGCGCGCGTATTCGAGAGCAGTTGCATTTGGCTCGTAACCAAGCCATGTGCAACCATAGCCGAAGTTATCGGTCGTCGAGCTCCACCTGTCAATCCCGAGAGTCCCTGCTCGCTTCTTGGAAACATTCACATTGTGATTGCGTAGCCTAGGAAATTGCTGTCATGTTGGTAAGTAGCATCGAGCTATCAAGAATGCTTTGCTTGATTTTCACGTTGGATCATAGAGGACGCTGCTTATGCTTCTCTACGTACACCGAGACTGTTATGTGAAGCGTAAACAGCGTTATCATCAGCTATGGCAGATAGCATTAGCAATGGTCACAAGGGGAATGCTTATGGAAAGCTCGTTGCAATCGAGAGCTTGGGTTGCCGGAGTACTTACCATGAACGCACTCCCCATGAGTGTGTAGAGATCCCACCCACCCGCGTGTACCTTGCCTCGTGCCATGGCCGCCTGCTGTCGATAGAAGCGTATGCAACCGAGACCGAGGACGAGGATTGCGGCGCACTGGAACAGAATGGATAATGGGAGACTTAGGACATAATAGCCGAAGATGACCCCTGGACTGGGAGAATGCTGAAGCCGATAGAGCTGAGCAATCAGAACTCCAAGCATTGAGAACACGAGGGAGGTTCGCAGGTATGCCAGAAAGGTTCGTTCGTTAGCTGCGCAAGCATCATCGTTAGCCTGCGATTCACAACTTTGAGATGCCTACAACGTTGAGTATTGAGCGTCGCATGAAAGAGCCACGATACGAAGTCGTGTATGGGCATTGGGTTCGACCATGTTCCTGATTCCACGGACGCGCCAACTCGATTCCTGCATCACAATCGTACGTGTACTTGAGGGCTATCGCTCACGCGAGACGCTGGGCATGAGATGACTAAAATTATGGATGGGTGAACTCACCGAGATGATCTCGACAGTCAGCATGCGGCACAGAAAGGCGCACTTCGTTGCGCCAGAAGCGCTGAACCTTGCCGAGAAACCCCGAGCGAAGAGGTCGCTGTTCTACGACCCGCCTGAACATGGAGGCATCGTCGAGTTCAGTTGCTTCGCGGTCACGACGGTCGTCATCCTCGTCAGTCGGTACATCCTCGTTTCCACGGTGTGTAGCCCGAGGTTCTTGTACTGATGTTGACCGCGAAGTCGATGCAGTAGCGTTCGAGAGGCTTTGTCGATTCACAGCGGGCGTTGCGTTCTGAGCAACATCCAAAGATCCCACTGGCATCTGTGTAGAGACGACCATGTCGGACAGGCAACGAATGCTTTCGATGTTTAGTCACCTAAAAATCTCTCTCACCGTTGTGGCGCATGAACTGCAATGGCGTCTCGTTGCAAGTCGTTACCAGTGCGATATCCAAATCCGCCAATACCGCAGCTCAGATCGAGCACACCCGTAGAATCTCCCTCTGGACGATCAAGTCGCCGTACGACATATATTGTCGTGATAATACCCAGGCGTTCTTGGCAGGAAAAAGCTCGTCGCCACCACAGCGCGGGCAGACTTTAAAGGAGATGGCTTCGTGTCTCAAAGACAAGCGAATCGATCTGTCAAAGTTTCTGTCTGTTGTGCGGACATTGGATATCGTGGAGATAATATGTGGTGATTACACAGGCGTCGATTCAGTGCTAGGTGCCACCAGCATGTGGTGTTCTATTCGATCCATTGCGAGCGAGAGGCATAAACACGTGAATGAACAGAGCGGGCAACGTGCGAATCATTGGCATCTTGGAAATTCAATAGCAGCCGGAGAAGGTTCGACACAGGAGGCGTCTGCCGGTCCCAACAAACATAACATGTGATAGAAAGAATACAAAAAAGTGGCAGAGATTCGCCAATTCATATAATATCCGTCAATCCTGGTCATCACCAAACACTCCTGCAGTAACCATCGATGGCGTGCTCCTCCTTCATGTTGAACGGGTGGAACGAGAACATGCACCCAGGAAATACGCCCAACCCTAAAAGTTCATATTGTAACGGACGTCACGCCGTCTGAGCAGCATTACAAATGATCATGACGGCATTTTGCCGATATCGCCGGCTCGAGAAGATGCTGTTGAGGACTTATAAACCGTATGATGGGAGAATAATTCAGTGATCTTGCGACTTCAATCTGTTGCTGAAAACATAATACAACATCTCGAATTCAGCATGACAAGCCTCAAACGTGACTACCCGTGGTCGAAAGCCCCGCTGATAGCCAATGGGCCTATGCGCCTTGTTGCACTTCCTGCATTGACCGTCGAAGTTTCCAATGCTGGAGGTCTTGGATTCCTTGGGGTCGGTAGTGACGCAAGCCAGCTCGAGGAATTCCTCAAAGAAACCCAATCGCTAGTCAAGCAAAGTACAGCACTCTCCAGCTTCGCAGACGGCGCTGTCCTACCTATTGGCATTGGGTTCCTGCTCTGGGCGGGAGACGACTTGCTTCAAGCCACCCTTCCTCTACTCAAAGCTACTCCGCCTGCTGCTATCTGGCTGTACGCGCATTCCCATATCTCACAAGCGAAGCAATGGACCATAGCAACGCGGGAAGCCACAAACAATCTTACCAAGATCTGGATCCAAGTCGGCACGGTAGCTGAAGCGCTCGAGGTCACCACTGAGTGCCAACCTGATGTTCTGGTAATACAAGGACAAGATGCAGGCGGGCATGGACTTCTGCATGGCGCTGGTATCATGCCTCTGTTTCCCGAGGCCGACGACGCAGTGACGGCGTTGTGCGCCTCAAAAGGCCTTACGAAGCCAGCCCTTTTGGCGGCGGGAGGAATCATGGAGGGTCGCGGTGTTGCTGCAGCTCTGGCCTTGGGTGCGGAGGGTGTCGTAATGGGTACGAGGTATCTCGCCAGCTCGGAGGCGCATCTCGCGAAGGGTTATCAGGAGGCAATTCTAGCGGCTGAGGATGGAGGCATAAACACCGCTCGTGGTACGCTGTATGATCGGCTGAGAGGAACGACTGACTGGCCGTCGCGGTATGGCGGCCGAGGCGTCCTGAATGAGAGCTGGTTTGATGATGCAAAGGGGTTGACATTTGAGGAGAACAAGAAGCGATACGATGAAGCGGTAGCGAACAGTGAAGGAGAACACGGATGGGGAAAGACCGCGAGACTCACAACATACGCTGGCAGTGGAGTGGGACTCGCACGGAAAGTACAATCTGCAGCAGCCATCACTGCAGAGGTCCGTGAAGAGGCAAAGAAGTTTCTCAAACGCGCGGGCGAGGGCTTCTCGCAGTGAACCCTGGAAGTAAACACTCAAGAACAAATGTGCTCATGTAAGCATTACTTGTAATGCTGCGAGTACACAAGTATTCTTCGAATGGATCACACTTGAATATGTACTGTACAAATTTCGGGAAAAGTGGCTTTGTTAAAAATATCTGAACGTCACTTACATGCCAAATGCAAGAGGTAACTCGGCACGTGCGCCCCACGTGCGATCGGGCATATGATGTCAGCGGGTGAACCCTGACATGTTGAGCAATTTGTTGTGCATTTGGCTTGTGATCTCGGGCAGGCATCTCTAATTCACGCTGTACAGTAGCTCTCGCATAAAACGATGGTAGCATCAGGAGATGCACCGGCCACCCCGCCCAGGTCAGGGACAGCGCGAGCGACGGTGCCCATCACTCCTGAGCAGGTCCGGCGCATGGAGGAGAGTCGTCTGAGGGCGAAGGCATTGCAACTTCAACGGACCAGCAACGCAAGAAAAGACAGTTCCTCGGACCGAAGCCAGCCTGCATCTTCCTACTTGAGCGCTGGTCAGAAGCGACCCCATAACGCCATCACTCGAGATTTGCCTGCAACGAGCCGAGATGCACGAAACATGGCAGCGGCTTCGACGACAAACGGTGGCAATGGGTTGTCAGCAGCTCCGGACTCGGGCATCCGCGCTGCTCGGAAATTCCAAAAGTATGTTGAATATGATTTCAGCAAGATGACGGACACCAAAGGCGGTTTCATGACGCAAGAGGACGACCCGCACAACAAAAAGCTGCACGCGCCGGAAGAAGAAGGTGGCAAGCCGGCGCACATGTCGCTGCGAGAGTGGGAACAGGTGCAACTGCGTAGAAAGTTACGCGACCAAAGAGCTGGCCCGTATGAGCCCGCTTTGTCAGTATTAGAAAGGGCAGCCAAAAAATGTCGAGAGTGTGGGACTTTGGAGATCGACTGGTTATGGGACGATGCCCTCCGGTGTCAGGTATGCAACAGTTGCAAGGACAAATTTCCGGACAAATATTCGCTGTTGACCAAGACCGAGGCTCGGGAGGACTACCTACTCACGGATCCGGAGCTCAAGGATGAGGCCTTGCTTCCACATATTGAAAAGCCAAATCCACACAAATCTACCTGGAACAACATGATGCTTTATCTCAGGTATCAGGTGGAAGAGTACGCATTTTCAGATCAGAAATGGGGTTCACCCGAGGCTCTGGATGCAGAGTTTGAGCGACGGACAAAGGAAACCAAGGAGCGAAAAGAGAAGAAGTTTCGCACCAAACTCAACGAGCTGAAGAAGAGAACTCGCGTGGAAGCCTACAAACGTGCGCGCGGTGGCGGCGGTGGTGATTTCGGGGATGTCATTGGGCAAGGTCGACACGAACATGAATGGGGTCGAGCCGTTGAAGACCCTGAGACGGGCATGACGAAACGAAGTTGCTTGGAATGTGGTATGGAAGTGGAAGAAATGAACTTCTGATGTGCCCGTGGGTTCCTCGCAATTCTTACCATCACAAATCTGGGCAGACAGAACAGCAAGACTGCCTTTAGTTCAGCCATAAGATGAGGCATTGCTGGGTTTCACGTCATACATATCGTCTGGCCATAACGTAGAGAGGTAAGTGACTGGCCCGGTAGACCAACGCTTCGGTTGACAGTTCAGACCATTGAATAGTCTAGAATTTGAGGATAACTGACGATTTCAATTTGAGCAGTCTCACTGCTGTGTCGGAACAGCGAACATGTGAGCTCCACAGCCGAACAGATTACGACCGAATGCAGTCGACCAACAAGAAGTCATATAAATTTACTGCCACTCTCCGGCGCAACCAGATGGATGCATTATTGTCCAAGCTGGTGATTGGGATCTTGAGTTGAACCCTGCAAATTCTTAGTCAGCGCATTCGCCTGCACTTCAGTTTCTGGAATATCTCACTCCAGTTCTCAAACATTGGAAACAATCACCACATTACACTGTTCCCTCGGCGTTGCATACGATATCATCTTCGACTGCGCTCTATTTGAATTTAACCGAGTGCTGATATTTGCTGTCTTCAATCTTGACCATTGCCACATTGCGTCAATGGCTGACGACGTGCCGAGAAACCGCAAGGAGAGGCGCGCAGCAGCCAAGCAAAATGGCTCACAGAACATAGAGCCGCCAACAAAGTTCCCGAAGATCAAGATGGAACGCCCAGACTATTCCCGACCGAAAGGGAAGACGCTGATGGATGTGTACGAAGAAAAGAAGGCCATATTGGAGCAAGGCAAGCCCTTCAACGCTCAATCTCACAACGACACGTCATTTCTTCAAGACAGTGGGAACATCCTCTACGCGGGCCTTGGCAATGGGGATGAACCTATTGGTCCTATTGAAGACGCAATTGTCTGGACATTTTGTCTCTCTATGCTTCATTTTACACTCGACGTGCTGGTCTACAGCCAATACGCCCAAGCTATCGTCTGGCGAGCGATTTTCACTCGATCGGCCACCATAGCGCCTATTCTATTCCTGCTTGTCTACCTCTTGCGGTCTGCCCCAGCTCGCCGCTTCCCACTTGCACGGCAGATTGTTTTCTTCGCGCTGGCCATTGGCGCGGGCTGCTATACAATTTACATGGGCAACACATTCTCGTACTTCGCGGTCATGAAGCAGGCGCCGCCCTTAGGAACTCTGTGGATCTGGAGTGTGATTGAGATGAACCTGCCCTTCGCAATCGCTAGTGTGGTTCTCGACTTGGGATTCCTTTGGTGGAACGGGTATTCGGCGTTCTAATCACCGTGCGATCGCATTGTTGAGACGACTATCATGCTCAGCAGGGATCTGTTATGCGTGGCCATCTAGAAAACAGATGTGCCGACAAGAGCGGTTTGAGAGGCAGTGCTACAGGGAAGCCGGTTGTGAGCCGCGCGAGGATGTAGCTCGAGCCTGCAATCCTGTCCACATGCAGCGCCCACGCTATCAAATCGACGGATGCCTAGTGGCTCTGGCCTTATTCGAAGTCGCTACGAGGCGAAGGCGGCGCGAATCCTCGACGGAGTAGGAAACTTGAAAGACCTTTCTCTACACGAGTCAACTATCACAAAAAGTCAGCAGGCTAGCCATGATTAATGCATCTACGAGCTCAGACAGACCAGGCCATTATCTGGGACTGGACCATCCCTGATCCATATGCCATGCGCGCCCATCATGTTGGCCATTAGGACATCTGTGAAGAGCCTATCGCCGATGATGGCAACTTGCGCTGCCGAAGTGACGCCCGTATCGGGAGCATTGCGGAGGAAATTCATGATCTCGGCATGGCATCCTGGTTTCTTTACGCCATGACGCAGGACCGTAACACCAGTGTTGCGCTCGAGAAGAGCCGCATCGACATGGCCCTTGTCGGAATCCGTGCCGGAGGAATTGGACACAATGAGTAACCGCGAGCCAGGGAACTCCTTGCGCAGTTGAGCGAAACGCTCTGTGTAGGCTGGATGAACCTCGTTTGTGTGTGGTACTGCGAAACAATTGTCTTTGTCCAGTACCACGGCCCTGATATCGGGCCGAGTATCGCGGTCGCCAGTCTTTGTAGTAGCTCGATGGAATGCTGATGAAAGTGGGACTGGTAGTTGATCAAATGTCGCGACGGTGTGATGGGGTAGGCATAATGCTGGATTTATGAGTAGCCGTAGCACATTGAATGTCCCGGAGATGTTCATCCCTGTGGCGATTCTGTTATGTCAGATAACCTCTGCGGATTCCTCCTGGAACTATATACAATCGCGTGTCTTTGTTCGATGATGAAACAATAAATGTACCTAGTTATCTTAACATTGTACCAACCTACCGCAGGTGGGTTCAGTACCTTCCAGGCAGCCGGCAGAACTGCGGGAATCGGTAAATGGTAGCGTACTTGCATGGCAGCCCTATGGATGTTCACGACCTGGTCTGTCGATCGCTGTGCACTACCCAGGGTGATGAGATGTGAGTCAAAGGATCAAAAAAGTGCCTGGCCCAGGCAACCGAATTTGGCAAAACAAAAGTACACATACAAAGGACCGCTACGGTCGAATAAACACACAACAATTCTCGCGAGTTGGTCCCATCACACCATGGCAGCCTCAACACCTACGCTGCCCGCAAGCTTTCTCGAATCGCCTGCAAAGGACATCAGCGCATCCAAGATTGATTTCGCCACCTCTACTCTGCCGGAATATCAACATCTCTACGCCGTGGTCATTGATGGCGCTCTCTCTCGGACGGAGTGTGAAGAATTACTCAAGGCTGCAGAGGCCACTAGTAATGGCACCTGGGAAAGGGCCATGGTGAACGTCGGCATGGGTCAGCAGAGAATGATCACGGACATCCGCAACTGTGGTCGCATCATCTGGGACTCTAAGGATGTTGTCGACCGCATCTGGAGCCGCTTGGCGGATGTGGCCGAAGTTCAAGAGATTCTCCGATTGGCCAAGGTCCCCAGAATCTTCGGCAACGGACCAGCCAAACGTAATGAAGTCTGGACGTTCACGCGGCCCAACGAGCGCATGCGATTTCTCAAATACACTGGCGGAGAATACTTTCACGCACACCAGGACGGGACGTATGAGACACCCGATAGGCGGGAACGATCGTACTTTACGCTCCATCTCTATCTGAGCGATGCCGCAGAGAAGGACGGGGGCGCCACGGCGTTTCATTCCATGAGTATGCACACGGCGAAGGATGTCAAGGTGTTTCCGAAGCAGGGTAGGGTCCTGATATTCCAGCACCGAGGATTGCTACACAGCGGCGATGAAGTCACAGGAGGGACCAAATATACCATGCGGACGGACTTGATGTACACGCTTGACGGTTAGGTGAAGTCCGAGATCCAGCCCTGCTGGCATGGACGAGTTGGGCTTCAATTCGTAATATTGGTCCTGCTCATCAATTGGAAGAAAACGTCGTCAGTAGTATCCTGTGTGCTCATCCACAAATGATAAGTTGGGAACTCACATCAAGAAAAGAATGTGTTGAAGCGTCGTCCCCGCAAGAGTAATCGGAATCGAATGATATCCTCGCCACGCCCTGGTGCAAGACAGCCATGAAGACCATCTCACAGCCAAGAGAATAGAGTAAGACACGCCGTGTATTGCACTGAAGTGATCGTACGTGGCTCAATTGAGCGCCGTACACACCATCTTCGCACCGACTCCCATAGCCCCCACTTCGAACATGGCACGAGGCCCTGAGCGAGATTGAGGCTGAGATTTCTGATGCCAAATGCAACCGTGAAGAGTCACGGTAGGCCCTCACGGGCAGAACGCCAGAGCCACAGGCGCAATGTCTCCACTGCCCCCGGGATGACGGATGAAAGGTGAAGATTACTCCGAATTTCTCATTTGCCAGCGAGCAGGTCGCGGACACGCTGGGCTCTCAAAGGAGGACCAACGGTCTGTATGTAAGCAAAGAAACACGGCATTCGCAAGGACGACGCTTGGGAGAAAGGAAGAAGAGGGAGGGAATGAATATCTTCGCCGTATTGAAGTTTGCAGATTCCGTGCGCTGGAGATGATGACTCGTGTGCTAGCGGCGGACCGTCCCTCCCTAATGGGCGACCACAGTTGCCTTGAAGCTGGAGGTTGTCATATATCTAGGTATGTAAGCATCCAAATATAACTGGGCACGCTGAACTCGAGAAGAGTTCTATCGAAGAAACATCTCAACTGGGATCTGTTGAAGGCAACTATAATGTATGATTTGACATCTGATGTCATGAAGTGCAAAATGCCTGCGGCATGAATAATCGCCAAACTTGTATGTGTCGCATCTGTCTCCGGGAAGCAACCAGATGGTTGGCGGAGACAGCTGAACATCTCACATACATATGCGTCATGGCCTCCTATCCACTAGGCGCAGACCATCTGATCCTGCGCGGCCCAGCGTACGGCTGACGAAGAGACGTGTCCTTCAATGTATGCAACGTAGGCAAAATTGTCGACTTGTATTGCAATCGGAGGACAGTCTCGTGTTTACGACATCGATATAGCAAGAAGGACAGGCGTAGGAGCTTGAGTACCTAGGCATGGCTCGACGAAGCGGTCGCAATAGCGGCGACAGGCGTGCTTTCAATGGCAATTTGGTCGGCAGACCAGCAGCGGTGCCTGCGGTGTGCGCGCTGTCCCGCCCGAAAGTGCCGATCCCACCCGCAGCTGAAGAGCATATCCCTCCTTCCATTTATTTAGTACTACAGAATTATCATTGCATACAGGACTATTATTATTATCCTGGTAGATTCGGCGTTCACATACATCGTTGCAACCCAAGGTCACTCCGGTACTAATGACCTGATTTGCTACGCTTTTCACAGACCCGCGGTCATTGCAGTCAGATCCTTCCAAGGTTGTATCTCTCAAGCAAACATCACTGCGTCCAGAGCTGGGTACCTGCCTATCTGTCATTATCCTCCTTCTCACCCTTCATATCAGCAGGCGGTGTCACCATTGATGCCGCTCTCGCATCTGCGGCTGGCCCTTTCCACCGGTACATCATGTGAGCCTTTGCTCCTGTCAGCTTCTTCTTCTTCTTCTTTCTCTTCTTCAATCTCTTCGACTTCGTTCTACTCGATCGCCGCCGCAGCGCATTCCTCCCGCCGTGCTCGCGTGCTCGCTTTGCGATCGTCATTCACAACATACCATCGCGTGCTCAATATCAGCACTCGTACATCTATCACCGTCTCTTCCGACCGTTCACATCAACCGGGCGACAAGACCCGACCTTCTCTGGTAGCGCCGCAAGCTACATTATCGTCCTCGCGCCTGCATGGTCCTGCCGCAAAAATGCAGCTCCAAACCGCCATCACACAGATCCGCTCGCATGCTGGACATTCCCACGGCCATGGTCACGGCCACGGGCACTCGCATGACACAACCTATCTGACCAGCTCGAATAAAAGCGACCCAGGTGTACGCATAACAAGAATTGGCTTATTGGTCAACCTGGGTATGGCCATTGGCAAGGGAGCCGGAGGAGTGGTCTTCCATTCACAAGCGTAAGGAGCCGCCCTTGCACAATGAGAGCATCCGATCCTGCTCGTTGAGTTCCCATTGTTTATCCGAATGCTGACTTTGCGCCCAGTCTACTAGCAGATGCCCTACACGCGTTGACCGACTTGCTGTCGGATATCACCACTCTGGCTACAATCTCGTACTCGATTCGGCCTGCCACACCAGCGTTTCCTCTCGGGTACGGCAAAATTGAATCGATCGGCGCTCTGACTGTTTCGGGCATATTGCTTGCGGGTGGTGTCGGAATTGGTCTGCAGGCAGTCATGGCGCTCAGTCAACAATTCTTTCCGGAAATATTTGGCATGCTCTCGCATGTCTTGGAGAACGTACCTCTGCACAGCCACTCCCATGGCGGCCATGATCATGGTGCCCACGTGGGACCGAGCATACATGCTGCCTGGCTTGCAGCAGGAAGCATCGCTGTAAAAGAGTGGTTATATCGTGCGACGATGAAGGTCGCGATAGAAAAGCGGAGCAGCGTCTTGTCGAGTAACGTGAGTGATGCCAGCTTCAGGAGCCTGAGGCGAACACCTCTTCGTTGCATGACACTAACCTACCACAGGCATACCACCATCGAGTGGATAGTTTGACGGCCTTTGTCGCTCTGTTCACCATTGTCGCAAGCAACTTTCTTGAGCATGCTCGCTGGCTTGACCCGGTCGGCGGTCTCATTATTAGCGGCATGATTGTTCAGGCTGGCTGGTCCAACACAAAGGCAGCGGTCCTCGAGCTCGCCGATGCCAGTGTCGACGCCGACGTCCGAGAAAGCGCCCACGCCGCGGCTGCAGAATTTATCGCTTCGCACGGCGCCACCATCCGCGGAGTTCAGGGAATCAAGAGCGGGCAGAACCTGATGTTCGATGTGGAGGTCGTGGTACCAGAGGACTGGTCAGTAGCACAATGCGACCAAGTTGGGCAAGAGCTGCGACAAGCTATCGCGACCAAGGTACGCGGTACGAGGAGAATTGTTGTCAGGTTCACAACCAAGGAGACGGAGGCCTTCCAGGATGAATTCGTGGCGCCATCCGCGGACGAGAATGTTCCGGAGACCCCTGAAGAGCATGCAGATGGCCATGCTGGGCACGACCACGCACACCAATGCGACGGCGGCAAACACGCTCACGCCAATGGCCACGCTGTGAACGGCACTGCGCAAAAACGAAAGTAGAAATTAAGGTCACACGACGTTCACAAGCATCGATCAGAGCTGGGAGATGCTCCGCCACCCACTTTCCTGCCCAGGCGGCTGTTACGTCACAACGCTGCCGACGTTGAGTTGCTTGCGGGATACCCACGGTTGGTCATCTCGTCACTCTATCGCATATGCTCGCCGATTGCGCAAATATGGAGTTGAACAAGAATACGAGCTCCTTACGAGCTCATGTTTCTTTTGACTCAGGGGGAACAAGCCGAGGACATACTGCTCCAGTGAACAGCGCAAAGATCGGCTCGCAATCCGATGTACGCTCCTCGCTCCTGACTCATCATCCTCCTGGCATCGAAGACCGCTCGTACGTTGGCAGACCGACGAACCAAATCCGGCATCACAACGGCAAGAGGACTCATCGGCACCATGGACCCATCTCGCTTGGAGGACAGATGCGATGATCTCGACGACGTGAGCATTTCGGTTGCTTGAGATTGCCTCCAGTCGCGCGCTGTAACGAATTCACTCTGGACTCGATAGATAGTCACAATGATCTCTCGCTTCTGACTGGTAGACGATGCGAGATTCATGACAGTCGGAATCCCCGCCCCGACTATCGACAGCCGTGCGTCTTGTCACTGCCGGTTGTCAATGGCCAAGGAATGCAGGAGCAGTCTCCGCCAACCCATGTCCTTTGCTATCTCGTGTGGAACTTACGACGACAAGCTTGAGCCTTTTCCACAAATGTAATTACTTCGTCCGCAGGGCTGCCTGCGTCTCTATCAAAAAGAAATCTAATCACAATGACCACTTCGCTGATTTACCCATCGTCCCTCTAAAAGCCCTTGAAGAAAACGCGCTCCTCGAACGGCTTCTTCTGCTCCTTCTCCTTGATGTTCGCGCGAGCGCCCTCGGCCGGAGTGCCGAAGACCAGCTGTGCCTTGAGCGACCACTCGAGCGGGATGTTGAACAGCTCCGCGGCTTTCTGGTCAGGTAGCGGGTTGTAGTGCTGGAGGTTCGCGCCGAGACCCTCGGCCTCGAGGGCGGTCCATAGGTAGTATTGGTGCATAGCGGAGGTGTGCTCGGACCAGACGGGGAAGCGGTCGGCGTAGAGAGGAAGGTTGGTTTGCAGCGACTTGATGGGTTCGGGGTCTTCGTAGAAGAGGATCTGGTGTGATGTCAGTGATGGGGCTGATGAGGGGGAATACGACATGACTTGTGTAGCGTGTGGTTAGGGGAAGGCTAGGAGCTCTTGTACTCACAGTGCCGTATCCGCCCTTGAATCCAGCCAGACGGCCGGCGGTGGACTCCCACTTGTCCTCGGGAACGATCGACTTCAAGACATCGGTGACAATGTCCCAGAATTTGTCGTGCTCGTCCTTGACCAGAACGACAAGTCGTGTGCTTTGGGAGTTGAAGCTGCTGGGGACTTCCCGGATGGCGTCGTGCACGATCTCCTTGATACGGGCGTCGGAGATGGTCGAGGCCTTTTGGAGTTGGTAGATGGAGCGGCGCTCGTGGGCGGCTTGGGGAAGGGTGAGTTGGCTGGACATGGCAGGTATGCTGGTGGAGAATGTGCGTTGGCTGGTGAGAGGTGAGGTGGAAGAGAGATTGGGGCGCTTGGTGAAGTGAGCTTTGGATGAGGTGTGAAGCTGAAGGGCCTGGCGAGTCTTATATAAAGTTCTCGCCGGCGATGGTGCAATGGCTACGAAGTTCGACGAGATCGATGGAAACTGTCCCGCCCACGCGCGGTTTCGTATTAGTGGGGCAGAGGCCGACAACGCCATTGCTGCTGTGGGATTGGGATTGCGTGTGCGTGCAGTGAGTGTGTGTTGAAGGTGCTTAGAAATTTCCAGACGGGCATGGATGGCGATTGATGAAGCTCTTTCTACTGGAGGATCCCACACGCGACTTACGTAGGTGGGCTCGAATTAGGACCAAATTGTCGGCCACTTTGGGGGGATTTTGCTGCATAAATCTGGCTTTCTACGAGTAAGGATCAGACATTAACCATCTTTAAGCTCGTGGCTCGGACTTTGAAAACCACCTGGGCAGCAAACAGCCACCACCACCACCACCACCAACACCACCACCACCCTCGTAAGCAGCCATCAACGTCGTTACAAATCGGTCCTCGTCATCTCAGGTCACATTCTATCGAACATGTCTTATTGATGCAGTCCAATCCTTTCGGGTTGGTAATACTCGGTCATCCGGAGCGCTCGTCGGTCCGCTCGAGCTTCCGATTCCGTGGCCATGCAGCGAGAGTCGGTGGGCCTGGAGCACGCCTACCTACCTAGGTAGTACTGTACATTTGCAATTGCCAGCCACCTGCATGGATGTAAACAATGAATTTCAAAGGTTACAGGCCCGCAAGCGGTGTTCAGAATTATTCAGCAGACTTTCCTCGAGACGGAATTCCGCCGCCCTTTGATGCGATGAACCCTACAGGGGTTGTCATATTTTGGGTTTGCCTGTGATAAAGTGCAAGGGAGAAAGCTTATGCATGACATAATTCCTCTGCCCCGAGTCAGTCCACGCGCGCGTGTGGGAGGAACGCAGCCCGGGCGATCTGAAATGCTATTCGGTCCTTTCCAAGGTTGTTAACTGCCTTGTTGCTACACAGACAGACACACGTGTATGGCGAGGAACTTTTCCATCTCGTGAAAGTCAATTGTGCACTAGTATCCACATCCTCCTCGCACCACACAGCAGACTGTGTTCGACAAATTTACCTTTTGCGGTCCCATCATCGCACAGCGGTCATGCTTGACCTAACTTCTCTGCTGGCATTCGCCTCGCCGGCCAACGTCCCCTTGACGTGGAACGAAGCGCTCAGTGGCATTTTCGGAAGCATCTCCCTCGCATCCTGGATCTTCCTTCTAATTCCACAGCTGATCGAGAACTACCGTCTGGGCAGTGCAGATGGCATCAGTCTCACCTTCCTGCTCATCTGGTTCCTCGGTGACATTGCGAACTTGCTAGGGGCACTCTGGGCCGGTCTAGTCCCTACCGTCATCGCCTTGGCCATTTACTTTTGCTTCGCGGACGTCACACTCATCGCACAATGCTTGTACTACGGGCGGGTCAAGAAGAGGCGGCTCGCGGCAGCGAGACAGGACGGTGATGCACAACACGTGGTCGGCGGCGCCCCCGGAGTCTCCAGTTCAGAACACACGCCCTTGTTGAATGGTCATGCACGGCCAAAAACTTCCGACAGCACATCCGGGCGTCTGACGGACGTCACTGATGCCAACCTGGGTCTACCTGGCAGTCGCCGACGCAGCAGCGCCGCTTCACGACGAATGACCCTCGAGAGTGCTATTGCAGGCTCACGCGAGAGCCTGGCTGACATTGAAGAAGGCCGCGATGACCTAGAGACGCCGATCGTGCCCCAGCGCGAGTGGCTCAAGAACACCTTCGCCATCTTGGCCATTTTGCTCGTCGGAGCAGCAGGCTGGGCCATTGCGTGGAGGCTAGGTGTATGGAAACCCACGCCCGCGCCTTCCTCAGGCCATCACAAAGACCACACGAAGCAGGGCACCCCGATCGGAGCATCGCTGCTAGGATACGCGTCGGCTGTGCTCTATCTCGGAGCTCGCATTCCGCAGATCGTGAAAAATCAGCGGGAGCGCAGCTGTGAAGGTCTGAGCTTGCTCTTCTTTCTGCTGAGCTTGGTTGGAAACGCGACGTATGGCGCCGGCATCCTGTTCCACTCGGTCGAGAGGGAATACTTCCTGACCAACCTTCCCTGGCTGATTGGTAGCCTGGGCACCATGGGCGAGGATGCAGTCATCTTTGTGCAATTCAGTATTTTCGGGGAGAAGGACGCTGCGAAGAACAGCGATCACGCGACTGACACGGCCGTGGTCGAGGGGTAGATTGCTACATAATCGCAGTGTCGATGCACCACACAACCACTTTCATCCGTGTTGACTTTGCATCAGAAAATTCCACGGGACCCATTTGGCACATTGTGACGCACCGAGAGTTTCGACTCCCTGCAGCAGCCGAACTCGTGTCGCGAAATGGAGCGACCGACGGTGCATGTGCGATTCGACCAAGGAACCCCTAGGTCGAACTTCCTGCTTGCCCGAGTCGTGACGGCAAGGACCGGAACGAGACCAGTCAAGCGCTGATAGAAATCGTTTCAATGCAATGTCGACCATGTCTGCGAGGTCCTGGATTCTCCTGATCTCGCAAAATAGTCAACGGTGTCATGTAAGGCAGAGCCTGTCTAGACGGGCATGAGAGAGCTAGTCTCGTTGGATTGCCATGCACGCTGGTCAAGCCAGACTGCCCTACCTTCAAAAGTAAAGAAGACGAAGAAGACGAAGATTTATAGACATATCGGGTCAGAGGTTTCTGCACTAGAGGCCGGATGGCCGTAAATGCGTTCACCAATTTCCTAGGGGGGACTATTGTGCTAGACCTTTTTATCTGGAATTGTGGTCGCTAAACCAATCGTCTCGCTGAGATGTCGAAAAGAAAAACTAGCGACCAGGAGTGGAGTATATCATAAAGGACAATCGCTAAAAATAAATACATTATGTGCTAGCACCCACATCAAAAAGCCATCAATCGTGTCGTTCGTCCTCTTCCTCACATGTCACCCCCAATCCGATCTCATCGTGGTCGAGCTTGACTCCAACATGTTTAAATTTCGGCATCCATCACCCTGGATAGCAGGCTCGCGGGATAGCTTGATAGATACGCTGTGGTAGACATTCCGACCAAAGGGGGGCTCATATCCGCTCATTGAGTTGTCGTACTAGTGCTATATGCGTATCGAGAGGGACGATCCTGATAGTGTACATCAAGATCCGTGTCAAGTCTGTCTGTGCTCGCAGTACCTGCAAGATTTTGCGATTCGTTCAAGATCCAAGACCTGCCTGGTGCTCAAACATGTTGGTAGTCGGGCCGTCGTACTGTTCGCACCTTGTCATGTCTTCGTTTCTCATGCTGCATGCGACATCGGCAATCATTTCCTGCCGGCCGAGGTGTGTTCGTCGCAATCATTCGTTCTTTGTCATCCAATCCTTCCTTCATTCATTCGATCATCAAACTTGCTTATCATCCTCCCAACGTTCCTTGTTATCGGCCCTTCTCGAGATACTGCTTCGCCAACTGCGCCAAGAGAGGCTTCGCCACGGGCTCGACCGATTTCCATCCCTTCTGGCCCTTCTCGAGCATGTTGTTCATGTCCATCTTGGGAAGGCCTGGCCCTCCACGCGGCCGTCCTTGGTCGCGACTGGACCGAGCAGGTCGGTCTTCGGCACGGCGCCGTTCGCGTCGGGGCTCACGACCGTCGGTGCGGTATCCTCGGTCGTGGTGGTCGTCGTCGCGCGTTCGGCGAGGTGGACGATCGGTGCCGTAACCATCGTTTTGACGGCTTGAGCGCTCGGGCCGATGGCGAGATGGACGCTCGTATTCCGGCTCAGAGTGGTCGGCGTGTTGAGAGCGGCGAGGTCGATGGTCGTCACGGCTGCTACGCAAGGCGTCTGGACGGCGAGGTCGAGCGTCTGAGCGGTCGTAACGGTCGGATTCGCGGGTCGACTTGCTTCGGCGCGGGATCTCGGCAGGGGCGCGCTGGCGTGTTTCTGGCGGTGGTTTGCTTCGCGTACGACGATGCGCACCGCTTTCCCTTCGTCGTGGGATCACATCATCTTCGTCGCTTGCGTCGTATCCGTCACGGCGGCGGTGACTGGTTCTCCCAGACCCGCTGTGCCCACTACGTGAGTGATATCCTTCGTCGGCATGTGAGCGCCGCCTCGATGGCAGGTCATCTGGATATCGGCTCATCTTCGTTCAGCGACCCGTGCGCAGATGATGTGGTAGGGTGCAGGCACAGATGGGTATGTTCGGGCGTGTCGCAATCAAGAGTGATGAGTGAATGGCGTCGTGGGCGTAGTGCCGCAAGTAGGATGAGTATGTTTCAGCGTCGCGCAGAGTTCTGGTGACCTGTGGATTGAATGATCACGAGTCGGCCGGGCGGCGTGGGCTGCTTATATCGAAAAGTATACATTCTAGAATGCGGTATGATAAAGAAGAGGTCGGGGTGGGGAAGGACGAGTTTCGCACCGACGTCATCGCTGTGGGATCATTCGGAGGAATGTGATTGATAGACATGGACGATATCACCCACCTGCAGTACAAACAATAATAATATGCAGGTGTACAATGATTGCCGTGCCGCACTGCAATCCTGCAATCCTCCAAAGAGCGGGATATTCGGTTTTGCATGCTTGCCGTTTTCCATGCCCTGCCGGCGCCGCATAACAGACAGCGAGTGATGATGAATCTTTATGCAGGGTGAGCGATGGACATGTAAAAGTCGGGGAATGGCACGGAATCCCGCAAAGCCGTCGGCCAAATCATCCCTTCCATTCCGACACCTCCAGCTGCTCTCACATCTGGTGCCGGTACAGATTCAACATAACAACGATACGTCGATTCTTATACACGAGGTGACGAGTCCCAGCATAAGCGAGGCTCTGGTTGGAGCCACGCATCTTCTGTCTGCATCGTCTGCAGCACGCAGCTCCAAGCGCCATGTATATACGAGATTTCTCAGTACAGTACAGTACATGATGACAGTCATGGACCCTTCAATCGACCATTATCAAGCACCATCGTCGTCGTGGGAGATGTCCACGCCGTCGTTGATGCCCAACCTGCTCGGTGCAATCCCACTAGGAATCGTCAAACCTGCCATACGTGCAAATGAAGTGTCCCGCATACAACGTGACAACCAAACAGCAGGTTCATTCGCGTTGCGCCACAACCTGTCCCTCATCCCGATATGGTTCGGTTCGGTCATCGCTAAGATGTGGCAATGTGGCAGTGCTGTCTGTATGTCTGTCTAGAAGTGTCCGTCGCTCCTTCACGGTGAGCGAAGCTACGTCATCGCGCGACAGCAAAACTCGTGGGTTTATACTGTAGCTCCCAGCAAATCTGTCGTGATGGAATGACTACACGGTACGTATCTATTCTCGTACAAGGGACATCGTAATCCTACATTCCGAAGCGACGGACTGTGGCTCTCCCATGGAAATTCGAACGTAGCTTTTGACCCTGCGATCCCTGTCACGGCCGAGAACTGTATCATTTGCCGCCATCAGAACGCTATGTAAACTCGCAACGAGAACGGCAATCCGCTGCCATCTGCTCGTATAGGAAGTACGACTGTGGATTGTGACACTGGGCCATCTAGGGATAGAGCCCTGGAGGTCATCACGCTCAGAACATGTGTTTCTGATATGGTGCGACACAACAAATATACATCCAGTGTCTGCCAAAGATCTGAGTCGCAGCTACCGTATGGATAGTCACCTGGGCATGTAGACACATCTGGCAACTTGTATACTCTTTCCGGCACCATCATGCCCAAGCAGGAGATAAGCTCAACCTGAATCCGCAACACCAGATTTTACGTCTCCGCAAAGTTGTACAGGCCTTCCCGCTCTTGAATCTCAACCTTGATCCGCGCCTCTTCGATATCCCGACCGTCGACCTTCAATCCTGCCTCCATGACATCTCCCGTGACAACAGGGCCCACGCCCTTGGGAGTGCCCGTGAGCACAATGTCACCCTTCTCGAGAGTCATCACCCGCGAGATATCGCTGAGCTGCCGCCCGATCTGGAACAACATGAGTTTTGTGCTGTCGTGCTGGCGCATTTTGCCGTTCACGCTCAACCACAGCTCCACATCATGAGGATCTGTGATGGTGCCTTTCGGAACGGGCGCAGAGATTGGCAGGAAGGTATCGAAACCCTTTGCGATATCCCAAGGTAGTCCCTTCTTTTTTGCTTCGTCCTGGACGTTTCGTGCGGTCATGTCGATCGAGACGATATATGACTCGATCGCGCTCTTCCAGGCGCTGTCGTCGGACGACAGTGGTAGGTCCCGTAAGGTCTTTCCGATGACTAGACCGAGTTCGACCTCATAGTGGAGGTCGACCCCCTTCGGCCTCAAGACTGGTCCGGCATTGGGCAATAGGATTGATGTTGGAGGTTTGAGGAAGAAGAAGGGCTGCTTGGGACGCTGATTATTGAGCTCGCTAATGTGCTCGGCATAGTTGCGGCCTATGCAAATCACCTTGCGACAGTTGTTTCGGATTAACGACGCCATGTCGACATGAGTACTCGAGAATGACTAGTGGAAGAACCGCTCAAACACTATCTTCAATCAATGCCTCAGTGAAGAGCACAGTTCGGGCTATGACTCAGCAGTTCGTCCGCCCTCCAGGACTGGCGTGAATTTGACGACATGCTGAGTCATCACGCGATCAAGGAATCACCAGCGGGGGATTGATACAAAGAAGGTGGAATCATGACTCGCGACATTGATATCGACGTTTGGCATTAACCGCAGGAAAATAGTACCATTGATATGACCTGACAATATAGACCTGAGTGAAAAAGAACAAGTGCCGTAGAAGCCCTCGCCCACCTCGAGTCAATCCGCTTCACTCTTGGGCCCATCCGGACACGCATGCACAGGCTGCAGATCTATAGTCGTCCACACTTGCGGCAAGTCGTCCGCCCGTATCGTCACTTGGATTTGCCGAATGCGTCATTGATCGCTCGTCACATTTTCAACATCCCAGGATTATCTCGAAACATCCACAAAACCATGACAGAAACGCTCCCTCAGCTTCCTGATATCCAGCTACTAAGCACGCGCGTCCTCCGGGTCCTTGGAAAGAACCCTTCAAAGTATACTTTACAAGGCAGCAACACGTTTTTAGTCGGCGATGGCCGCAAAAGGATCCTTATCGACACTGGTGAAGGCAAACCGATTTATAGCGAGCTGCTGAAGCAAGCGTTGCAAGAGCAAAATGCGACGATCGAATCGATCCTTTTGACCCACTGGCACCATGACCATACCGGAGGCGTTCAGCAAGTCCTCGACCTCTGCGATGAGCACAACAAGCCGACTGTATACAAACACAAACCCGAGGCAGGCCAGACTGATATTGCCGACGGCCAAATTTTTCGCGTTGACGGAGCGACGCTCCGTGCGTTCTATTGTCCCGGACACACGAACGACCATATGGCATTTATCCTAGAGGAAGAAGATGCCATGTTCACCGGCGACAACGTCCTCGGGCACGGCACGACCGTCTTTGAAGACCTCCCTGCGTACATGGACAGCCTGGATCGGATGCAGAAACAATTCAACGGCTGGGCATATCCCGGACATGGGCAGGTGCTTGGAGACGGTGTCTCGAAGATCCGCGAGTACATCACTCATCGCAAGCAGCGTGAGGGCGAAGTATTGAACGTGCTGCGGGAAGAGGCCAGTGGCAATGAACAAGGCTGGCAGAGCATGGAGATCGTCAAGATCATATATCGCGACTATCCTGAAGCACTCCACTTACCTGCGGAAGGTGGCGTGAAGCAGGTTCTGAAGAAGTTGAAGCTTGACGGGAAGGTTACGGAATTGGAGAATGGAAACTGGAAATTAGCAGAAAAGGCGGCGCTATGAATTGCATGTCGAATGACGAATATGGTATCATGATCTTTATAAATTTCTGTCTTTTTGTCAATCATGCATCAAAAACGCATTTGCCGCAGTCTTATTATACACGAGAGTCACAATACGAAACTGGCGAGGACTTCAGACTGTTTCAATGCCCCGTTCTGCAGTTGTGTTTCGACTCCGCTTACTCGACCGCCTCGAATCCGACTCCACCTATAAACTATTGTTCGACTATGAACTTTGTCCAATGCGAGGAATTGACAAGTGCCAACTCGTATTTTGTTGGACATGAATGAATGCGTGGTCTGAAAATCGCATTGATGAATCTTAGTGGGTTTAGGGTAGAAGAAATGGTCATTGGCGAACACTTTTCGCATCGCAAGCACACAAAATTTTCCGTGGAATATTGAACAGCCCATTAAAGAGTCAGCACCTGACGTTGACCATACTATTTCGCAAAACGTATCTGAGAAAGTTTGTTGACCGCATTCCTGCTCTGTTCGTCACCAAAGAAGCCCATAAATACCTTGCATCCGAGGTTTCATTCGAGCAGAGTGGCGTCACGCCTCGTCTGACGATCATCATGGCAATATCGTTGACATTGCAAGCTGCGGACGAGCCGACGCACAACCCAGAGTTCTCGACAGATCGTCCCAATAAAAGAACCAAGCATGATCATGCGGACAAAAGCGATAATGCTTGTAATGTGGGTCGAGATGAAACGACATTCGTTGCTCGTCATCCCTTAGGCGTCAGACCCTCGGGCAATTCCTTCGACTCCGAGATCAACCTCAAATTCGCGATGGGATCGTTTGCGCGACTGCCAGATGAATTACTAGCGTCGGTCCTCGAGACTTTACCTCCAGCAGATCTGCTTCGTCTAGGCGGGACCTGTCGAGCCCTGTATGCCTTCACGCGCAACGAAGAGCTTTGGCGGGCTATGTTTATTGCGTAAGTCCGTATATTTGATTCACGTCACAACAAGTTGTTGACAAGAGGCATCTAGTGCTTCGCCGAAAACTTTTAAATGGCGTGGTACTTGGCGATCGACCTACCTCAACCAAGCTGTGGACAAGGAACCGATGGTCGACTGCAGGAACCTCTTTTCGGATGTATTACATCGACCATTCTACTGCGCAAACGTTTCGCTTGATACCTACGCCGAGAATATTCCAACAGGAAATCGCATCACCCGCTTGGAAAATGTCACGCCCGAGGCCTTCGCCACCGAATGGGTCCATCGTCCATTTATCCTGACAGAACCGGTCAAATCATGGCCGATCTACAAGTCCTGGACTCTTTCCCGGCTACGCGAGCGATATGCTGAGACAAGCTTCCGCGCGGAGAGTGTGGATTGGCCTCTGAAGATATATTTCTCGTATATGCAGAGCTCGAAAGACGAGAGCCCCTTATATCTATTCGACCGCAGTTTTGTGGAGAAGATGGGAATAGCGGTAACATCAAGTCCACCTGACGGTGATTCCTCAGAAATGAGCGATCGAATTGCATACTGGCCTCCTTCATGCTTCACATCTGACGCCTTTACCGTTCTTGGAGACAAACGCCCCGATCACCGGTGGCTAATCCTCGGACCCGCGCGCAGTGGTAGCACCTTCCACGTCGACCCCAATGGCACGTCCGCATGGAACGCGGTCATACGTGGCCGAAAATACTGGATCATGTTCCCGCCTATCTCGAATACACGAGCTCCCCCGCCCGGTGTCCACGTCAGCGCAGACAAAAGCGAAGTGACCACGCCGCTGAGCATCGCAGAATGGCTGATTGGATTCCACGCAGAAGCCCGGCGTACCCCTGGGTGTGTGGAGGGGATCTGCGAAGAGGGCGAGGTGTTATATGTACCTTCAGGATGGTTCCATCTCGTCGTCAACCTTGAAGCCAGCGTGGCGGTGACACAGAACCTCGTCCCACGGCGCCGAGTCGGAGCGGTCTTGCGGTTCCTAAAAGAACAACCGCAGAGCATCAGCGGCTTTCGTGAGGATGTCGACGACCCATATGCATTATTCCTTGGCAAGCTCAGGGAGCATGACCCCGAGCTGGCCGACGAGGGGCTTCGCGAATTGGAGCGACTACAGCGATTGGGTGGAAAATGGGAGCAGCTGACCAAGGGTGACGACGATAATGCTACAGGCAGCGCGAGCGCCTTTTCTTTCGGGTTCGGCGGTTCTGATGACGAGAGCGATGCTTGAGGCATTACAATTACAGACAAGAGCTCTTCCTACTCTGAATGTACATTCTTCAGGAGAGATACTTTTCAGATCATGCCATCGGTCCCTGGCAACTTGGAAAATCACGACACCTGAACGAAGCAAGGTTGGTAAGAACTCAAAATACTTTCTTTAAGAGCACATCATCATCATCATCATCATCGAAACTCAAGCTGTGCCGCGGCAGCCCATGCACCATTGCCTTCAACACTTTCCTGACGAATATGATAAAGCTCGTCAATAAACGCTGGGACAAATGTGCCCGGACCTTTCACATCCGGCCTCGGCGCTGCTCTCTCCGCTGCAATTTCATACATCAGCATCGCCGTCACGACCGCAAGGAACGCGTCTTTCCGCTCCACGGCCAACAGACTTGCCACGGTGGCCCCAAGCGTGCAACCGCTTCCGGTGATCTCACCGAGATACTCATGACCATTGCGTATCGTGACTGTCCGCTCTCCATCGGAGACGACATCTATTGGTCCACTCAGGATGATCACATTACGTTCGCGAGCAGCAGTCGATCGGACCAGCTCTACTCTCTGGTCAAGAGAGAGTTGCGCATCGCCCGAGTCCACACCACGCTGGCTGATCCCGACGGCACCGGCCACAGTACGGATCTCGCCCTCGTTGCCTTTGACCACGGAGAAGAAGCCGCCTGCCATCAGCTCCCGGACGCCATCGCGACGGTCCTGGGTAGCTGCTGCACCGACTGGATCAAAGAGAATCGGGCCTCCAACTGCGTTGTAAGCGCGGATCGCTTGGAGATAATTTGCTCGGCCTTCGGGCGTGCTGGTGCCCATGTTCACCACTAGACTACCCCCTAATTGGGCCAGATCCCTTGCCTCGTTGCCATTGTTCGACATGATGGGCGATGCACCAACGGCAATGACGACGTTGGCGGCGAAGTTCTGCACGACGAGATTGGTCATATTGTGGCAGAGCGGTTTCTGCTCCGCGAGTCGCTTCACGAGCAGTGGTGCGGCTCTGATCATATCATCTCGGTTTAGAGAGGTCTTAGAAGTGAAGGCTGCGGCGAATGCCGGTGGAGACCGTATAAGCTGGCTGAGTGACGATGCGGCCTCTTGTGGGTCTTGGGCAGCTATGATGGCGCTGACCACGGCTACACCATCGAGCTTCTTCTGTGCCGAAGCGGTTTGGTATAGCACACGTTGAACGTTGGAATGATTGATGCCACCGATGCACACCGTCCGAACATGGCCTAGTCCTTCTTCCGCAAGCTTGATCAGGATTTGACGGACGCCTGCAGTCCCAATGATAGATTTCGTGTTGTCCTTAGTGGGGGTTGCGAACACCGTGCCGATGCCCAGATAGTCCGCTCCATCTCTCGCGGCCGTGAGAGCTTCCTCTTCAGAATTCGCGGTAACACCAATGATGGCTTGTTGGCCTAGAAGTCGACGCGCGCTTGCTAGGTCAATGTCATCCTGGCCGATATGCACTCCCTCTACTCCCGCTGCCAACGCAACATCTACACGATCGTTGATGAGCAAAGGGATGTTCGCGGCACGCGTTACGTCATGCAAGCGCTTTGCGATGCGGATGAGCTCTGCTGTCTCGGATGTCTTGTCTCGAAGTTGAACAATGGTGGCGCCTAGTAAGAAGACAGTCAGCTTCTCAAGTCTAATTGGTTTGCCTCTGAGTCGCTGAGGAGCTGGGAGGGTGGAAGACAGGCATGCGTACCGCCTTTGACCGCCGCAGCTACCACTGGGACGAGATCCCTGTCACCCAGTATCCCGGCAGTGGAGTCGGTCACTAGGTAAACTGAATAATTGATCTGTTGACGATCCATTTTGAGGAAGTGCCGTTCTCATATACTTATATTTTCACGACGCAATTCGAGATCCTCGACATGTCATTTGAAGTTATAGTTGGCAGAAGATCAGTCGCCCTACCCCAGAAAGTTCACGTTGGTGACGACAGAGCTCAGAGCGTAAGAATTCACCACGATCGTTTCATTTCTATGACGGGAACCACATGGCTTCATCGGGCGCGTGGCAAGGCTGTCAGAGGGCCAAATCCCGTGAAGCTCGAGGAACAAACAGAGTTTGGTTCCTAACAGAACTTGTTTGATGCGATACTCAAGAGTCTCGCTCCTCGTGTATAGTCGTGTTCAAGGAGAAACATTTCTCCCTTGATGTGATGTGTGTGGCATTGGGTGCGGGGCTCTAAAAGGTCGCCCCGAAGATGCGCCGACGAAGGGAGACCAAGCCCTGGAGTCTTGTCGTCAATTTTATTATACTGTAGAATCGGAGGGAAACGTGCAGACCAATACCAGACACAAGCGACGACGGGCATATTGATACGATGTTTGGGAATCAAACCACGTGCAATGTGCTTTCAACTCATCTACCACCCAGGAATTTTCGAAAATGATTGTTAAAATATGGATAATAATTGCAAAGTATTAAAAGATTTGTATATTAATGCCTGTATTGCGGCAAATTATGATCAAGGCCGAGTGCCTTTTGTATGCTCGCGTAGAGGCCGTAAATTCATGGCAATCGCCTGTTGTATTCGTGTCCGCCGGAGGATATCCCAAAATTTGCAACCCATTGATAACGCCCAGACTCCACCGAGACATGGCTGTCGCCATGTCTGTCCCATCTTCCGCCTGCGGTTTGGTTGTCGCCAAGTCATTCAGCGTCCCTTCATAGATAACGAATGAACCAGATCCTAATTCCGTCAGTCCATATGATAGCATTTTCACGATACTCCGATGGGTGTAAAAGTCGCTTAGAATATGGCGTCCTCCTCGAGTCGTTGTTCTAGTCGCTCTGCTTGACTGATGACATAGCTTGCTAGCCATCGGATCTCGTACACTTCGTCGGTCGCCTCCCATTTTCGGCGATGCTGCATGCCGTGCGTTCGAGAATGCGATTGCTGTGAACGCGAACCATACCGCGGGTCGCCTTTTCCATGCCGTGACGGCTTGGAGTCCATCTCTGCAGCGTGTTCACGCTCGACTTCCATCTTCACACGGTTGATCATTTTGACATGTGAAGCGAGCAGGTCGAGTTCCATACGTAGCCGCCCATCAGAACCTGAGGGATAGCGATTTGATGGTCGAGGACCACGGATCTGCGAGGCAAAGCGGACTCGGTAATGGAATTGTGGGAGGACATTCGTGTTCTCCCACGGGGACAAAGATGACGGCAAAGAGTGCCAGGATGATGGCGGGCTCCATGACGAGCATCTAGCAGCCTTTGTTATCATGTTAGGTACGATATCCTGCGACTCGGAGTCTTCGGTATCGGATGTCTCGTCATCGGCTTCCGGAATGATGGACGCCTGGCGCTGCAATTCCCAGTGCGTGGCTGAGGACTGAGCTACTCGAGCAGCAAGGATGGAGCGTTCGATCGTCCATTCTTTGAGGCGTGCTTGATCATCTGATGTTGGGACATGTGACACGATCACTTGAATCCAGATATTGACGTTACGGCTCAATGCGGTGCGATCAGCTTCGCTATGATTCGACAGAGCGGCCGCCAAATTGCTGAAGTCATAACTCAGAACGCGAATTTCGATTGCAGCATTCGCGAGAAGGACCGGCGCGTACTCTGTGCGTAATTGACGATTGACTAAGAGTAAAGGCACCGGCTCGACGCTGGTTGACTTTCGAGGCGAGGAAGATTTCTGCCGTGCATTTGCGACCCGAGGAGGACACAAAGTCAGGTTCGTGCTAGTAGCAAGGTGCCGGAAGATGCGTTGGCGAATATCGTATGGCAGTCCAAGGAGAGACGCTGGCGGTTGACACTCCCAAGATGTGGTTCGGGAGAATGAAAAGCTATCGAGGTCGCTGCAGGGTGGGCCTGTGATACTGGTGCGATGGCTTGCATATCCACTGTCGAGTTCCGACTGTGATGATGAGTTAGACTTGATGGACAGTGTTGAACTGAGGCGGCGAAGCTTCGAAAACATTTTGATGGCCGATGATGGGTTTGTTCTTGACAAGATCGATATCGTGAGAACGCTGGAAATTGACGGACTTCGGAGAGGAGCGCTCTAATCCGGCGACGTCACGTAGTCAATGTTGGCAAGTCCACAGAGCAGGTTTGATCAAGGGACTCGAGACGCTATCCGAAAGTGCTTAATCCAAAGCGATGGAGGTGGCGAATTTGATGTTATATGATAAGCGTATCGATGGTGCGACAATTGACACAATCAATGGCAGTGTGACATATGGAGAATGACATATGTGCAGGGTGTGGAACGGGTCATGTCGACCCCGGAAAAGAGCCATGCGACCAGCGCGATTCGGAGCAGGAAAGGGTCCCGATTCTGAGACCGGTCGTGCGATTGCAGTCGATGCCCTTCTCTTGAGGGGGGGGCGCATTGCGTAGGAGGGATCGCGTGCAAAGCCACCTGGGCAGCTCCGCAGTATGCCCTGATGATCAACCTGGGTACAAACATACAGTAGCATGGGCAGATGGTCTCAAACGAGATGCACTGCTAAGGTGAGGAACGGGAGATAGTGGGTAGCATTTTTTTTTCTCGATGCTCCGATGGCGGAACGGTTCGCTTCCTTGTGAGACATGCGTGGTAAACCTCTGCAGTCCTGCGGAAGTGCACAGACCGCGATGTTGCTGCTCTCTTGTCCATGGCCAACAAACAAGGGATATCACAGTACTGTATGTGAAGTGGCGTTGACGATGACGAGGCGTAGTGCGCGTACTCGAAATGAACGAAGGATTTCTTGATGGAGGATTTAAGCTTACTGGGTAGTGTAGCCGCGATAGGAAATGCCGATTGGCCGGCCGCGCCGTTCAGCTACACTTCTGGCCGCTCGTGCGTCAGCAATTGGTTATCACAATCACCTGCAACCTGGGAGTGACGCAGGCGCCGAGCGAGTGGACAGCCTGCTCAATTGTGCAGGCCCTTTTGAAGGGATGGACCAGATTACTATCACTCCAAAAAAGAATGGTGCATGTTCCTGCACCCATACCGCGCGCGTGGTAAGTCATTCTCAATCCGATCTGTCCACACACATACTGTTGGCGCAACCCATCTGCGACAAGAACGTTGAAAAGGTGGAGAAGCAGCAGCGTGATGCTGCATTCATGCAATCGTGTGGCGTGCCGGCGCAACTGCAGGCACGCCGATTTTCCGCACAACCAACTTAACGTCCGCACGACGATCCATGGTCCCTGCAATCACAAAATGCCGCACCTGTTTCTGCAAAGATCGTCACTCGCGCTCAAGAAAAATATTTCTTGTGTGGTCTACATGATGAGGGAAGGAAAGCTAGATATCGCAATTGCTTTGATACCAGTCTTTAGCGCAAACTGCTGCTGCGAGAAGTCGGTCGCCAGGTCGCATTGCAAGAATTCTATCAGTCGACGAGGATGGATATGAGGCAGTCCACCATATCGCAAGGTGAAGGGAAACCTCCCTCGATGTAATTTGCACAACTGGCATGGTGACATTCGGCATTCGCGGTACCACGATCTTGGGTTGGGTGAACGGTTTTCCGCAACGTCATCCGCACGCGTCGTCGATCTCAAGAAATCCCCATAATAAACGAGAGGTAGCATTTTTGGCGTCCGGAGGTTTCAACCGTTCCGCGGCCTGAGACGTTTTCTCATGTCTCACATGCGATGTGCTGCCGGCGAAACTGTTCTGCAACGGTGATGCGCACTTCCTAGGCTTCGTACAACAAACAGAAAATCGTGATCTTGTCGACGCGAATGATGACCAGGCAAATCAGTCGTCACATGCGCAAGGCATCCAGGAATTGTCGAAATTGGCCAAATATAAGACGAATTGCACGCCTTTGGTATGATTTCTTGGGTCATATTCGCAATTCGTCCAGTCGCCTGAGAAACACGCCTCTTTGCGATAGTTCTGCGCATACAGGGAGCACTCCATCCCACCGATGAGTTCAACACAGGACCACCAACGGTGAGACAGTGCGCGCAAAATCTTTCTAGGGATCGCACAGGATGCGGGCAGGTCTGTCGAGATTTTTACGTCGCTTGACAGTAGGAGATCGAGCGGCTGTTCTGGACTTCGCGTGTTTTGCCAACGTCTCCAGCCGGGGGACCGCTCAACGTCTTCCGGAACCTCAACGGGCGTGTGCTCCCCATGTCTCTCGATCCATGCGGCTGTTCCGCTCCAACGTCTCGCGCAAGAAGCTGTTTTTTTGCGAGGAATCGCAAGTGTGATGAAACCCAATTTGGACCTCTTCACTATCATCCACGAGGTGATCGAACATGCAAATATGTTATCGACTGCAGCAGCTTTCACTCACGTCGTAGCGTGCTCGGTATTTCTGCGGCGGCTATCACGACATTCGTTGAAGGTTCGAAGGATGTGAGCCCGTGAACAGGGTCCGTAGAGTAGAGTTTGCGATGACTCCGTACACGTCATTGCCATCCTTCGATTAGCGTGCTGAAACAGATATTAGTTTCAACTTTCGAATACCGCCCTACGTAAGATTGCTCGACTATCCAAGAATGCAGGGCTAGAAGGTGTGAGAGGGTCGTCAAGTTGCGTTGACAGAAATTCGCCGCGTGCGAGGAATGAGATTGACTTTCTCACTAAAGGCCGTTTAATCCAGATCCCAACAAGGGCAGATAGCGAGCCATACATCCGTCTCTTCGTCATCATAAGCATGCTAGACAGGCTACCAGATTTACTTGTACAAATGTGAGGCAGAATCCCGTTGCTCCGATTCATAACTTTGTTGGCCGTCCCTCGTCACTGTTTCCTCTCCTCATCCGTGGTCCAGCCAGAGAAGATATGTGAGGGACGGATGCTGATGCATTTGCACTTCCAGCTTCCTCGGCGGTCCGCGATCCCGTATGGACATTGACGATCCTCACGGCATCTCTGACCGCTGAGTTGACCGCATTCACCGCGCGTTCCACACTTTGGCCCATGCTACTCGACGTCGAAGCGGCCACATCTCCTTGACCCGTGAGTCGGTTTGGCTGCGATTGGGGCTGGTTCACACTGGTGAAATGCTGATGCTGCTGTTGCTGCAATCTTTGCAATCGATCCGAGGTGAGCCAAGTGACTTGTCGTTGGAGACCGGCAACTTGTGCACCGACGTAGGCAATCTCGTCACGCATGCGGATATTCTCATTGAGGATTTGAACGCTGTGACGACCGTCGAGGTCAGCTAAAGCGGTCGAGGTGCGGTTGACTTCTTCTCGGAGTGCTTCATGCATGCTAAGCAAGTGGTGGAATGGCGATGTGTAGGGGGCGTTGGTAAGAGCTGGGTTGGAAAATGACACGTCGACAGCATGTTCGCGTCCATACGCAGGACTGGGAACAGACTGCGTGCGAGTAAGGCGGTTGACGGCTGGGAACGAGGGATCATTGTATAGAGGAAAGTCAGAGACAAGGGACAGTGAGTCATCGGCGACCTCATCAACATCAGCCTGTTGCATGCTGAAACGGTTGATGGGCAAATTGTCTGCAGTGTTTGCGTCCGATACATCATGCTGAGGACATATGATGTTTTGAATCGTTGAGAACCCACTCTCGAATATCTCGAGCTTGCGATTCATCTCTTTCTGCGCAGCTTCTTGCTCATCCATTCGCTGTCTTTGCGCGTCAAGAACCGGGGCCAACTTTGCCAATACACAGTGCGTAGCGTGGCTTTCCATGTCTTCCTTCTTGCCAACTAAATAGCATCCGAGAGCCGAACCGGGACAAGGAATGCTCACAGCTGGGCACAGCCGCTGATTGTGTTCGACAAGGTCCTTGTAAGATATAGAAGCATCGCAGAGATTACAAGGAAAGACACGGTCTGGACACGTCTCTGCCCAGTGTTGCTCAAGCGTCGATGTTTGAAGCTCTTCGCGGCATGCCACACAGCTGACGTCAACATGGAGGCATCCCTGTAGAGCATCCTTGCGTCGAATTGGTAGATCGCAGTTCTCGTCTGGACACTCAATCTTCGCATAACCGCAGTAAATGGTTACATGGTCTTGCACCTCACCGCGTTTCACGATTGTAGAACAGCCTTCTCCAGTGTTAGGACATTTGACCAGAAGATCATCCAGTATGTTGACCAGAATCTTAGTGGTAGCAGATCGTGGTCCTAGCTTGGCCGGAGTACGACATGACGGACAGTCACCTCGAGGGCCGTGGGGGCTATATGGCGAGGAGGGAGTGGTCCATGTTTGCCGAATGCAGTCCCGGCAGAAGCAGTGATCGCATTCGTTCAAGATGACAGGATCGATGAATGGACAACGGCATATTGGACATGTCAAGTTCTCGTCGACTGTGGCGACATAATCGATCATTCGTAGATCGACACTCATGGTAGGTTTTGGTACTTGAATGCGAGCTCGTGAATACAAGTAATGGTCTTCGTCGATAGTCTGCCGTGCTTCGAATCTTCGAATATTTCGCAGATCTGGAACGGAGGGCATATCAGGCATCGCATTGCGTGGCGCGGCGGAGTCGGGCTCTAGAATTGCCGCTTGTCCCTGAGAGATTGCCCTCCGGTGACCTTCATGGTTTCTGGTTGAAGATCGATGGTTGTTGCTCGAGCGGAATAGTGAACTTGCGCGTGACATATTGTCATGTCGCCAGGAAAATCGTGAGCTCTCCATGAGCGATTTCTTGCGCTGTGAGAAGGTGCACAGGGTATATATATCGGGCCAGGATTGATCACGATAGGACCGTCTTCAGAGAGAGATGGAATACAAGGCGTCTCTGCCGGCATCGGGCCAAGAACCACTGTAGAATATGGTAAACCCCAAACAACGGTGAGAAAGGCACACTGTCTTGACCTGCTCAGGGCGTATTTAGAACCATGGTAGAATGATTGTCTTTGCCAATGGCAGATGACTAGAGGCGCGCGGTAAGATACAATGCAAACGCCGACTTAGTATTATTTTCGGGCTTCTCATCAGAGCGGCTGGCAATCGTGACCTCGGGAGGCTGAAAGGCGCGTGAAGAAAGGCGGTGGACAAATGCTGGGCCGAAAATCGACAGGGTCCTGCAGGGGGCGAGCGGCCCGGCGCTGTACCTCGCACGTGACCTTTTAATTTCTAGATTACAAGGGGATATTGGAGCTGCATGACAGGACCAACGTAAACCAAAACTTCACTCAACCTACGCCAGGTGAACAAAAATTCGTCTTTTGGGTGCGCGTCATTGTTTCGTGATGAAGGCCCGTCGAGTAAAGAGCGGTCTCAAGAAAAAGACCATCGTCTCAAAGAATGGGATTCAAAAGCCCAAGAAAAAACAACAGCAGCAAAAGCAAAAGCAACAACAACAACAACAACAACAACAACAGAATTCTAACCGACAATTTACTATCCCATTCCGGCAGGAGGATGCGATTCTGCTCGTAGGTGAAGGCGACTTCTCTTTCTCGAAGTCCATCGTTTCAGACCACGGCTGTTGTGATATCGTAGCAACTTGCCTCGACTCGCAGGCTGAGCTTTTTGAGAAGTACGACCCACAGGCCAAAGAGCACGTCGAGTATCTCGAGGGAGAGGGCCAGACTGTTCAATATTGCGTTGATGCGACCAAACTAGACGAGAATAAATCACTGAAAAAGAAAGGCGCGCAATTTGACGTGATTATTTTTAACTTCCCACATGTCGGGGGCAAAAGCAAGGACGTGAACCGTCAAGTACGCTTCAATCAGGAGCTGCTCGTGAAGTTCTTCACTGCTGCAAGTAAGCTGTTGACTATCGCCGGCACTATCGTGGTGACGCTGTTCGAAGGCGAACCTTATACCCTATGGAATATCCGCGATCTTGCCCGACATAGTGGTTTAGAAGTCCAGCGGAGCTTCAAATTTCTAGCAGGTGCTTACCCCGGCTACAGCCACACACGTACGCTCGGAAATATAACAGGAGGTGGAGGATGGAAAGGTGAGGATCGAGACTCTCGCAGTTACATCTTCCAAAGGAAAGCACCAGGCGCAACTCCCAAGAACAAGCAGATAACACCACATGTACAAGAAGTATCATTACAGTCGAGTGTTCAAAAAAGGAAACGAAACGAGCGAGAAGAAGATTCTGAAGTGCAAGGATGAAGTATGCATGGTGCCTGGTCCGAGTATGACATGCTCACAAAGACGCCGTCGTCCATGCATAAAAACCTTCGCGGGCATACATGCACCATGCCTTCGCCGCCATTCCTCTAGATCGAAAAAAAATTGGCCCGCTCGCGGTACGAGCTCGCGTGCATTATTACGGTTATTGCTCAGCTCGCAGTGCAAGAGTGAGCCGATTTCCGATTTTTTATCATATTTTTCTCCAATGTTGTTGCATAGCCCGAGCAAAAAGCGGCAAATATCGTCACGAATGTCGCGTTTGTGACCACAACGGAATTTCACGGACCGATGTGCAGAAAGTACCCCAGGCTGCCCAATACGACAAAAGTCTGCCAGCGAGACTGCCATTTACAGATCCGCCGTCATAGTCAAGCCCGCAAACAATTTTAGCGACAGGTGCCATGTAGAGGGAAACGTTGGTGCTCTTCTATTTGGACCCAATTGGGAAGTAGGACATCCTCGTGCACAGCTTCTTCATCGGCTCGTCGCGCCATCCAATGAGCGGTGGGTCGTTGATGACAATTCAAGATGTACGATCGGAGATAGACTTGCGATGCACTCATGTCGCAGGCAACCTCAATGGGTCGAATCGCCAGCACTTTTTGCAAGTTTGCGCGGCGACATCTCATGGTCAGATTGCGAGACCAACGATCCGTTGGGAAGCATTGTAAGTGCAATGGAAATCAAACAGATCAGCTTGTTTATCGCTCATATCGCGAGTGTCTGTAATGTAAAGAATAAATTCCCGTTAGAGCCGCTGTTGCCTCCTTGACCATCGAGACGGAAAGCATCCCACGTGGATCATGATATCAAGTCGGCTCGTTTGTCGCCGTGCCCAATGCGGTGCCGTCGGCTTGTTCCAAGGTTGTATACCAAGGTAAGTCTACAAAGTTGACTGCGTCGAGATGCACGCCTTTACTTTGGATACCTCTAACAAGCCGGACGTTACCGTAGATCACAGCGTACGGAGGCGCTGCTCCACTAGTTCTACGGAAGACTACCTAGGTACTATAGATATACCTGGGCAGGTGTCCATGTACGACAGGCACATCTTTGATTTGAGCAACACTTTCTCCCTATTGTGCTCACGCGGATCTTGGAAAACGTGAAGCTGCGATTGGTCGGATGCTGCTCGGGACTATCATAATTGGTAGAAGTATTTCCCGATGAACTTGAAACCGTAGGGCGATGAGCTCCTCCGAAGCTTCATCCTCACAGGGCTCGCCGTCTCCGCAGACATCACCCGTTGCGAGTCTTCACGAAGCGCAGGCGAGAGCTCCGAACCTAGGACAGCTCGTTGGCTATTTCGTGGCGGCGAAACGCTCACTGGAGGCATCCGGCCATGTTTATCGTGCCACCGAACTCGTCAACAGCTCGCGTACGCTTATCGAGGACATCGCTGTGCTAAACGCAAAGAATTCGTATGCTTCACGAGCGCTTGACGAGCAGCTAAATACCTTGCGCGCCATCGAGGATGTCGTTGTCGAGGAGGCTGACCGAGTCTCAAACGAGTTCAATGCTACGCTTGCCAGCTTAGATGATGCTGACCGCCGCCTCCAGCAGACGTTGGATGCCCTTCGCCAGACCGTAGTGGATGTGAAGTTATCTCAAAGACAGCAAACTCGGCTCGTGCAAAGTCCAGCGCGGACGTCTGCTTCTCAAGAGAGCGCTTCAATTGTGGACGACGAGACCGGGGTACCAGAGAAATCACTTTTGGACTTCATAGACGAAACTACACATGGACAACTGCGTACCTCTCTATATGCTTTGATTGACGCGTACCACCACGCTCGCAATGAGGTGGAACAGAGCCTGGTGTCTTATGGAGAGTCAGTAAAGCGACTGAACGCTCTCCTCGCCGATCCACCTCAGCTTCCAGATAAGCCTACCATTTACGATGAGCCGCCTCCCACAATTCCACAATTATTTCGTAATCTTGAATCCCACGCTTCGGAGATTGCCTCACTGTTGTACAACCTCGTCAGTCATTATGACCTTTGCGTGACGGCGCTGAAGCATACAGAGGGCGGCGGCGAAGCGGCCAGACTTGCTGTACAAGCGGCTGACGGGCTTGCAAAAGACGAAGCCACCGCAGGTAGAACGGAGGAAAGTCTCTATAGCAAGACTACACCTGAACCGATCTCCCTCGAGGAGAGGTTGGAAATGCTCGTGGTTTTGGAGAATGACGCCTTGGAAGTTGCGGACGTCACACAGGAGATAAAAGACCTCGCATCTGCCATGGAATCTCAATATTCGCAGCTGACTAGGCATGCTCAGCAAGCTCGCACACGGCACGATGTTCTTCGTCATCTGCTCTCTCGGTTGCACCTCTTTCATGTCGAAGTGCTTCCGGTACATGTCCAGCTCAACCGCGTATTTATCTCGCAGACTTGGTCAGAGCTGCACGCCAATCTGCAGAGCAAAACATCAGAGCTGGTCGACCTTTGTACTTTTTACGAGTCCTTCCTGTCCGGATATGCCGCCCTGTTGGAGGAAGTCCGTCGACGAGCGACCAGCGAAGCTCAGATGCGGCAGACTGCAGAAAGGGCCCGGAGAGAGCTGACGAAGCTATTTGAGGCGGAGCGCATCGCTCGAGAGACCTTTATGGCTGACGTGGGAGAGTATCTCCCGCGTGACATATGGGACGGATTGGAGGAAGAAGTGCGGAGATGGGAGGTGAAGAGAGCGGAGCGGAGCAAGTGAATGCCCTTTTCGGTCCGTTTCGGAGAATATGCAACGGTTTACCTCAATGTCTAAGCACAAGATATGTTCTTTGTCTTATTCGTGTGATGCACTTCAGTTTCGAGCAATTCGGCGAGAGAACAGCACCTCATCAAGTGGTGTCGATGGCTCAATTTTATACTTTGACGAAGCAGTGCATATTTTCGAGCTGGGCACGAAGCGAGGCAACTATCGTCCTCCCTGCGGAGCAGATACAAGTTTGCGAGGACTGCGAGCCGCCCGGCGGGCGTGCTTGCTGTCACTAGCGGCAGATCAAACTTTCTAGGTTGTTGCTGGCGACTATTTTTAGTCTGTCTGCATGTGCCTTTCGCGTTAACAACGCAATCAAGCTCCTCGAAACACGCCTGGGCAGTCAAAAGATTCACTGGTGGCTTGGCGCAGATGCCGCGTCACCGTTCCTCACATGATGCTCTGCGAGACAAGTATGCATCGAAACGATGGTTGGCGCGCAATCCGCAGCGAGATTCGCCGGTCGAGGGAACCCACAGAAAACTTAGACCGATGCGGACGAAACACCAACCGAACGATGACGATTAATATAGATATCGAAAATTGCAGACGCGTTGCCAAGAGGTTCATGCGATTATATGTCGCTAGCAGGTCCGCTGTTGAGACTATCTGCGATGTGAATTAAACAGTGCAAGTCGCCTTGAACCACGAATATATCGATCACAATGTGCGCGAATGCTCGTCTGTCCCTACTCATATGGCTGCTGCTGGTGATACTTGCGTTGCCGCGAACATCCTCTGCCTCAATCGGCGAGTGTACAAATACAACGACTCGCGTCGAATGGCGGCAGCTGTCCTCCGTCGATCAGCAGCAGTACATCGACTCTGTATTATGCCTCAAGACTAAGCCATCACGGATCGGGCTCAACTCTTCCCTCTACGATGACTTCACTTTTGTTCATTTCACTCTAAACAACCAGAGTAAGTTCAGAGTGCGGAATCGGCATCGCATCGCGGCTTTCAAAAATAAATGAACACATTTTCATCAGTACATTCTAGTGCAGTCTTCCTACCTTGGCATCGGTACTTTACATTCCTCTATACAGGTGCGATCCGAGACTGCGGCTACAAGGGGCCTATGACGTACGTTCTCGTATAGTACAGAGAATCCGGTCTCGCCAATAGTAGCTAATTGATCCATAGATACTGGGACTGGACTCTCGATCTCCTCAAAATGCTTCAATCTCAAGTCATGGCATCGGAGCTCGGCTTTGGCGGAACGGGTAGCCGAAATCGTACGAAGCAAATGCCCGACGAAGCCGCTCCCTTCTATTGCGTCGACGATGGCCCTTTCTGGCAACTACGTCCGAGCTGTAGAATAAGTCTGGGTAACAGATTAAAGTTCGATGAGCATTGTCTTCACCGCGACGTCCAAGAGAGATCAGATTCCTACAGCGGGAGTAAGATTGCAAACATTCTGCAGGAGCGCGATTTTCTTTGGTTCTCACGACGATTGGAGACTTCGCCACATAATACAATTCATTCGACGATCGGCGGAGAAATGGGCCCTCCGACATCACCGAACGGTAATGTCTCATGACTCTCACCCTTCCCATCTATGAAGTCATACTAAGGCATCTGGCGACACAGATCCACTCTTCTTCTTGCATCATTCGCAGATCGATCGCCTCTGGTGGCTGTGGCAGCAGATGAACTTGACTGCACGCTATAACGACTACTCCGGTGATGTAAGGAACTCCAATGGCTCATACAGTGATATGCAAGCATCGCTTTCCGATCTTCTTCAAATGAATGGATTGGCACCGGACATCTCTGTGAAAGAGATCATGAATGTCTCAAGCCCGCCATGGTGCTACCAATATTAGACTTGGATTATGTCCCGTCGATGTGCGGATGTACAAATCAAGTAGATCTACGTTTGCTGCGGTGGATTGATATTCAGGTGGTTCCCGACGACTTTTGGCAAAGGGGGTTTTCTGCTTTGCTCAGTGAAATATGTTATGCAACGACATACGAAAGACACTGGTCGGTGATCAAGCGATACAAGACTACCAACCACATTTTTATACAAGATTCAAAGACGCTTCAAATGTGTTGAGATGACATTCATCCCCGACGTATCTTTTTTATTTCATGAGCCTAGCTCTCGTGCCCTTTTCAGACAGGTTGTTTTATCATTTTGTCACAGAGCCTCTACAGGTTCTCGTGGAACCAGTTGAGCAAGTACTCGTATCCCTTCTTGTAGTCCGCCTCGACCGCAGGGTCAGACAGGTTCGCGCGTGCCGCAAGCCAGCCGTGAATTTGGTTGGGAAACCACTCGACCACGTGCTTCACCTTGATTGCCTCCTGCCACTTTTGCACGTCCTCCTTGGGCTCGTCTCCGCTGGGCAGCATGGCGATCGGGATGGTGATGGCTGCGGCGTCGTTGGCATCAACCATGGCGGGGTGAGCGACGGCGGCCGCCTTGAAGGGTGTGTCCTTTTGCGAGGTCAGGTTGACAATCTTGCCACCCCAGCAGAAGCCGAGGACACCCCAGGTCTTGATGGAGCTGCGTTGCGATTCGATGTCTTTCAGGACCTTTGGTAGACGTTCAACGGTCTTTGGTGGTGCGGCTTTGGTCTGTAGGTCGCGTCAGTGCGACGCGATCTTCGGGTATCTTATATCTGGGGAGACGCACACTGAAGAACTCGCCGAGCTTTGCCTCCTTCTCCTTGTTGTCCGGAGGATACTACATAGAACGTCAGTTCCGAGGTCCCTTGTACACTGACCTACCTTCCTTACCCAAGAGATGTCCGCTGGCTGGCCATCAAAGAAGTCTGTATATTCAGTAAGACATTGCCATCGTTCTCGATCGTTCTCGCCCAGATGCTCGACTTACCTGGGATGAAAACTTGATATTGGTTGTCCTTGTCGCTCAACGCAAGGATGTCCGCGCCTTGAAGTGTTTGAGGGAAGAATCCAAAGATATCGTAGATCAAGAGGATCGCCTTGGTGGCAGTAGCTGGACCAGTCACATAGGTCTTCAATCCATCGACGGTGATCTATTTATCGCGATCAGTCTTGGGATACTTATCCACACACAGCTTCTCCGGCTCGAAAGGTGCAGGTACTGGGTGCAGCGGTGCATACGTATTCGCCCTTCTCTTTGTAACTATCCGAAACAATCGGCGGAATCGTGCAGCAAGCGCGAGATTGGGTAGACATATTTGCAGTGCTTATGAGAGGTATGATGTGTTGGTGTTATCGGAAAAATTCAAGAGTATGTTCAGGCGGGATCTTCAATGACGGCAAGTTGGATTTAAGCAACTGAATATATATCCTTATAACATTGGGAATGACATAAGATGCATTCGTCACAAACACGCATGGTGGGGCCTGGAGGGTCTTCGAAGCTGTGGCATGACGTGTGTGTTGTGCCTAGCAACAACTTTAATTCTGCCGATTCCGATTCTCCCGCGATCGTGAATGATGACAAGAGCTCCGGTCCCGATTGTTTGGAGATCACGTAGCGAGCTGTTCTTCGAGATAATGAATCTAGACCAGCAGCAATGATTCAAGGAGCCAACGCGCCAAGTGAGCCGCACAGCGAGCGTCGGGGCGCAGGGCGGAGGCGCATTGAGATCGCCATCGGCTAAGAGCCGCGTGCGTCCGAGAGTGGATTCTATCTTTCGGCATGCCGTTTGCGCATCGCCGTGCCGGATGGACACTCGTTCTGAGATGTCGCCTCTACTTTCCTCGGATGGTGCGTATACGGCGATGCGCGAGGTGAAGTGTGGTTTCCATACTACTACGCAGGATGGACAGTACATCCGGCACATTTATCAATAGCGGAACGGCCCTGGCTTCAGCGTCTTCTCTCCGGGACCTTTGACCGGTTGGAGCGCTCCACCCGGACCGCGCGCCGCTGTGTATCCTCCCGCGTGCACATACAACATGTTCCCATTTACCTATCCTCTGCATCACGAGACATGCAATGAACAAGAGAATGAACGTCGCATGCTTGTCGTTGGGCAGTATACACAGCACGGCCAATTTGAGAAGCCCGCTCCGATATGAGCCATCCGATTAACGATTACATCGAAAAGCGGTAATGGCTGTCCCCGATGCCTCCTTCATCGAACTCTCAGCTTCGTTCACCACCGCCCACCTCTCCCGCCGGCTCTGTTGCGGGTGATCGCCTTGGTCTTGATCCCAATGACCTCGCGGTGCTCCACCAACATCAGCAGCTCGCCCATGCGCAGGTTCACAGTCCGGCAGGATCTGCCGCAAGCTCGCAGGGACGACTGCTGCTAGATCCAAACAGTCTGCAGCTGCTCACACGCCACTTCGACCGGATCATGCAAGCGATTCAGGAGCGCTTAGAAGCGGTATGTCACTCAGGCCAGCCTGCCTCGACCATGGACTTGCATTGATCGTTGAAAACATTCACGCGCAACGCGACTCATCAAGGAAGATAAGCTAACAACGTAGCTGCCGTTCGTGATCATCAGCTTTACGCCGCTACCGAGATTGCCACGCAAACACAGACCGATCGCGCTGGCAACGCTCTCGAAATGGCTGACCATGAAATCGCGCGATTTCGAGCCATCTTGCACCAAACCGATGAGCTCGAAGCGGAGTTCGCCAAAATCTCACGAGTCCGCGAAATCGTCCGGAGCTTTCGCGCCCGGATAGAGATGATGGAAAGAAGATTGGGGTGACATTTCATGTCTCTTGGGTCATTGAAGAAGTGCCTGCTCGGTGCAAGGTCACTCCGTCACACCTGTACTTTCATGTGATGGAAGTGAATGGATACGGGAAACCAGAACCGCTTGCTGTACGAGCACACGGCATCAAATTCTCCAACGCCAGCTGTACACTCGGTGAATTGAATGCGGTGCTCAAATGATCAGGCGTGCATGAATCCATAGCGACAGTCGCCCTGGGAAGAGCAACACGCGCTGTCGCTGATGTGAGCTCGAAATTTTACAGGTACTGAGACCATGACAGTCACGGAGCTGGTGCGGGCCATCGCTACAACGCGGGCTGGACGATCATACAGAGGCGAGACACGAATGATCAACTGCTTATCTCGGCAACATTGAAGGTCAAGTTAACTGTCTCCGGTTAAAAACAGAATATGCCGAGTCTTGCACGACTGGACAAACCAACTGGCACTGGCAGCTTGGCGGTGGAGGATATCTATCAACACCCGCTGGTCAATGCCGAGGGTGTCAAGGACGGCATGAATTCCATACACGTGCTTACACCACTAACGATAAAGGCTTGTCAGCAAAGACCTGATTTTGATGACCGCACGGTCCGGACACCGATTCAAAGTCACTAGACTGCAACTGTCTGCCAAAAATCGAGAACTAAACGGCGTATGATTCAAGATTTACGTACGAGTCTATAATCCCTGAAAATCTCGAATCGTGTGCAAAGATGGACTGCTCGAATATCGCTCCTTGATTGTGCGCTTCTCAACCAATACTCAAGTTCATGATCCGCAACAGGCGAGGAGCTCTCGGGCGATGCAATGTTGGGAAATATACCTGCTCCGTACAGACCATGCTGACTGCAGAACGGCGATCTGCAGAAGAAAGCGGCCCCCCAGATGGTCCTCCCACGCTGCCTGGCGAGACAAGGTTTTCGAGACCGTGTTGGTGGCTACTGAAAACCACCCGTGTCTCTCCGAACAATACAGATCTTGGGTGGGACTTTATGGCCGTGCCTGGAGCAGTCGCCGTGACTCTGATGACCGTAATGCTCCACTGGTCAGCCGATTTGGATCCACAGCAGCGAAAGCACAACCAACCCCTTCGTGTGGGCATCTTCTTTACCACGCAATGTCATGTGTATTGGCCAACGTACCAGGATCGCTTGTGTTAGATCTCGCAGCAAGAAAAATGTTGCGCTACAGCAATTAAGGACATGCAGGTTGTGATTGTTGGTCCATCTTTTTCTCTCGAGCTAATTTCATGATTGGTCGATACTCTGTACGTGACAGCGCCGGTGACATCACGTACATCATCGAGGAGGCGATCAAGGAGTTCGGCGGCGGCGGCCGGGTTGCTGCCAAGGGTAAATGACATGCAATGCGCATGCCGGCACTCAATCCGTGAACTGGGGCTTGTACCATCGTTGACGGAGCCTTTGAATAGTGTCGGACATCGAGGAATGAAGGATGATCAGCTCGTATCTTAGGAGGAATTCTGCAATAGAGAGTTTTATATTATTATGAGGTTATGGATACATTTCTTTCAGGACCTGCACGACCCCGGTTTATCATCCAAACCAAGTAGAGGCGCTGGCACAGGTACGGTCATCGTGCAAAGGCCATGACCAGCCTTCCTGGACCATGCTTGACCTTTGAAGACTAAAGTGAGTTCCATCGAGTCACTTCCCCCATTCCTCTCGTGCGGCAGTGGATCACGACTGCGGCCTGAATCACCGCCATTCTACGCCTGATTTCTCGTCTATCGAATTCATCTTCGGCGGGTTTTCGATGTCGATTCCGGAATTTTATCCTTGACTTGGACAGACGACCTGACGATAAGGCGTCAGAGACCGGAGATGCAAAAGTGCTTCAGGCGAACTTTGCGCTTGAGCTTACACCTCGGTCTTCTCGCCCTGTGCTTTCAACCACGCAATCGACTCCTTGTCCACGCCCTTGTTGAAGGGCACGATGCAGTCGACGATGGTGCCTGTGAGAGCGATCGTCAGTAAGTTTGTCCGCCTCGCGAGTGATCTGTGCCGAGATCCTTATACGTACTGACGTGCGTCGCTCCCGGCACGATGTTGATTGTCAGATTGACAGAGTCGGACATGGCCTGGGCGATCTTTTCAATTGAAGGTCGCAACATCTCGGAGCCACCGCAGTAGATGTAGACGCTGCTGGTGACCTGGCGCAGAGGCTCCCACCATGACGGCGGTGCGCGAACGGGCTCGTTGTAGTTGTCCGGCGGTGCAGGTCCGATGAAGGCAGCGCTAGTTTCACGCAAGCCAGGTGCGCTCTGCGAAGGGTTGATCAGTACTTACGCCCCCGAGGTGCTGCTTCTTGTTCAGACCATCACATACCAGCATGTCCCATCGATACTCCTTTGCGATTGGCTCCACGTAGTCGAAAGCGATCCAGGGCGAAATCAGGAGGATACCGCGGAATGGCTCTGCCAGCTTCAATTCCGGGACGTCCGGGTGCGGGTGCATCAGGTGCGAGATGACGGCCAAAGTCAGATTTCCGCCTGCGGAGTCTCCCGCGAGAATGATCTTGACGCCACCGGGTCAGCTCATTGTCTATTCCGTGCGCATTCACACAATGGCGAAAGGCTGATCACAGAGAGAAGCATACCTGGGAAGGCGTAAGTCCTTCAACCTCGATGACATGCTTCACAAGATTGACAGCCTGTTGCAGCTGGAGCGGATATTGCCGATGAGGTGTAAGTTGGTACGATAAGATTATGGCGGATGTGTCTGTTCCGGCCTTGGTCAATTCCCTGTGGGCGTCGTACACCCATTTCATATGCGCCAGAGTCGCAGGAACCTAATCATGAGATTGTTGTTAATCGGGATGGCCGCATGCGTCTATAGGCTCTTTGATTGTCATTCTTACCATGTATCCGCCACCTGCGTTCAATTGTTAGCTCAACTCGAGTAATTTTAGAGTGACGTGGGATGGGTGAGTAACTCACCGTGCAAGTACACAATGATCTGCTTCGCGGCTTTGTTGCCCATCCAGTGGCCCATGGATCCATCAGGGAAGGTGTGCGTGACAGGCTTGAATCGCCATAGCGAGGCAAATTGGTTGTAAGCCTGGTGAGTCGACGGGAGGAACCATCTGCGATGGACGAGATTCACTTATCAGTATTTCTGTCGAAGACGGGAGCAAAGTGACGATTCTTACTGCAGCTTGCGGAGGCTCGACCGGGCGAACAAGTTCCGGACATAGTATGAGGAAGCCGTACTCAAAGTGTAGCCTTTGCGTCCACCACCTTGGAGTCGAATAGCAAAGAGGCCATAAATAAAATATCCGACTGTGTTGTCGTTGAGTCAGCATACCCGTGGAATATCATATACCTCGTGAATGTTATACTGGACGTCAAGTCCAACCTTGGAATCCTGAGAGCTTAGGGTTACTCACTTGAACCGAGTACCACAGATATCATGTGAAGCTTCTCGAGGAAGGAGATCTTGGCCGGAAGAATAAGCATCTTGGCGGATTTCTTGATCTTCGTTTGGCAGATGCAATGTGCAGAGAATATTTCTCCAAGGAGATTCCAAAATGTCCAGACGGCGGAGTGATGTGGTCAATGTCTCGTATGTTGTCGCTGCCTGTGGCCGTTACGCGTCGGGAGATTGAGAGAATGAGTTGCGCCGGACCTCGGCTTGCGTGCAGAGACTAGTATATAGTGCTGCGTACAACTTATGTTCACATGGACAACGTCTAGTTATTTTTATCAGGCGTATGCAGCAGGCGCACGAGATAATGTAATCCTTTGGCTTATCGGCCAATCCGTCATCGCTATAAACGGGCGATACTTAAGTGCACGTCATGTTCATCCTCAAGCGAATGAGGATCAGGTGAAAAACAAGCGTAGCGGTCAAGCAGCTTCGATGGTCTGGAGCGCAGGACGCGTTGCATGGCAAAAACTTCACTAGAGATTGAGATCGCGGAATTTCCCCTCACACAACAGAGACAATTGGAACCCATAATTGTCAATACGAAAGGCTTTTCCAGATGATACATATGCGACCTAAACAGGCCCAAGATGATGAGATGAATAGAAAACCCAATCCTCTAAGGAAGCGAAAAAAATCTCCAATGCTCCAATATGAAGTTCACAAATGTGTCCAATCCAATTATCCATTCCATTGACCCATTCTCTGCACCTCATGCACAAGGTTAGAGGTCCGTCTTTTAACCGATGGTGACGTTGGTGATCGTGCATCCCTCGGCCTTGTACGTGCCGGAGAAGAGCTTCTCCAAGAACGCCACAGCGCGAGCATCGCCGTTGGTGCTCTCGGTCTGGTGGGTGCCGACAGTGTTCCTCTGGTAGTCGATGGTCGCACCGACGCGGCAGTAGCGCTCGACGAGAATGTCGGTGTCGTGGACAGGGCTAACGTCGTCGCCAATCGCCTTGTAGACGAAGAGCGGCGGCGCCGGCACGCCGTGGTAGCCCATAACACCGTCGCGGTTGACAACGTTCATGGCAAAGCGGGACTGGACAGTGCCCTCGCCGTTCTGGAAGTAGAGGAAGATGTTCTGGCCGACGAATTGCGCGATGGACTCGAGCAGAGTGAAGTTCTTGGTCTGGAGGAAGCGTGTGGCGTTGTAAGGGCCGCTGGGGTTCAAATTGGCGAGGAGGTAGGCCTGGGTGTCAGGGTATTGGGACAGGATGCCGACGATGCCAGCGGGGGCCAGACCGGCATAGACGGTGCCGTTGATGGTGTACAAGACGCTGGTGATGTTAGGAGTGAGACCACCAAGCGCGTGGCCTTCAAACTTCAGCTCGGGTGCGTATTGAACCTGAAGCTCAGCAGCCCATTCACCGGCAAGAGCACCTCCGGAGTAGCCCCAGGTCGCATAGCGGTGGCCTTCAGCAAGCTGGACTGGAGACTTCTTGGAACGAACGGCGCGAACAGAGTCAAGAGTGGCGTGTCCGGAAAACACACCCGCGGTGAAGAAGGCACCCGGGCCTTCGTAGTCGGGAGTGCTGACGATGTAACCGCGTCCGAGCGCCTCGGTGATAGCAGCGTCACCACCATATCCACCACCGGAGTACAAGGTGTAACTCGGGCTAGCATCGACGTCCGCTGAGTCGTAAGGAATGTGGTAAGACAGTAGCTTGTCGCGGGAAGTGGTGATGTTGGCGAATGGTACGAGCAGGGTCGTCACGGCCCAGGCGGCCTTGTAATCACCAGATGTCGTGCGGTAGAGGATGTGGTATGCCTCACTAGCATTGGCGATGGTGCTCGCCAATGCGGTGGCATTTCGAATCTTCAAAACCTGACCAGGTTTCGCGTGCTCGTAGCCAGCCGGCGCGGAATACCACGGGTCCTGGCTCGGAGGAATGCCAGCGGTCGAGTTATCATTCGAAGTCGAAACAGCTAGCGGCCACTTGCCACCATGGTGATATGGTAGCGGTGTGTTTGAATCTGAGAACGAGTAGGTCGGAGGTGCGACATCACCGGCCGATGGGACCTGGGCCCCGGCAGAGACGACTGCGGCGAGGGCGAGAAGCCCTGCGGCGGAGGAGGAAGTCCACATTATTCAGAAAACAACAAGGGAATTTTTCCAATCACGACAAAAAGAATAAATTTAGTGATGTAGGCAACAGAAGCCCACGAAAAGAATGTAGAGAATGCGTTACACTGAACAAAGAAAGAACGTGTATTCTATGAAGAAGTGCAGTAGATGGGAAGGGAAGAGAGTGGAGTGTCCTGTCGCAGTTCGGTGTTGACCATCAGCGGGAGGCTCACATGGACTGGGCTTAGGAGGATCGTGGGCCGGTCCTTGGTGCAGCACCACCAACGCTCACGATGAGCGCACAGTGCGTTGAAACGGTTGACAGGTTCGCCACGCTGCTTGTCAAGACAGTGCCGCGCCGCTTCACGACTCACGCGGATGCTCGGCGATGACGGCAGCACTGCGATGTCAAAGCGGAGAGTCGACGAACTGGTCGAACTCTCGTCCCTTTTCTCATGCTGTTTCTCGAATTATCGGCACATGGTTGAATATTACGCCGGCTGGGCTAAACCTGCTTTCAAGGCCGCATCCATCAACAACTTCACTCGTTCACGGACTCCAATGCATGATCCATTGCAACATTGCGAGAGATTCACTGTCGCAATATCCTTGTTCTGCAAATAAGACAAATTGCATGATGTTTGAAGAAAGGTTCCCGGCCATGCAGCGCTAGTTCCCATTCTGGGCTGGACAGTGCGGAGAAAGCGTGCCAGGAGGAAATTGGATGTGCCATTTTCGGTCATTTGATGATCTCAATCTCTCCTTCATCATCTGCAGCCCTCCTGAGAATGGCTGAAGGATCCACTCCAGGGCTTCGAGGGTTTGCTTATCGATAGTCATCGACTCAATCTTTTTGTTGTGACCAGGTTATTCATGCCGGATGTTGTAACATCAACGCGTTCATCGCACTGGACATACTGTAAAACGACTTGTCGGTTAGCAGAAACAGTCGATTCATATGATTTCGAAGGACTGAGAACCTGGGTGCATCTGGGCAGCGCGGTCATCGTAACGTGTTGGGCACCCTCCATGTTTGGCGGCGGATGCAGGCCCTGCACGAAGTTTAGAGATACAGTATACTGCTGGACAAACGTGAGATGGCCGTGGCGCGTTATTGACGCGTCTGCATACTCTGGAAGCCACCGCAATGGTCAAGAGACAGAATCGAAGATAATGGATGCATTGCTTCGCCTTCCTCGAACGACACCTGTAACCTGTATGTGATATGGGGTGAATTATGTGAGGGTAAAGCACGTGACGGACGATGCAGTCAGTGATGTCTGACGACCTACTGTACCTGGGTAGGTACGGGCCACAGCCTGATGAGCCTACCAGCAGGCTCCAGCTCACATCAAGCCTAGGGTTACGTTTATTTTACATCCATTACAGACAGTAACAACGACCTGTATTTGTGTCTGGCCAGCTCAACATCTGTAACGGCGCTGCGGACGATTCTTCGTGTATATGAATGTATGGCGACGTCATTCGTATGCGTTCAGTGCAACGACTGACCGATGGCTACGCTCATAGCATTTGGTTGAATGTAAGATTCGCGATTCAAGATGTCTCACTGCCACGACGAACACGACGACCACAGTCATGCCCACGACCATTCGGAAGGCGCGGTCCATGACCATAGCGATGATCTCGTGCCTGCCTTGCAAAATCATATATATGAACAGATCGACTTTGGTGCCATCACCACGTTGAACGAGTCGGAAACTGGCAGCGGTGCAGCGATTATACAAAAGACATGGACCGAAAGGCTCAACCCCGAACCCGAACTGCAGAGCGACACCGACGAACAGCTTCTGATGCATGTTCCATTCACTGGCCAAATCCGCTTGCACAGCATCCTCATCCGCACTTCAACCTCGGACTCGGCACCGTTGACGCTGAAACTCTACGTCAATCGTGACGACGGACTGGACTTCGCCACAGTAGCGGATCTCGAAGCGACACAAGTCCTCGAGCTTTCACAGACGGCCGATCTGCAGGATATCCCCGTCAAGCGAGCGAAATTCAACACTGTACGTTCACTTGACCTTTTCTTCGAAGACAATTGGAGTCGTGGCGAGGAAGATGTCACGCGTATCTCCTATCTGGGCTTCAAGGGAGAGTTTATGAAATTGAGTCGGGAGCCAGTGAGCTTCTTGTATGAAGCAGCTGCAAATCCCAAAGACCATCAACTCGCTGCTGGAATCAACCAAGGGGTCGGAAGTAACGTTGGCGGCGCTGGAGGGCCACATGGCATGTAAACAGAGCATAATGAAAGTGATCGAGACTTCACGAGTGCTACAATATGTCCGCGAAAGGCACACTTAACAAACGACGCACACCTTGCATGTGCTCATGTCAAAGACTTGCAACCTCGTCGCTTTAATATGCCGACCAGTCTTGCATTGCTCGTGACGAGATCCGTGCGGGTGTTCAACGTACTGTAGTTATTTCTAGTTGAAGTTGGGATAGAGGGCGATCACGTCACAGACTTCTAGAAGCACGGAACACTTCCGCGGCGCCCAAGAGCATTCGATTCTCCGCCACCCCAGCATCTTCCCTCGTAAGCTATCAGCACAGCTTCAACACTCCTTTGCGACCACCCATGTCCAACGAACCTTCTATCCACGAATTTGAGGACACACTTGGAGCAACTCCGTCTTCATTCACCATCTCCAACTTCCTTCTCGTCGGTGCACTGTTGGCTGGCGGTCTTGCTATGACGTCATTCATTCAGCGATTCCTACGACCATTTTCCTCCTCTACGCTCTACTTTGCGCCCGAGGGGCCTGCCGTTGCGATGAACGTCCCCGAGGGAGCGCAGAAGGCGACGCTCGCCGCCGGATGTTTCTGGGGCATCGAGCACATGTACCGCAAGGACTTTGAGGGCAAGGGCTTGATCGACGCCCGAGTGGGATACATTGGTGGCAACTCCGAGAACCCGTCATATCAGGCGGTATGCAGTGGAAGGACAGGACGTAAGTTGATGCGAGAGAATCACCAGAAGCATGAATGAAATGCGCACGGCGAACTTTGGTGGAGAGCATAGATCATATATCTGACTGATAAATTTTGCGGAAACAGACGCAGAAGCCTGTCAGATCGTCTTCGACCCCACTAAAGTCTCCTACAGCACCCTGCTGGAGTACTTCTACAAGATGCACGACCCGACGACCGCGAATCGCCAGGGCCCGGATACGGGTTCGCAGTACCGCAGCGGCATCTTCTACCACGACGAAGAGCAGAAGAGTATCGCCGAGGAGATCACCCGCAAGGCTAACGAGCAGTGGTGGAAGAAGGGCATCGTCACGGAGATCTTGCCCGCTGGCAAGTGGTGGGATGCTGAGCAATACCACCAGCTATACTTGCACAATAACCCAGCTGGGTACGAGTGCCCGAGCCAGTGAGTTATCCCCTTCCGTCCGCACGGCTTCTGATATCTCTCCGTCTCGAGGAAACCTTGCCTACCCTCGATTGGGTGTGGTCGTACATTCGTGAACTCAAGCTGACTTTTGCATAAAACTATAGCTACCTTCGCAAGTTCGCGCCTCTGTCTTAGATAATGGGTGAGCGAGTTAGATTTTAAAATGTACAAAACACGGATAAGACAACCTCTTATGGTCGGCTTCTGAAAAACGATTGTACATTGAATGGCATGTCATCTCCACGGATGTCATGTGTGGTGTGATGTTCGTTCCAACGGAGAACCGATGGAATGAGAGCTTTTGGCTCTTCTCCCAATGCTACTCGATCATGTCCCCGGAGCACTGCAATTCCTGCCCAGGGCGACAACTGCGGCCCTCTGTGAAGATGCAGATATGTGCGCCACAAGTGCCATCTGTACCTGCCGTCAACGCTGCATCCGTACTCGGTTCGAGCAAGGTGAGCATCGATAGTCTTGGGATGTCTGGGGCGTGATGACTATACCATGGATGTCATGTTTGATGTCCGCGTCGCCATCCTCAATCGTTTCGGCCAATAGTATCGCTTGGGACCAGCCAATATCGCCGATCAGCCACCTGAGTGGTCGTGCTAGATCTTCGAGCAGCCTTTCGCTCGCATCGATCACACGCGAGCGATGATCGTAGGTGTAAAGCAGCAGGCCGTTCTTGTCTCGGACGTGCACTTCATCTCCGATGTGCAGTCGGCGTCTCGAATCTGCCCGGGATCTTCCAGTTGTTGACGCCCCACCACCATCGCCGTAGCCTCGCACCTGCCGATTGACCAGCGAACTGAGGATTAACGTTGACATGCCGCCACGCCGCGACACATAGTGTCCAACCCAATCCCTGCACCAGTGGCATCAAGACCTTCATCGAATCGTCAGAACTGCACATTCAGTGCTTCACCATTCGGTTGAACACACCTGATCTTTGATCGTTATGAGCGCCACCATCTGCCATGTCTTCGCGCTCTCAATGCTCTTCAAATAGCTCTGTTCGAATCGAAGATCTGGGAGTGGCATCGTCTGCGGTGACGGCTTAGACCAAGGCTGATCGCGTGGGAGAGGCCTCAACACGGATAGAGGGATTTCATCTTCGTTGACGTCGTCGATCTCTGATGTCACATCCAAGGAGTTATCGAATATCACATGCTCTTTCCCATCTGCTGCTGTGCTGGGTGCCAGATCGCGTTGGTCGGGATTGCTTTTGATGTGTGCTGTTTGGATGGTCTCGGCAGCCTGGATGGCTGCATCTTGTAGATCAGCCATTGCAGATATAGAGGTTGCCGGATGATATATGAGAAGGCCCTCAGGTATTGATCGGCTTTCTCAAGATGTTGCGATGTCGTCGGCGTGCTCGCCCGCAAGCTTCAGAACGTAAGGCGGGAGCGCCCGAGCAGTGAACCAGAACACACCAAAGGGCGTAGAAATGACATGGCGCGGAAAGCCGCCGCACCAGTATTCATGCCAATATCTTCATCCTTGAACATAACTTTTCTACGTCAGCGTGCACTCTACAATACCAGAATAAACTCCATCATCTACTCGATCTAAGTGTCGAAGTAATGGATCAGGCACCAGCTCAAGAAGTCACAGTTGCGAAGAAGAGAAAATGTGAGGGTGCAGACTGCGAGCAAGACGCTGGTGCATTGCAATGTCCGACTTGCCAGAAATTAGGCAAAGAAGCCTATTTCTGTAGTCAGGACTGCTTCAAGAGAAATTGGGTAGGTCAGTCGCCCCGACAAGTACCCGTGTCCTGATCCGAAAACTCGTGTCGGAATGGTCAATCATCGTGAGAGCACTGTTTGAAATTTCGGGCTGACACGATCTTCAGAGCACTCATAAGGCCGTGCACAAGGCGCAGAATAGTATGCTTTCCAAGATCTTTACTCCAAGCGTCATCTCCTTACCCGACGCAGATGGTCATTTCAACCCCTTTCCTGCCTTCCTCTTCACGGGCCCTCTCAGACCGGTATATCCGCTCTCGCCGCGAAGAGCTGTCCCGGAGAAGATCCGACATCCCGACTATGCCCACAATGGCATTCCACGCAGTGAACAGGTACGATAGTTTGCTTGCAAGGAGAGCGTTTGATCATTCCTGCGCCCGCCTGAACCCAATATTTAGTTGCGAGGGTGACGAAGGATGATCAAAGTTGTCAATTCGTGTCTAACAAGACGTATAGATGATCGTCAACCGCAACAAGCTCAAGATCCTCAACAAGGAAGAGCAAGCTGGCATGCGAAAAGTCTGTCGACTGGCTCGCGAAGTCCTCGATATTGCTGCGCGAGAGCTCCGACCAGGCGTAACGACCGATCATATCGATAAAGTCGTGCATGAAGCATGTCTTGAACGCAATGTGAGTTTAACGTTGATTCTCACAGATAACTCCAAATTTGGACATCGTGGGATGATCCTTGTTGGAACTTTGGCCGCTACAGAAACCTTACTGATAGAAATTGTCCATCAAAGTCCTACCCCTCTCCCCTCAATTACTGCCACTTCCCCAAATCCGTCTGCACATCTGTCAATGAAGTCATCTGCCATGGAATTCCGGACCACCGACCTCTTCAAGATGGCGACATTGTCAACATCGACGTCACACTTTACCACGGTGGATTCCATGGCGATCTGAACGAGACGTACTACGTTGGCGACAAGGCACTTGCCGATCCTGACAACATCCGAGTCGTGGAATGTTCGCGCGATGCACTCAATGCCGCCATTGCGACAGTCAAGCCCGGTACACTGTTCCGCTCCTACGGCACTGTCATCGAAGCCGTCGCAGCTGAGCGAAAATGTGGCGTCGTAAAGACTTACTGCGGCCACGGCATCAACCAGCTGTTCCATTGTGCGCCGAATGTCCCTCATTACGCAAAGAACAAAGCTATCGGTGAGGCCAAGCCCGGAATGTGTTTCACAATCGAGCCCATGATCACTCTGGGATCGTATCGGGATCGCACATGGCCAGATGATTGGACGGCTGTTACGGCGGATGGCAAACGTAGTGCGCAATTCGAGCATACGCTGCTTGTCACGGAAGACGGAGTGGAGGTTTTGACGGGTCGGTTGGAGGATAGTCCTGGCGGCAAGCCGGAAGGATATGCGGCGGATGGGACGAAGCTCGCGACGACGGCCAACGGAGCTGTCGACGACGGCAGTAAGGCAGAGTGATGTTAGGACCGTTTCCATTCTCCCCATCGTTCTACTCGGAGCGGACTTCGGGATCAATACGACTGATGAATACAAGATCTTATTCGCCTCTGCATTTTCTTCACAATATGTGAATCCTGCGTTAGATTTAAGTCTGCTAATGATGCAAGCTCAGACAATATTTTGCAAACCAATAAAAATAAAAATACATGATCTCTCCAAAAGGTATGAGGGCCAAGTTCGCAATTTCTTGCTCAGCACCACGCAAGCATTGTCATAAGACTAGTGATAACTCTGAGAAGGTCAATCACACATGCCTCTTTGTTGAAAGATCGAGTTCGCGATCACATGTTAATTAATACTGAATCTTTGAGCGCTCTCAATCCCTCACTTGCTCCTTCTATGTCTCGAATTGCTTTTGTCCTTTCACAAGCGTATGCCGGTGCCCAAGTGTGCATCATCAACAATGTATCTCGAATTGCTCTTCATCTCACCTTATCGACAGAAAGGTATTGATCCGCGCCTTGAACCACTATTTTTGTGACCTGAGCTTCATCGCAACGACCATGAATCACATTCTTCATGACGAGCCTTCATCAGCTCACTGATAATCAATCATCTTTTCCATGATCTCTGTTCTTCAGCGCACCATTCTTGAATCCCATATGCCGCAAGCTCCCTGCATCAGCACACCAATCTTGAGCACCTTCTTCCAATAATCGTCTGAACATGGCAGACCCACCATCAGCTGACACAGTGGCACGCGCGAATCGTCTTTTCAGTCAGCCATCGCCTGCTAAAGGAGCGAGGCAAGGCTCAGTGGCACGTCGAGTACAGCGAAATGAATCAGAATGTACCTCAACTACAGACCTCATTCAGATTCCACTGTACATGAGTGAGTCTCGTCTAGCAGCGATCCCGAGTCGATTTGACCCGAACATTTCACTGCTCGACAGCTTGGAGAAAGCTTGCGCTCTCGGAAATGCACATCAAGTTGTATCATCGATCCTGGGTAGTCTGGCAGAAGCAGCAGAGGCAGAAGCGCTAGACTTCGCCCATGTTTTACGCTATGTTGAAGAATACTCGCCATGGAAGGGACACCCGAGCCCGCAGATCAATTCAGCTATGGATCTGCTCGACTCACTCGCAGTAGGCAAAATAGCACGCTCGGTGGTCGCTATTGGCCTGCGCGCATTTAAAATCCAGCAAGCACGGCATTCAAATATCGAGAAATCATGGGGGCGTGACTGGTTCGACCAACTTCCAGAGCAATTTGTCGGACAAGGAGTGAGGAAGGCCACGTCTCTCTCGCCAAAGCTATTGTTAGAGGTTGAGAAGACAGCGATGAAGGGCTACACACTAGCAGAGACGATTGAAGCCTGGACCACAGAAGTCTCGAATCGCGGCAACTACGCATTGAGGCGAGACGGGCGACATAAAGGGCGTCCATTTACAGAATTCCTGCTTGCAGAGGATATACGAGCCCATCGTAGAGCCGCCGAGCGCGATAAGGATCAAGCCCGCAAGACGCCCGAGATTCTAGCTGCTCACCCAGTTGAAGAGCTTGAGAATGTAGCCAGTCGATTGCTCGAGAAGCGCTCGCACTCGCAACTCCAATCAAATGATCATCCTGCTGAGCAAATGGTCACGGAAGAAGACAAAACAGACGAACAGGCTCGTATGGGACAGTCGAAGGCTCCACGTCTGGATAATCACAGCGATCGCGGAAAGACTAACGGGAGTGCTTCTCGTCATCTCGACCAGAGCAGTCGTACTGCCAAAACGAATAACGTCGTTGCAAACTCAACAAGTGGTCTTCGAAACGCTGGCAAGAGCAATGCTGTCGCTAAATCGAACCCTGTCGTCACAAGTTCCGCCGACAAGAACAACGTCGCTGAGACACCTGATCAGAGCGGCGCAGGACCAGTCGATTATCATAGAAGCGATGACAACGCGGTTGTGAAAGCGAACAGTGCAAGCGCAAAAGCGGACAGCGACCATCGAGGCACAAACACCATACAAGGGAACAGCACTGGCGAGCACCCGGCCAGTGACCATCAAAGCAACGACAACATGCAATTAGTCGTGAGAGGTAGCAACGCAATTGCCAACTCGGTCGGTGTTCAGTGTGCCAATGCTGGCGTAGTGGTTGAGCTTCGTCAGGCAATAGCCAGAATTGCTGAGCTGACCGACTCTCTGATCGTGAACGCTTTGCCTTGTTCCATGTGTGAGAGATGTGAGCCATTGGCAACTCGGCTTGCTCGAAACCTAAACCTCTATGTCAAACCATTGATTGAGGATTTGGAGCATAGAGTTCAGCACAATCCAAAGTGGCGTGACACGAATTATGATGATGATTATGAGAGAAGCGATCGGCCACCGATGGGAAGAAAGGGTCTCATTTTCTTCGCCTTTGATGGTCATTGACTTAATCTAACAAACGAGTTCGACAGCGGATATTGCAACGGCAGTTGAAACGCATTGCCACTTGAGGCACACATTCTTGGAAGACAATACTTCCGCAGATTGAGATTTCATTTTGCAAAACAATTAGGAAATTTGCATTCATCAAATCATTAGTAAGCAGCATGCTGCAACTTGCGATGAGTAATCAGTCACCTTTCCCACCTGGGCAATCTTGGAATATGGATAGTGAAGGAAATCTGACGTTTCACGGAAGCTGATCATCAAGCATCTGGAAGCTGAGCGTCCACCGTGTGGAAGGTACACTGCGTTGTGAAGTGCTGTCAGCAATTTCGGATCAATTACTACTTTATAAATACAGTTGTCGCGTCCCAGCTTGGAGAATCTAACGAAATTGATGCTAGAGACCGGATATTCGTCTCACCTCTTTCGATTATCGGATTGTTGCTTTTCGGTGATCTTGATGTCTGGGTCGGAGAAGTCGCCGAAGTAGTCAAAATTCCATGCTCAAACCTCCTTAAGGTCATAGGCAGTCATCGTTAAAAGCAGGTTCAGATCTCTCCCGACCCCGCTTGTCGCTGCGCCCGCATATTCTGTGCATTCGCGTGGCGATCCACCCCGAAAGGCATAGTGAACGGTGGACATTGATGGAGCCGAACCTAGCACTTCCGATATAACACACTTCGACATGTTGGCATTAGCTGTTTGCGCAGACCTGGAAGGGTGAGAGACGAAAGCCGCCGGAGAAATTGTTTACTCTCAAAATCTAATATCATAGCTAGGGTGACCGACCTCGCGCCCATTGACACTGAAGAGAATCCGTTCTACTACACCTTCAAGGTGCAATGCACATCATGCAGAGAGACGCATCCGAATTGGGTCTCCGTCAGCCGACATGTAAGACACGATTTTTTTGGATGGGTCAATCCGCCACTGAACTCTTTCACCACAGGAAAACAATGAACAAAGCGGAAGTCGTGGCGAGGCGAATTTTGTGTGGCGCTGCAAGAACTGCAAGGTGAGCAGTACAAGCTTCAAAGCAAGATGATTCAATCGTTGCAAAAGCACTCGTTGACGAAATGTAGAGAGAGCACTCGGCCAACATCATCGAAGCGCCTAAAGTCTATGCCCAGCAAAGTCCTGCCAAGCTGCAAAATATTCTTGTCATGGACTGCAGAGGGCTGGAATTCGTCGAGTACAAGCCAGACGTAAGTGTCTTCCCGCACAGACCGCATAGAAAATTACGACAAATCTCATCTCGTGGGCGATTACCTCACGCTGACCTTTCATACAGGGCGATTGGAAGGCCGTAGGTCTCGAATCAGGGACGAAGTTCGAATCCATCGACCTGACGGAGGGAGACTGGTACGACTATGACGAGAAGTCGAGCGAGGAGGTCAGCATCAAGGATGTCAAGTGGGAGATCCGCAGAGCATGATGCGGGTGTGAATCGTTAAAGGCAGGACGGGAAACTCCGCCCGTTTCAAGCACATGAACGGATATCAGGATTGCATGCCTTGCCGTCTTCAAGAATTGCTGCAGCCAGAAATGGTAGGAATCCCACCTGGCGAGGTAGTTCAGATATCTTTCCTTCGATGTGATGGATCTCGTGAAGTTCAGCACTCGAATATCTTTCCGGTGCTGACATTGATCCTGGACCATTTCGTGCCAGAGGTCAAGCATTCCAGAAAGCGCGATGGCCAGTAGATATGATAAAGCCAGAACCAAGGTAATGGATCTGCGAACTCAAATGTCCCATCGTGCCAGAGAGATACGTGTTCCCAAACTTCGGAGATCTTCGCCCTCGTGCAATTAGTGGCGACCAAACCTAAAAGATCATGCCCGATCCAATAGTATTTTCGAGGACGAAACGGCACGACGATTTGATTCGAATCGGTCGCCTCTTTCCGACCGGGAAGGACATTGAGATATGCAGCTGCCATATCGATTGTCTGGCTGAAGAGGACCACAGCTGTATGGGCGCGGGGATTGCATTCGATGGGGTACAGAGTGATATCATCGGGATCGGCAGGCGTTGTGTCCTCGATGAGGAAGTCGAACGACAAATGCCCAGTAAAGTCTTTTCCGCTATTCAACGCCAGCTTCTTGGTGAAGTTGAGCATGGCTTTGCTCAAAGGCGAATTCGGCGGGAGCGCTTCATAGTGCATCAACAGCTCGGCAGAAGGACAGGCGACAAAGACCTTGACCTCACCACGTACTACCAGAGCATGTGTACAGAACTCGGGCCCTTGGATGAACTGCTGTATGATGAACGGAGAGCTCTCTGCAAGACCAAGTCTTGCGAGATGCTTGCTGGTCTGCTCTGGTGAATCCTTGGGTAGCGGAGTCATATCTGCCCGCTTTGAATCATCGACACCAATGGGCTTCATGATGAACTTTCTTCCTGATGGCGCATCTCGGAGAATGCCTTCCGCGGCCGAACTACTGGTGACGATATGCGTTTCAGGCACTGTGAGACCCAGCTTGCGTACATATTCAATAAAGGTGCCTTTCTCATGAAGAGTCTTCGTCATCTCGAGATTGAATTGAACGGCGCGGCATTTGCTTCGGGCTTCGATGATCTCCATAGCCTCACCATCCTCCGCAGCCGAAGCAACGCCTGAGCAGGATACCCAAAGGTCTACCTTCTCCTTGAGGATAATGTCAAGTAGGCTTTCGATGTAGGCGGTGGCACCCTGATCGACGGTAGGCGCTTTCAGTTGGTAGAACACGTCTACACAATTCGACATACCGCCACATGCTTCTGAACTGGAGTCTGCGCCGATCACACGATGTCCTGCTCGGTGAAACACTCTCGCCAGCGTCAATCCTTTGGTCATACTGACCCCCGTTACGAGGATGGTGCATGGTTCAGACGGGACCGCGTGAGGCTTTTGCGTTTGTGAAAAATCATTTTGTATTCTTGAGAGTGTGCTCCATGTGTAGGCCAGGAATAGAAGGACGAGATCCAATGGCTGAAATGCAATGCTGAGGACAATCAAAACGATGTTTTGCGCGGCGTGTTGCCAGCGCGGCGAATCTGCCGTCAGCATGATCAAATCGCTTTCAAACTGCTGCAAGCGAAATGATGTGGTGTCGTAGAGTCATGACGGGAATAATGGAAACAATAAATGTTATCACAATTCATCAATGGACATATCATGCTGACATCATCATCGGCATCCAAATCAGATCGCGCTAGTGAGGCGGATCCAATGCGGACTTCACGCCGAAGGACTACCGTCTTCGAACGATCTTTCAAGCTGCTAATAAACCTCGCAAGATATATCATCCTCGGGTGAAGTCTTGTTCAGAAAATGAGCAAACGACTCGCGCGGCAGACTGGGAATTCGATGCGCACACGTTCCTAATGGGATCTACAAGAGAAGAGAGAGTACTAGGCGCCTCTGAAGTTTGCTTTGCACGGCTCAGTTGCCGATCACGACCCTCGACCAAAATGATTCGGATTTGCTTTGATCGCGTAAATGACAGAATGACTTGGTCATACATGAGCGTGCAAAGGAGGGACCATATTTAAGCTACTGACAAGATCGTTTCCCGGGACTCATGATCGTCGGCAGCATGCGCCACGACCAAAAAGCCTCCCCATATTAGCGTACGATTTCAAGAGTGACAGGTCACAAGGTCGATGCCATTGGGCTCATAGTGTCCTTGGTTATCATTCGAACCACATAGACCATCCTGTGATGCGATCAATGTTAGAGACGGGGATGAAGTATGCATGGAGGGGGTGAACGAGGATGAGAGACGTCGAGATATTTCCCGAAACAGTGAGGGGATGTACGTACGACGTAAGCCCCCTGTCCAGTGACTGAGTTGATGGCACAAGTGATGGAAGCAGCCCCACCAGATCCGGCAATAACGCTGACATCGAAGACGTAATCGCTGCCGGACTGATATGCCTGCCAATTGTGCTGGAAGCTGCCGCAAGCTGTTCGTTGATGCGTCAGCAAATCGCACGGAGGTTGATCCTAGAAGAGCGAGGCACTCACCAGCAGAGTTCAAGGCATGGACGAATTCCTGGCAGTACGAGTCTGTTTCACAGTCAGAAGGCATTCTCGATGTCTCAACTCCGCGGAACATACCGCGGTATGCGTTGCATTCAACGCGGTAGCGATAGAGCCCTCCGTCTCCATAGGAAGTGATGTAGTGGACGGGCGCGCCAGCCTGTGCAGCCCCGGCAAGAAAGGCCACAGTGGCAAGGGTAGTAGATTTCATGGCGACCATGATGAATACGTTGTCGGTGGCGAATGAGCACTTTGTGGTTTGCCTGAAAGGTCTTGAGGCTGTAAGGTGAGAAGTTTTGGTTTGAGGGATCTATTTCGAGGACTGTTCATCATGAGGACGACGATGTCTTATATGTCTTTTTCTTTGGACTCCATCCTGTTTTCGTGTGAGGCTCGTCCACCAGTTAGGTGAGCGACGCGCAAAGTCCAACGCAGAATGTATTTCTGTTTCGGAGAGGAATCCCAAGAACACAGCTTGCTGACAACCTGGTGCATGGGTGACCAGTGTTCACAGGCGAGTGCATGCGGCATGAACGCAGAGTGCTGACAGGCGATCGAATGCGCGCGCTGCAGATGATACAATCGTCTCGGCATACCAAGCCTCGTGTTCTTCGACCCTGCGCTGATGTTGCTACAGAACGAGGGACCGCGGCGAACGAGACTGTCCTTTGGGGCGGAGCTGCACCGTCATTGCGCACCACGCATTTTTGGTGAATTAGGGCATCTGGCGGAAACCGCAAAGTGCGGTTATCATGGCCGTGATCTTGCTCTCCCGTGCAGTCAGCACGACCAACCTCGTTTCAGATCGTCGAACGTGCGTAGACCTGGAGGGCTGTGACCCGAAATGATCGACGGCGGTAGATCAGCGAAGACGGTTGGCTTGGTTGCACTTTCTCGGGCCGTTCAACTTGACGACACCAACACCAACACCAACATGGACATGGACATGGACACCCAACATGGACACCCAACTTCATGCACAATGCAAATCAGGGCTTCCAGCTTACGTTAGCGAAGGATCGTTTCTCACGTCCCTTCTGGTGAAGTCTTGTGCAGATACAATCCAGCAGCCACAATCTGCTCGGTGCTCAGATGCTAGAATCAGAGTGATGAGGATTTATGGATGGACCATGAAACACGACCGCCAGGCAAAGATTTCTTAATATCTTGTATGTTCTGCGATTCAAGTTTTGACCTCAAAGATGGAGATTACGGCTGTCGTGATCTGCAAGCGATTGGATGCGAGCGTCGTTGCCGGTGTCGATATCTTCTATTTTGACCCCGAACGCGAGTACGATGCCGTGCCATGCGCCGTCAAGGTCTACAGTCAATCCTGCTTCTTCCAATAGCTTATGGTAAGTCAGATGTCATGATAGACGTACCGGGCAGAAGTCTAAGTGGAAGATATCTGAACCCTGCAAAATTGCGTGGAAACCTGGTACAATATCAACCAGGTCATCCCGAGACACCCGTGAGTGCCACTTCTGCTACGGCCGAATCGTGAACTGTTGGTCAACCTGATCATAGGAGATTTCATTCTGCGTAACTCTCGAAAAGCGTGATCGGAGAGACATTTTGTTTTCCTCTTCAAATTGAGATTCATTGATTCATCACGAGCATGAGAGCTGCGGAAAACGAAATGAGCACCACAACGATATAGCTTGCGTGACCAGAACAATTTCCAAAGTGAACTTCTACTTGTGCGCCCACTCAGCCTTCTTCTTCTCCGCAAAAGCCTTCATTCCAATCTTCTGGTCTTCGCTTCCGAAAAGACCGTGGAAGACCCTCCTCTCATACTCCACACCCTCCCGGATGCCCAAGTCCTGACTCTTGTTGACAACCTCTTTACCCGCCTTGACCGCAATCCGCGAGTAGCCTGCGATAGTCTCGGCCGTCTTGAGCGCTCCCTCGAGACACTCCTCGGGCGTGGGGAAGACCCTCGCCGCCAGACCCCAGTCGTACGCATCCTGTCCGCTGAAGCTCTTTCCCGTGAGGATCAACTCCATCGCGCGGCTCTTGCCCAACGCAGCCGTCAAACGCTGCGAACCTCCTGCGCCAGGGATGATTCCCAGCTTGATCTCGGGTTGTCCGAAGTTGGCCTTCTCCGAAGCGTAGAGGATGTCGGCCATCATGGCCAACTCGCAGCCGCCGCCGAGCGCGTGGCCGTTGACGGCGGCGATGACAGGTTTCTTGATTGTGTTCGGGATTTCGGACCATGACTCGATGAAGTCGGCGCCGTAAGCCTCGGCGAAGGTCTTGGTGGACATCTCCTTGATATCGGCTCCGGCGGCGAAGGCTTTCTCGGATCCGGTCAGGACGACCGCGCCGATGCTGGCGTCCTTGTCGAAGGCTTTCATGGCGGTGTTGAGTTCGGTGATGAGGGGAGTGAAGAGTGCATTGAGGGCCTTTGGTCGGGAGAGCTCAACTGTGATATATTCATGTCAGAAAGTTCCTATCCGTAGGGAATCGCTGTTTCAAGGTGCAGGTTCAGTCCTACCGAGTCCGACGCCAGGTCGTGGAGTGGAGACCTTGATGTGCTCGAAGCTCTGCTCAGCGACGCTCGAGTACCGCACTCGTAGTGGGACCATGAATCTGCCGAACTGAGTGGCGCATGGTCGCAGCTTTGAGGACAACATGGTTGTGGTGGAGTGCAAAAAAGTCCGACAGGATCGTCAACTCTTTTGGAATGTCTCCAGAGGTTTGAAGTCAATGGGTTATCGGATAGCTCACGTCGGAGCTTTGGCCGCGGGAAAGCCCTGACGTATGCTGTGGCCGACGCTGGAGATCCTTTGGTTGCTGTGGCGCATGCATTAACATAATTCAGTCACTCGTTTGATCGTCAGGTGTTTCTGGTTATGGTAAACGTAGTGTTAATACTGTATGATGTTCACTGTATTCAATGGCAGGATCAAAAGTAGAATTCGAATTGTAAAATGAGAAATGCTAGGATTGAACTCGAGGCAATTTGCAACAGCGACAGCATTCAAGCAGAACATATTCAAGCAGAATACCTAAAATCTAGCCGACTACATCGTCGCAGCAGCTACATCATATCTTCAAGGATTGGCAAGCGTCATGGCCACGCTGCCTCGCCAGGTGTAAGATCTTCATTGATGATGTCGACACTCCGCTCAAGGCCTTTTCTAGCACAGCTCTTCTGGCGTGCGTGGGAGCGTCGGCAGGATTCGTGACCTAAATCACGACTCAGATGGAGATGCTGAACGCGAGAAGCATAGCATGCTACCACATTCGAGCTCGTTTCGAAGTGCATTTTTGTTGCGCACCCGACTTCGCTCTGGTCTGTTGGCCAGTGGCATTGCCACAGCACTGGTGCCGGCGCTGCTTCTTCGCTGGTGGTCTGCCTGAGTTAGGCAGTGCGTCGAGGATCGGGTGGTTCTCTGTGTGCATTCGATCCCCACGACACGATATATGCGAGAATCAGAAAATGGGTGAAGATGTTCAGGATTTTGAATCACTGCCGGTTGAATGTTGCTCTTCGTCGTCACTGTCGTCCTCGTCATCCTCGCTGTCATCATCGTCGTCGTCCTCATCAGAAGACGTCGAATCGCTTGATGCGCTACTGCTCGCTGTGCTCAGTCCCTGTGGCATGAGCAGTGCAAGGGTGCGCTCTAACTCATCGTTGTCATGAGGTAGACCTGGTCGAGGGATGGTAACATTCGAGGAAGATGACCCATTCGGAGGTTGTGGGCACTCCTCCAACACGCCACAAGCCAATTCCAGCGCGATGTGCTCGCCATCATCCGGACAATCCTCAGCCTCCATGTTCTGTTCCGCTTTCAGTTCCTGGTTTGATTTCGCGAGCGCGGGCATGAATAGATCAAGTCTGGATCGGAGATCATCCGCTACTGATTTGGCGCCGTCTAATTTCATGATGGGCTTTCGTGGGTTGCCGATGTTGATTCTCTCCTCCGTTGAACGATTCTGTGGCCGAGCATCGTCTCCAGACATCACAGTATCGCTGCAGCGATCTGCATCGTTCGAGCTCATGCCGGCGTCTGTTGCCTTTGATCGATTTACTTGAGTATTGCTCCCGGAATTATTCTTGGGAGACGACGGGTTCATCGTGTCCGTCTCCCGTTGCCCATTGCGCATGAAGATATGTAGTTTATGGACGTTAAAAAAAATCTCAACCCATAATTCCTCGGCGTTATATATTGGGGACCATTTGTTTGCAGGATAAAATCTGGCGTCACATCTCAAACTTTCTAGACCCACCTGCATACAACCTTAAAACTCAATGGCCTTTCTCAAGAAGTTTGGACGCCGGTCATACGGTGGCCGACAGCGCTCCCTGCGGAAGTTCATCCCTCACATTTTGTTTCGTATGCCGTACGCTTGCTCACTCTCACCACGCAGAAACGACAACGCAATGGATTCTCTCAAAGGAAGTGCTGACAAGACACAGTACAAATCTTTCTTCACCAAACAACTTTGTGAGATTAGTTAACGCACTGTGAGGCCCAACGCTCCAAGTGTGGCTGATAGTTACAAAACCTCCATTCACAATTCACCGCAATCGTCCTTCCCCAAAAAGAAGAACAAAGAAAGAATCAATCAGTCCCAGTTACACGAATTGCTCCAAGGGTGCAACCAACACGAGCAGTCCCAGCCCCTCGCCGGACAAACCCCATCAAAAGCTTCCGGGGGTTCGCGCGCCTCGAGGACGGCGGCGACGCTTCTTCGCAGATCGTCCGAGTCCGCCTCCAACAGGCCGTTGGGGGCCACGTGCCTGAGGGAACCCCAGTCACTACTGACCGTGGGCCAGTGTGGTTTCGGAGTCTCTGGTCGTGATGTTGGGAGGCTGAGGGCGGTTGTGGCGAAGAGGAGTACACTTGTGAGCTTCATGTTGTGATCTTTTGCCCTTTCCCGTGGTGATGTGATGTTTGTTGTGAGATGCGAGGTGAGGTCTCAAGACTCTCCTGGTGTGTGGCGATGTAATGATGTGATGTGAGATTTGAAATTTGTCGGATAGGAAACTCTGAATGTGAATTGTGAGTACCTAGGTATATATATATCATCTCGGGCACTTCACGACGCTATATTGGCGACGATTACCTAGAAATCACGATGACCGCAGATGATCGCCTTCACCACCCGTGCCCGCACCCGCTTACCACATCTGTGATCTCAGATCCCAATGAGGCCTTGGGATTGACTGCCGCGAGAGAAAACGGGAAACGCGAACAAGTCTAGCGAACATTATCGTCGGAACCAGGACCGGTGACAGTGATGCACCTCGCCGTACGAATGTTTCCGCGCCGCAACATCAAAGGTACAAATTGAAACCTTCGAGTTTCCTGGCTCGCACTACAGGCAATAGTTCCGAATTGACCTGGACGCAACAGTCGTCCTGCAATACTGTACGTATACGTACAGTCCGTGTATAGGAAAGTTACTTTTAGAGTTGCATGCGTAGGGAATCCGCCTGGGGTTGCATCTTTCAGCCGAACCCGCGGGGTATTCTATGATATTTGGCCTGCCCGTGTTTCTGGCGATGACGCAAAAGGGCATTTGCAGAACGCTTTGCTTGCCGAAGTGATGTTACCTACCTGTTTGGTAGGTAACAGTAGGATACTGCAACCAAACACCAAGTCATCGGAAACGTCCGTATTAGTGGATGCGGTTCGATGAACTGGACTTACCAAGAAGATATCGTGATAGTCATTAACGGACAAACATTGCCGGCCCGTAAGTATGCAGACAGATCAGGAATGTCTGATGTCACGAATATTGAGCAACCATTTTCGTAGATTGATCCCATCAACTGGAAGCGAAAAACTTCACTAGCAGCCCGTCGAGGTCCAACGCGAAATCTCGTCAGACAATACTCGCCATGGCTGCTTCTGGGGACAATGACGCCTTTCCGTGGCATTTGGGGATATTCGATGCGCATTGCCATCCCACCGACAACCTGAACAGTCTGCGAAAGATCCCGGGCATGCGCGCCAAAGTCTTGACGGTGATGGCGACGCGCTCACAGGATCAATCGCTCGTCGCAGAAGCCGCAGACGAATTCGGTGTGGTACAAACGGATGCGATACATGCAGATACCGATTGGAGGTATGTCAGGCGATGCTCTTCCTATTGTCTGGGTTGCTCCGTTCGAGTTGCGCTGACTAGTCGTGATCTAGCCAAGAGCAAAAGATTGTGCCGGCTTTCGGCTGGCATCCGTGGTTTTCCCATCAATTATATGACGAATCACAATACGAAGGACGACTCTCGCTCAGCCAAAGTGAAAAGGCTCATCACTATCGCCGGATATTGGCTCCTGCGCCGAAAGATGAGACTTGGCTTCAGACCCTACCTGATCCTTCTCCACTCGGTCGCTTTCTCCAGGAGACGGAAACATTCCTGGAGAAGTATCCGGTCGCACTGATCGGTGAAGTCGGATTGGACCGCTCCTTTCGCATTCCTGAACCATGGGGACCAGCAGAGGCCGAGAAGCGAGATGCCAGCGTCACGGCAGGTGGGCGTGAATCGCGAAAGCTAAGTCCATTTCGAGTGAGCATCGATCACCAGAAAGAGATCCTACTCGCACAACTCCGACTGGCCGGGAGATTGCAGCGGGCAGCTTCAGTCCACGGAGTGCAAGCTCACGGTCACGTATATGATACTCTCGCGGAGTCGTGGAAGGGCCACGAGAATCAGGTGACCTCGCAACGAGAGCGAAAAAGGACAGCTTCCGCCATCAGTCGCAATGCGCAACCGGTAGAAGAGGAATCGCAGAGTGACAAGGAATCAAACGTGGAACGGCCATTCCCACCGAGGCTGTGTTTACATTCATACTCCGGCTCTGCCGATGCAGTCAGCCGATATCTTGCTCCTGCTGTCCCCTGTGATGTCTTCTTCAGTTTCAGCTCAGCGGTCAATTCATGGGCGGATGACGGATCAGGCAAAGTCGAAGCTTCTGTCAAGGCTGTGCCGGATGGCAACATCTTAGTCGAGAGCGATCTTGATACTGCCGGGGAGAACATGGACGCCGCGCTCGAGGAAGTCGTTCGGAAGATCTGTAAATTAAAAGGTTGGTCGCTCGACGACGGCGTTAGTCAACTAGGACATAATTGGCGCAGGTTCGTCTTTGGCCATTCCTGAGAATTGTTTGCATGAAACATCTTTCGCGAATATCTACATCACGCCAGGAGTGACCTATCCGTGTTGGATGTCGGCTAGCTCAGGGCACGGCATTCGATCCCTCGATGTGCTGGAGAACATCATTCACCATCGAGGAGTTTTCGACATTCTGTAGGGTCATCTTTCCTATGAAGGGCTGAACCAGCTTTGAGGCTCATGGGCCGTAATCTGCTGCACATATGTGTCGGCGTAGTGATCGTCTCGTTCAGGTTGTCAAAGACACACTAGCAAGATAGTTGGCTAGCTTCAGGTGAACATTGTCGCCGATGCTTTGAAATCAGATGTAGCTGTTTCCCGTCGTCGCATCACCCAGTCTTCTGGCCATCTCAAGTCCGCAGTCACGCAGCTTCAGCGAGCGCCACGCAAAGGCAACCTGATTTTCGGTTGTGGTCGTGGTGCCGCTCTCCCATTGAGTCTGGGCTCACTATGACCAATGCTTGTAAAAGTCATGCAAAGCTCCGAAGACACGCCGTGATCATCTCACAGCGAGTCGTGCCGGCCGAGTCAGACTTATCGGCGCGCATGCCGGTTCTGGAGGGAATCCTGCATCGCGACTCATGCAATGCCGTGGAATGGCGGATGGTCGTTTGTTTCTCGGAGCAAAGCCGCAATTGAGTAAGTCGATGCTGGAACGGGCCCCGGATTCCGATCCGGGATTTAGGAAAGTATCGCCGAAGCACGAGGCAAATTTCCAATGTTGCGATCCGTGTGTCGTCATGGCTGGGCACGGGGTTCGAGATGTTTTACGACATGCTTTGTAATAATGGTGTTTGCCTGTTCGGCTGTCAATGGATCTCATCACTGCACAAGTATTATTAGTGGGTCCTGGAGGAGGTATAAAGCTAAACCGAATAGACCAGAGTCCAAGATGCTCTCTTATTCCCCTCACCAATATTCACATCACCACAGAACTCCACCGTAAATATGGTTCAAAACAAGGGACTCATCTTTACAGACGTCCCGGTCGGCTGGCCAAAGATCGGGAAAGATCTCAAGGTCGAAACCCGGGAATTCGATCTCGAACAAGCACCGCCAGCAGGCGGCATCACCGCCAAAGTGCACTACATCTCCTTCGACCCCTACCAGCGTGGCCGCATGCGCAAGCCCGAAGTCAAGAGCTACGCGCCACCCTTCGAGCTGAACAAGCCTGTGACGAACAGCGGCATCATCACCGTGATCAAGAGTGACAACAGCAAATTCAAGGCCGGCGACGTCCTCTATGCGCCCAACACCTACACAGAAGAGTACAATGCCCTCGAGGCCGGCCGCGCCGACGCCTGCAAGGTCCTCGACAACCCCTACAACATCGACCCCAAGACCTTCGTCGGCGCGCTGGGCATGCCCGGTCTGACGGCATACAGCTCCTTCTACGCCATCGGCGAGCCCAAGAAGGGCGAGACGATCTTCATCTCGGCAGCGTCCGGCGCCGTGGGCCAACTGGTCGGACAGCTCGCCAAGCACGAGGGGCTCAAGGTCATCGGCAGCGTAGGCGACGACAAGAAGTTGGAGTACATCACCCAGGACCTCGGCTTCGACGGCGGCTTCAACTACAAGACGGAGAAGCCGCTCGAGGCGCTCCAGCGGCTCGCGCCGGACGGCATCGACATCTACTACGAGAACGTCGGCGGCGAGCAGCTCGAGGCGGCCATCTCCCACATGAAGGACTTCGGCCGGATCATCGCCTGCGGCATGATCTCGCAGTACAACGCGACCGAGCCGTACGGCGTCAAGAACCTGATGAACGTCGTGGCCAAGCGCCTGAAGATCCAGGGTTTCATCGTGGGCGACAAGAACATGGGTCCCGTCTACGCAGCGGAGCACCAGAAGAACATCCAGAAATGGATCCACGATGGGAGCTTCAAGGTCAAGATGAGCGTCACCGAGGGCATCGAGAACTCCGCCGAGGGTCTGCTGGGCATCTTCGAGGGCAAGAACTTTGGCAAAGCGGTCTTGGTCGTGAGTGAACTGAAGCAGTAAAGGGAGAGCGTTACTTCCGGGGAGCGATGAGTGGTGCTGCTCTGTGTATAGTATATAATGAATAATGGCAACAAATTCACACCATGGAGTTTGTTCCTTTGCTTTCCATGTCGAGCAGCCTGCCGAATTTGCACCGCCATTGTAATCCTCCTCTCCTCACCTCTCTTCTTCTGGGCACGTCGTCAGTAGAGCTATCGACCCTCGGTATGGTTTTTGTCGTGTCCGGCCAACCTTCAAATTGACTTCCCAAGTCGGGAACATGCATCGGCATGGGCAGCGAACGGATCTATTCCAATCCGCGCGACTCAAGCATTTCTGCTCATAGTCGCTGTTGCAGCGTATGCGCATAGCTAGCAGACCCTCCATGCAACTCCACCTAGGCACGATTCGAGTATGCAACAGCGGAGCATGACAACTAGGATCCTTCCTCGTCGCCATGATATCGCTCGGTGTATGCATTCGGGCTCGACAACCCGGAGCTGCTGTCCAGGTGCTAATGACATACGCAGGCGACGGACGTGCGGCGTCGCTTCTGTTGATCGTGATCTCGAAGGAGCCGGGTCCACGGCACAATTCCCCCTTCGAATGGCTGGAATAACCAACGTTCGACCAGCTTCATGAATACCCATGTGTCGCGCACGACAGGCAACTCCGTGATTCCCGAACCAATGCACAACCGTTGCAGACCATCCGAGAACAATACCGGCATGCCAGCTCATTTGCCATCACACTTTCGTCCAAGTCCATGGCGCCCTCGTCTCTCAGAGGTACATCGCAGTCCTCGCAGCTTGTACCAGGCACCCCCAATGGTTCTCCTAGGATGGACGGCGGCGCACACATCGGTGTATTGACCTTCCAGAACGAATGAAGGGTGCTGCGCTGTGTTGGCTGGCTCGGTTCTGGCGTCATCTGAACTTGTGGTGACGGAATCGAAGTGGCGTCCGGCAGCCGTCGTTGTGCGTCATACAGTTTGCTGATTGTGGTCGCTACAAGTCATGAAATGTCAGTCTGCTGCTTCGGTGCCTTGGAGGGAATCAAAACTCAGCAAGGCATACCGAAAATGGCTTGCTCGTCAGGTCGGTTGTCTCTGTATCGTTTTCGCGTGCGACTGTTCAGATGACAGCTGGAGGAGTATTCTTCGTTGCCGCCATGGAAGGAATCGTTCTTGGAGTACGGAATATTCGAAGGCTTGCTTTGGGCGTAGAATATCGACGATAGCGGGCTCGGCGCAGAGTAACATGTGCTGCCGGCATCTGACGACGAAGCCGAGGACGATGAAGTGATGGAGGATCTTTTCCGCTTGAGAGCCATTGTGAAATATACAGTGTGTGTCGAATCTAGAATAATAACACCGCTCGGTATGTGATTATTGGGCGCCGGACAGAGACTCAGATCGTCGTGTGAAGGACGTTGGTTGCTGTAGTGGGAGACATTGGTAGGCGACGCGCAGGTTAAATGGCTTTGCGCGCGACGCGTTGATGCGCGTTCACCACCGAGCACTTATTATTTCTAAAGCCCCGATCTGTACGGAGCCTTCCAGGCATGAGAGGATAGGGTTTGGGAAATATCACGTGATCTCGGTCTATCAGAGGCTACAGCATCATTGATTGATTGATTCCAGGGTCCGCGGGAATGAACATTTCGATGTATTGCGCCAGACGACTCATTCGATTAGAGACAACAACATCCACACGAATATCCATCATCGGTAACATCATCAAAGGTCGTCAACATGGGTGGGCCAAATTTAGAAGTGTTCAAGGTATGCAAGATCCGCATCATTCTGTCGCAGAAGACCGGACATTGACCATATCTCAGTTCGGCATGTACATCATGTTCCCGATCGGGTTCATGTACTACTTCGGCATCAACCTCGACTCAAGATTCGCCGTTCCGGATTTCTGGCCCAAGAAGGAGGAAACCCACACGATCCCCTTCGATAAAGAGGACATCGCACAGGAACTCGCGCGACTCAAGCAGCGAAGATTGGCTGCACGAGCGCACCGACTGGCGATGGAAAGTCGGGGCATCGACACCGAAGTCACCACACGCCAGGACGAACAGAAAACTCACCCACGGCCTACGATTCTCGAAGCAACTACATTGCAGGAGCCTGAGAAAAGTCAGGTGGCGAGGCAGAACGGATGGAAGAGCTGGTTTGGATGAGCATTGGGTGCAATCAGGACTTGCGAGTTTGTTATGGGCGGATTTGGCTTGCGACAAAAACGGGGAGCTTTGCGCCTTACAACTGGGACCAAAACTTCACTCCGCTGATATCACGAGTTCGGGCCGCGCACTCGCGCATATCTCCAATTGCACCGTCGTCTGCAAATGCTGCACTCCGCTGGGGTTTCATTTATGCGCATTCATGATCCTTTCTTGATCTAAAAAGCAGCCCTTTGGACTCGGCGACTGCTTCACGGCCATGCCTCTCCAGCACGACACATCCCCTACGCCAGCAGATATTTGGCAGCATGCTCCACATGATCATCAGCAAATGTACTTATGAAGAAGTAGCTGTGATCGTATCCATCTTGGAACCGCACCGTAATGGACTTCCCTGCCGCCTTCGCAGCCTTCTCGAAATTCTCTGGCAACAGCTGCTTCTGGTTGTAGAAGTTGTCTCCAGTACCCACATCGATGAGGATGTCCGTCGCGTTCGGGAACTTGGCGATGAGCTCAGTGGCGTCGTGCTCCTTCCATGCGGCCTTGTCCTCTTGGCCGAAGTATCCGCCAAAGGCTTTCTCTCCCCAGGGGCATTGCGAAGGGTTCGCGATTGGAGCAAAAGCTGAGACGGACTTGTATTTGCCTGGGTTCTTGAGGAACAAAGTGAGCGCGCCATGACCGCCCATGCTGTGGCCAGTGATGGACACGCGCGAGCCGTCGAGCTCCTTGAAATGGGCAAAGAGCGCCTCCGGAAGCTCGCTTGTGATGTAGCTGTACATCTTGTAGCCCTTGCTATAGGGCTCCTTGGTGGCATCGACGTAGAAACCTGCGCCACTGCCGAAATCATAGCTCTCGTCTTCACCTGCAATCCCCAGCCCACGCGGACTCGTATCGGGATAGACCACAGCAATGCCCTTCTGCGAAGCCTTGTGTTGGAGGAACCCCTTCTCGGCGCCATTGTCGCCGGTGCAGGTTAGACCGGCCAAGTAGAACAGGACTGGTGCCGCTTGGGAGGCACTGGCCGTGGGAGGCAGATAGAGGTTCAGCTTCATCTGGCAGCCCAGAACTTTGGACTGGAAAATTCTCACATCAGGATTCCGCATGACCGTTATGCATTCCGTTTGATCGAGATGCATACCTCGTGTGCCAACTTCAGCAGCTTGCCTCCGAAGCTGTGGATGGTGGATTGTGTTTCGAACGACATCTTGAGATTTGCAGAGATGGCCTGCGAGATGTAGTCTGAGTGATAGCAACAATGGAAACCGGTGCTTGACAAGTCTGGTCGTGAAGCACTGGTGGAGTAAATGAATGCGATGTACTAATAAAGCGATGAGGCTCTATCCAACCTGTATGGAAGCGTAGCTAGGTATATAAGATACATGGATGTCTCTCGCGGTCCCGCAATGAAGCCGTGAATGCTAACAACTTTGCGATGATAATATGTACTGGTACGTCACCAGGTGCGCTGGGTCAAATGCCCCACGATTCCGTCACCTCCACGCGCGGGATCCTTTCCATTTGGGCCACGCTGCACGCTGCAAGGGTCTAGATCTCAACCATTGACTTGCATATTGTTATTTATTTGTTATTTCATCATGTCTGAAGAGTTGCAAGATCGACTCTCTGTATAATAACGAATAACGCACCGTCCACATCTTCACGACCTGACCATTCGCCTCACCAACACTGTCTCTACCGACTATGTACACTTTCGTGCTCGCTGTCGCGCTGGCGCTCACGCGGCACGTTCAAGCGCACGGCGATCATGGCCACTTCCAAGAGCCAATTGCCGTTCCAGCAGGCGCAGACTGGGTAACTCGACACATGGCCGGTGAGACCACCTGAACCCACACACAAACACACACTAGGAACAGAGAAAGAGAGGGAGGAAAAGGACATTTCATGGCTCCCGAGTTGTCATCCTACCGTTTCAGACTTATGCTGAGACGGAACTCATCACAGAGGAGCACCTGATCCAATACTTTGACGCCGGGTCCTTCTTCACTCTGCACGACTTCGACAACACCAACGAGTGGACCCGCGACGACCTCATGAAGACCTACGGCCTCTTCGACGTCAGCACAAACCACATCTCCGAGGCGGACAAACACGCCGCCATCGACCGCATCATCACCGACTTCGACCGCGACGGCAGCCGCACCATCTCCTTCGCCGAGTACACTATCGGCGTCGGCCGCGGCCTCTCCCTGCCGGATCTTGGCTGGGGACCGGGACACCACGGCGACGACGAGTACGAGTACGAAATCCATCACTTCGAGAAGTTCCACGGTCCGGACGCCACCTTGGAGGATCTGACGCATCCCGAGGATATTGCGCACTTCAAAATGCACGATTTGATGGACGAGCAGGCGGAGAGGCAGGAGCGCTTGGACGCGATGCCGATCGTGGTGGAGAATATCCCAGCCAAGTTCCGGAGGCAATGATCTAGTGCTGTTTATATGCTTGCGGGCGGCGTTTCGGGGGGTTTGCTACGGGTCGGGTGGTCTTCGGCGATTACGAAGGAGGTGTTCAAAAGTTGGGGCGTGTTTTGTTTCTCGATGTCTTTGACTTGTGACCTCTTACACCTCGGCGGATCATCTTGAGAGAATTTTGGAATTCTGCAATCGTGAAGCGGCAGACAGCTCAGTAATGTTTTCGAGTTCCATCATGTGGACCCGCCCGATTGTGACACGTTCTCCTCCAATGACGATGGCGGCGGGACGCATAGATCGATGACGATGTGGACCACCCGCGGCGCGAAATTCTTCAACTTGTAGACATGCTCGAGGGCAACAGCCGTCGTTAACGAAGTCTCGGGCGCAAAGCCATCGTCGACATGCTCACACAACGCCGATCGACTCCTCTTCCCCCTTGCACGCCCAACTTGAACCTCTACCCAAGCCCTCTCGAACTCGGATCTCGTCTCCTCCGCCTTGGCCGCGACATCCTTTTCCGCAACGTTCTCATGCACATGCACCCATCCGCCCAGGATGGGATCTAGAACCTGCGCCGCGATGGCTAGACTCGCGCGCGAGCTGGGCAACATGCCACAGTTGACGTGCCGGATTGGAGGGAGATGCGCTCGGAGGGCGGCTATGCGCGCGGGAGCACGATTGTTGTTCTCGGGGAAGACGAGGAAATTCGGTCGCTCAGCGCCGGGATGTTCGGCGGTGAGGGATGCGAGGGCGGAGGTCGTTCGCGTTTCGTTGGGTCCGATGCTGGCCGTTCTCGCGGCCTCGCCTGATTCTTGGGTTTCTGGAGCTTCCGCGCAGATTCTCACCCGCCATTTGTTCTTTACAGCGCCCCTCCGTAGACCCTCTACACTCCATGGGTTCAAGTCCCAGCAGACGACAATGTCCGCGCCTGCCTTGATGTACGAGAAAGCAAAGTAGCCAATCCCAGCAAAGAGATCTACGACACCACACCCAGGAATTCGGCTTTCATGTCCATCGTGCTGCTTGCCGTCTTTGATCGCCTTCTGAACCGATGCCAATTGTAATAGCCGCGCCTTCTCACTGATGTTGCCACGACTGAACATGGTCCAGCGTGGAGCCCAGACTTGCCAGATCCCATTCTGCCGAGCGAGCGCCCAGAAGGCCGCATCAAAATCCGCACGCGTGGGAGAATTCGCGAGGGGCGTCGTGGGCATGGGGCCGAAGTCGCCGTACAGGGGTGTGAAATCGTGAGGAGCACGAAGAATGTTTTCGTCTTCGGGTTCCGTCTCCTCTGCTGGATCATTCGATTCCATATGAGGACTTTCCAGTTCAAACTGTGCGCTGCCCAGTCGATTCCGTGGTGGAATGGGTTTGTTCGCCGCGATATGTGTGACTTTCATTCTTGACGCCATGCTGGCGAGGAGACAATTGAATTCCGAGCTCGTGGGAATCCAGTCCAGTTCTCGCCAGAGCGGCCCATCGATGGTGATCGCATCGGCTGGTAGAAGGAGCATGTTCGTGTACAGAGTATATCTGCTGAAGGCCTTGACGATGCGATTGGTATCTGGCGGTGATGGTGTCGCCGAGAAGCTGGCGAGCCATTTCTTTACTGTGGAGTCCATGATGCCACGCGCAACCGATGCCAAATTCTACCAGTCTGAGATCTATTTCTACGTTCGGAAGGTACTCGGTGCAGACCTCCGATGTCTTGGCTGCTGTCGATTGCCGCCTACTTGCGATTTATTCCGGTCTGAGATGCCGTCAGTCCCGGTGGAATTCTCCGACACGGGCCGAAGACGCCTGAGTAGATGAAGACTCGTTCTGACACTTTTTGAGACGATGTTCATATCATTGTGTTCTCAGCTTTTCATGTCCACCTGGACACGGGTCTTGAAAGATTGAAGGTGTCTCTTCTGAGACCCGTTGTGAAGATGATCCTGCCAATAGGCTTCATACTCGCCAGCACGATGTGTCAGGGCCTAGGCGAACGACGTTGCGGACGACTTTTGAGGAAGTTGTCGACGATATCACCTGTGGCGGAAATCGATCTAGTCCACGCATATCATCCTTTGTCCGTCGTGGGTCGTGTGGGAGTCGAGGCTGAAATTCAGCAGCCTACTGTACGCAAGTGCCTGCCCGCCCGCCCGCATTCGGCTTTGCGGCTTAAATTTTCCGCGTCGAGAACACGACCGACGTCAGAATGTCTCAGACCAGGCAGCGGGGAAGACAAGAGTTTGTTCCATTACAGTCCATACAACCGTTGGCCCATCGAATTCATATATAGCCAAGTTCTGGTCTTCCCTCACGGACTTCCCACTCTTCGCGCATCTTCACCTTGATAACGCACCGCGACATTCTATACTGGCGCGTCCAATGGTTTTCTCCAAGAGCCTCGTCGCCGCCGCCGCGCTGCTGGTCGCGCAGCAGGTCGCCGCTGTCGTGCCTCAGTCTGTGGGTCAGCTTCCCACACACACGCTTGCTCAATATGGCAGCGATGTAGTCTTGCGCTTCAACATCTCGTCGAATGAAGAGTTGTCGAGCCTGAATGAGGCTGTCGACACTCTACTCCTTGACGTGTGGGATCGCCGAGCGGCGCAGCGACAGATGGATATCCGACTCGACACGGCTTCTGTGCCTTTGCTCCTAGGTCTGCTGCCGGAATCGCTTCAATCAGCTCACGAGTCCTTACTCCAGGGACGCGCTCTGGTCGACGCCATCGCCGACACGTACCAATCGGTTGGTCACCGAAAATTTGACGGTCACGTGCCCTCTTTCCTACAAAAGCCAGTACCTGGAGGAAGTCACGACGAGGGGCGAGGAGAGCAGACGGATCGCACGACGGGAGATGTGCAAGCGGACAAAGATGGCAATGATATCTTCTTCCAGAATTACCAGCCGTTGTCGGCTATTCAACCGTGGATGCAGCTTCTCGCCTCATTGTACAGCCATTACGTGAGTCTGGTCACCATCGGCCAGAGTGCAGAGGGTCGACCGATCCAAGGATTGCGCATCGGCGTCAGGCCTACCATCCCGAGACTCATCACCCGACCGCGTAAGACCATTCTTATTGTGGGAGGACTCCATGCGCGAGAGTGGATTGGCACCAGCACCGTCACTTACATCGCCAACAACCTCGTGAAGTCGTATGGCAAATCGTCAAAGGTGTCGCGTCTGCTGGAACACTTCGATTTCGTATTGATTCCTACCCTGAACCCGGACGGCTACGAGTACACATGGACCACAGACCGACTCTGGCGAAAGACGCGACAGGAGACGAACACTCGCTTCTGCCCCGGCATCGACCTTGACCGGAGCTTCGACTTTGCCTGGCAAGCTCGCGACAATACATGTAGCGAGAGCTTTCCTGGCGACGAGCCCATGGCCGCAGTCGAGGCCGCATCGCTCGCCGCCTGGGCGCAGAACGAGACGGAGCACAACAACGTCGTGTTCCAGGCGTTCGTAGACCTTCACGCATACTCGGAGACCATCCTTTATCCGTACAGCTACACCTGCGAAGCCCAGCCGCCGTCTCTAGAGAACCTAGAAGAGCTGGCCGCTGGTCTCCGCCGCTCCATCATCGACATCCACGGTCATCGCTATTCGCTCATGCCCGCTTGCGAAGAGAACCTTTTCGCAGGCTCGTCAGCCGGAGCGACGACGGAGCCGGAGCCCGCAGGTGGCTCGGCGCTCGACTACTTCTATCATGTCCGCGGAGTTCGCTACTCGTATCAGATCAAGCTGCGGGATCGTGGCAGTTACGGCTTCTTACTCCCGAGGGAGCACATCATCCCAACAGGCAAGGAGATTACCAACGCAGTTGTTTTCATGGCGGACTTCCTCCGCGATGCGGATAATGACGATGATGATGACGACGACGATGAGGATGAGCTTCTCGCGGCGCCTAAGAGCGACCTTCGCAGAAGACGGTTTTAGTTTGATTCGGCTTGTTTTTCAACGACGGAGTTGTTTGGTTTTCTTCGGTGCTGGGTGAATTTTAATGATCATGAATCATATTTTCTGCTTCGCCATAATCGGTTATTCCGTGTGTAACGATGAGTCCAATTCACTAGAGGATCATGTTCTTCGTGAAATGTAATAAAGAGCGCAGTCCTTGTAGTGGATATTTTCACGTGTTCAGCGTGCGGACTGTCCTCGAATATTGGCCATGAGAACAAAAGACCTGCTACGTTCGCTTCAGCCCTCCAATATTGACCACCATCGATATCGTATCGGCCCGTTGCAGAACTTCATAATATTGCTCACATCCGAATCCATATTTCTTGTGTGCAGAGCCTCATTCCATCATCGGTCGATTTGCAGTTCCGCGACGCCAGATTGTTGGAGCAGGCGATCGTCTGCCACGCAACGATGCAAGAGGCACTCGTCTACTCACAGATCTCCGCCACGCGCGTGCATCAAGTCCTCAGCATACTCGCGGGTCTGACAGGGACCCAGCCGGTGCCTCTATGCGAGCAGACGCTGCTGTTCGCGCAGAACAAGCCTACGACAGCGGCCCCGACAGGCGCCGCGCGGACCAAAGCCCAGCAACTCCAGCGCGAGCAGCAGCAACAGGCGGCAAGACCACATCATCACAAGCTCTCCCGAGATCTGCATAGCGCGCCATCGAATGTATCTGCGGTAGACGGCAAGGCTCACCTCGCCGCCGCCGCCGCCGCCGCCAGTCCGTGGATCTTTCGCGCAGAGCAAGTCCCGGAGCCGGGCACGAAAGAATGGCTCTCCCGCGCGGTCACGGAACATGTCGCCACGGCCGAGGAATTGACACGGTTCCGCTCCGTCCACGAAGACCCAAGCGACGGCGAAGCGAAACCTTCTCCCCCGGCATATTCCTACAAGACTCAGTATATCGTCCGCGGACACCGTGTCGTCCACGCCAATGTCGTGATCAGCATCTTTCAGATCCTGGTGGAAACGCTCCAGACCGCTGGGACCGACGGTGCGGCCCAAAAGGAGGACCCTCTAGATCGCCCGCCGCCGTCCCCGGCCAGCCTGCCCTCGAGCGAAACATCAGCCTCCCAGACGTCCTCCGATTCTGCAAGCTGGCGACTCCTCGATGCCAGCGGTGCGCACATCGTCGAGGCGACCGTCCGCGTGGCCGATCCCAGCAATGCCCGATTGACGGGCGTCGCCGTCGAGGAACTGGCGGCGTTCAAGGCGGAGATGGCGGGCGCGGTGGATTTCTACATGCCTGATCGGTTTGCACTCGATACACGTGTCAAGGCGTAACAACATCGGCAGCTAGTACATTTATTACACTCCCTAAGCAGACGCGAGGGGAGTCTTCAATTACAATGGTCCATTCAGCCCGGCCACGACACGAATCATGGGCGTTTCTTGCCGCCGCGATATTTGGCGCCGGCGTCGTTTCCCTGGAGGTTCGTCCTCGGCCGCATCTTCTCCGCCGTCGCACACAACTCCTTGATTGGCTCGCGCTCCGCCCAATCCGCCGCCCGCTGGATCCTCCCGACCTCGAAATAATCCTTCCCCGATCGACCCTGGAAGAGATCCGCCCAGCCCTGCACCGTGCCCGCCACCTGCTCCTGCGCCTGCGCCACCATCGCCACCCGGTAGTCCCGTTCCTCGACGGTCAACTGCTCGTCGGATTTCTCTTCGTACCGGGGCACGTCTTTGGGCACATAGGTCCACTCCACGCCGCGGAGGTCCGGATTGCCATCCTCGTCGAAGCAGCCGGTGACGAACGCCCGCACGGCGTCTCTCCCCGCGAAGTGGTTGTATGGGCCTCCCGGGCCATACGTCAGCCGGCCGGCGGTGACGTCGTAGATGGTGCCGTTGAGGCCGAGGTAGATCGGCAGGGATTCGTTCCGGCCGTCGTATCGGGCGAGTTCGGCGTCGGTCAGGATGACGGGGGTGCTCTGGAACGCGCATCACGGGATCAGGGATTTTTCTTTTCATAATATGTGCATGAGGGGATGGGAGAAAATGGGGCGATTCCGGTACACTCACGAAGAATTGATAGATCGTCCGGGGCCGCAGCCACCATGCTCGGTATCCCCATGTGAAACTGTCGCCCGTGATGAAGTAGCTCAGCAGGACGTTCACGAGGAGTAGGCCCACTATCAGGCGGGCGATGTCTAGAGCGATGACGGCTTGTGAAGGAGTCTCCGTCGAGTCGTCTCTGTGATGGGATGATCCGATCTCCGTGACCTTCTCGGACGATGGCCCGTCTCCTCGAGGAGCTTTACGCTGGCGTGGGTTTCCACTCATGTTCAGGGATGGTCTCTTGTGGGGGATGTGTACGATGGGTGATGGGAGCTTCAATGTCTGGGCTTGTTACCAGACGACGACAACGGGATGATCTTGCTAGGGCATCGGCATTGCCAACATCGACCGTGGCGTTCAATGCGCAAGCGATGCCTTATGGGTTCTTCTGTGATTATATATGCGTTCAATTGACGCGGTTCTTGACCGTTGCGATCATTGCCCGTTGATCCCTTGGGCTGGACAATTGGTTCTCCTCCCTAGGTACTGTATGTCCGCGATCTCGACGTAACTGTCCTGTACCTTAGGTACCCAGGGAGGGAATGATATAAGCCTCAGGCCATAGGGTTGGGGTTATCACAGACGGCGCAGAGCGGGTCAAGTCGGGTTAGTCAGCTGTGGGCTCATCACGTGATACTGCCCTCCGCGGGGCAGCGGGGAGACGAGGTTGAAAGGAAACATTGGAAGACAACAACACTCAGGCATTCCGCGGTTTATTGCGTATATCTGTACTGTATCTGTACTGTACTGCATCTGTAGTGTTATGTCCTGTACTGTATGGACTACATACATTGGAGGAGAGGGATACCTACTACTAGTACACACATACATAGTTACATACATAGTACATCCATAGTCTAAGTGAACTACCTAGACCTGAGGTATTCATCGGTATTCACTCGATCCCGAGGTTCGCCCCTCTTCTAGTCTATCGTCCGCCCCTCATCAATGGCACGACACGTGATATGTTCGTCACCACGGCAGCGACTCGAATGCAGGCAGCATATTGCGCGAGCAGCTCGCCGTCGTTTAATTGTTACCGCCGCGCATTGCCTCCGACATAGCTGTTCCCTCTCCTCCATCCTCACCACCGACCTCCTCACGACAGAGACCCCCATCGAACCCGATCCGCAACCGCCGCGCAGCAACCATGGCCGCTCCCACCACCGTCAACATCAAGAACCTCACGGGCACCTTCGTCATGGACAAGACCCTCAGCGACAGCTCCATCCCCGTCCTGAAGATGCAGAAGATCCCCTGGATCGTCCAGCAGGCCGTCTACTACAGCACCATCACCGTCAAGCTGAAGCAGACCACCGACGAGGCCGGCGTCGTCCACATCGACCAGGAGCAGCTCTCCACCGGCACCGTGCAGCACGAGCCGCGCCTGGTCACCGGCGAGTGGGCCGAGCGCGACGTGCAGTTCTGGGGGAAGGTCAAGGGAAAGACATCGTACGTGCCGTTCCCATATCCCACTCCCTCCCTCCCTCCCCCCCTTTCCTCCTCGCCATTCCGCATCGCATCCATGTGCCGAAAAGAGAAAAAAAACACCCAAAAACCCCACTGACGATCGGCCCCCGATCTCCCCGTCAACAGATACAAGAAGATCTCCGAGCTCACCGACGACTTCCTCAAGGAGGGCTGGGCCGCCGAGCACACCGCCGAGGGCGACGACGCCGTCATCCTCGAGTCCTACACCGAGTCCCTGGCCGACACCTGGACCGCCACCCAGATCTGGGGCTTCGCCGAGGTCCAGGGCGAGCGGCGCCACGTGCGCCGCATCCTGGCGGAGAAGGAGGGCAAGACCGAGCGCATCCGGTTGGTGTACAACTACCAGGGCGAGTAGATGTTGTCGTCGTTGTTATTGTTGTGGTGGCGGTGGTGTGTTTCAGGGAAACAGGACGGACATATTCAAATCGAAACGAATCTTTTTTTATTTCTGCTCCAAGGAAACATTTCAGTTGCATGATGTGTGTGTGTGTGTGTGTGACGTGGAAATTCCGGATACATGAGAGGATTTGTTGATTATTCCGCTTGCGATATATGACGCTTGGAACTCGACGTCCCATCGGGAAATGGTCCAGGGTTGTGAGTGGAAAACATTCCCCCATCTCCGGACGTACTTCCAGCAGCGATCTGGTGCGTGACGACGCGAACGTGTGTCCGCGAGCTCCAGGTGCCGATATATAAGAGCTCGCGCCCGGAGCCGAGCTGGATGCGGACTTGGAATCACTACGATTTCACGACGAAGCCGGCCCCTCCACCTCATCCGCCGGCCGGGGAAGCTTCAGAGCGGCCTCGCCCCAGGTGACGGCCCAGGTCTTCCACTCCTCGTCCCAGCGCAGCAGCGGGCACAGCTTGAACACCTCCGCCCACGCCCGCTGCATCATCCTCGGGGAGAGGTTCCGCGCCTCGCGGTTCTCGAAGTGGCCCCGGGAGAACTGCGCGCCGGACACGACGAGCTCCAGCATGCTCGGGATCGAGGAGGAGGAGGAGCGACCTGCCCCGGCCGCGCTGCGTCGGCGCGGAACGAGGATCTCGTGCGGGCGCCGCGTCGTGTTGGCGAGGTCCCGCAGGCGGTTCCATTCCGCGGCGGGGAGGGGTGGGAGCACCCGCGAGAGCATGTCTCGGTACCAGTCCTGCGAGAGGTTGCGCAGGCGTGATACGGGCATCGGGAGGCCGCTGGTCGCGAGCGCGAGGATCTGAGGCCGGGCCTGGGTCAGACCGGATTGGCCCGGCCGGAGTATGCCGTGCTGCAGTTGCGATTTCACGAGCGCGGACAGCTGCGGCGTCAGGAGAGCGTCGGCGATGTCGCGGTTGAGCGGATGGAGGGATTTGGACTTGTCGCTTGCTGGTGGTGGAGGCTTCGGGGGCTTCGCTTTGGCTTTCGCCTGTCCATCGGTTGGGTTCGGCAGCACGGGGACCCCTCCGCCGGCATCTCGCTTCTGTATGACGAGGTCTGCGATGCCATCGAAGAAGAGCCGTTGCCGTTCGATCGGGACGAGCAGCGGCTGCAACAGCTCGACGCGACGTTTGCCGCTTCGCCCATAAGTCGCCAGGAGGACCTTGCGCAACACGGTCATCTCGCCTTGATTGGCCCGATGCAGTTCTCTGGCGGCCTTACGAGCGTCCTGCCGCTTCTCCTTGAGTCTCGTCTCGAACTCCGGCGAGTCGCGAAGTCGCCGAGCCTTCGATCTCCACTTCCGGAATTCCGTGAGCGCGCGCTGGTGGACGTGAAGCCTCGCCTGCGGGTCTGGTAGGTAGGTGCTTTCGCGGAGGATGGCCCGGAGGAGACTGCGTGCTTCGATCGCATGCTGTGAGTCTGCATTTAAATCTGGTGTGATTGGGTTCTGCGATGTGGAGCCATTCAAGGGGAGCGTTGGCAGCATCGGATCAGGGATCGTTTCAGCATGATATGCCTGTGTATAGTTTGAGCGGCGTCCAAGGCCGAGCCGTCTGATATGTCGGAGGTGTGTCGCTACATGTTGTGCAGTTTTGCATATCCGTTCGTGTGAAAGGTGCAGCATTCTGCTCGTTTCGCATTTGGACGAAGCCTCGAAGCCAGGCGAAACGGCACGCCGCAGCTGCAGCTGGACCGGCGGAATCACCACTGACGATAGGATCTGGTCAGGGTTTCGGCCAAATAATACTTCGATGAAGCCCACGAATTAGGGATTGCCCAGTCGACCGGCGACGACGACGATCTGATTGAGGATGGTGATCGATGATATTGATGATCGCGACAGTGTCTCAGCGACGGACGGGCCGGACGACCGCCGAGCAGATGTCGTCTCCCGGTGCTGCGGCGCCCGTTTTGAATCGGCGGATTCTTCCCCGGGAAGGTACAATACACCGAAGCAGTGATTCATTTTCTCCCCTTGGGTTGTACTCGATTCTTTCTCGTAATCCGGGAGGATTCATATGAGGATCCTTTGACCAGCACGGATGTCATACCAAGCCTCACTGACGACGACGACGACGATACGGGTGGAATACGAGATGTCATGGTTGTGGTCTACCTTAGTATTCATTCATTCATTCATTCAATTATCCCTTGGGGAGAAACATGATCTTCTGGCTACATTGTATATATGTCCTTGAAAATCCAGGTTCCAATGATACATCGGTTATTTTGTTATTTTACTGTATGTTACATATATATGTGTGTGTATATATGTTTAATCATCTAGGAATATTATCTTCGAGTCCAACTAAAAATAAATTTAAGCATTCACCCAGACAAAGATCGGACGGATTGATTACCTAATCCAACCAGACATACGTAATTACAGTAACGTACCCTACTACCGAGCCGGTCACACTACCGAGCCGGTCAAGTTTCCGTCCAATGTGCCTTTGACGACTTATTGCAATTACAATATTATAGCTATACTAATAACGACACCAGTATTACAAAGTACAGGTTCTACAGTTATGCTCAAATGAACCACATCTACTACACCTGCTTGGTGCTTTTGTACGAGCACGTTTTGGCTGCTCAATTAGTAATGCTGAATCAATATTCTCAGCATTATTCTGCAATTGCTCCGCAACTACCTCGTTCTGAATAGACTCCTGCCCTTGCTGAACAGTCATTGATCCTCCCCGCTGGATGTATCCTTTTCGACGGGCTCGC